CAATATGTTGGGGATCAAGATGAAGGCCCTGCGGAAGATGTAGACACCCTTCAAACGCCAAACAGCCCAGACGAACAAAACGCGCAGTTTAACAATGCCGACCAAATCAACCGCCGGTCTACACTACCCAGGCCCCAAGATGGTTTTAACCCTTAATTGTCAATTTTTGTTTTCACCATTTTTCATATTCAATTTTCGATTGTTTATTGCGAAGAAACAAAGAAAGAAAAAACGTAACAATAACGATCATGTTGTTAATTACATCATGGCTTTTGTAATTAAACAACTAGTTTTTTTTTTGGTTGTAACTTATCTTCTTGCCTTTGATCAGACATCTCTATTATATAATTTGCTTCAATCTTCTAGTGTTCGATCAATAAGCTCAAAACGGTTTTGTCCACATTGAGAGTCGTTGGCCCCTCCCCACCGGCAATGGATGATTTTTCTCTGAGTTATGTCTCATTCATGAGGTTTTTACCTATTTTCTCCTTTCTATTCATCCTCAATTTAATTTTCCCTAAGTTAAGCTCGAGCCTTAAAACCCTAATCCACACTTACTCCCCCATCCACCATCACTGTTTTCTAGCCTCCAACTCTCACTTCTACACTCCCTTTATCCCCTCTCTATTATAGTATCCTCCACCGCGTGAGACTACTTCCTACAACTAGTTCTAGACCACCAACCTCCGCTCCTCGACTTCCATCAACTCTCTTCGGTGGCACAAACTAGGGTTGGGAGGCGTTTAAAGTGCAATGTGTGCACTCTTTGCTTGGATTATATCCTCCTTGGGCTCACTGTGGGTGGTGTGTTGTTGTGCTATGGTTGTGGGCTTACTTTGATAAAAACAAAAAACAAAAAACAAAAACAAATATTCATTGGAAAAGCCCACTTCTTAAAACTGGACTGCAAGAGGAAGACCCAACAAACTAGAATTGGTTAGAAATTACACAAGACATATTGCAAAGAGAGTATTTTTGCTCATCACTTTAATCCAAAGTGTACCCTCACTAACATTCTCAATATTTGAAATGTGTTCATGAGCATAACCATGGTTCCATAAATACAAAGTAAAAAATTAACTATAATTAAAAATATAGACGCGTGTTAAATATTGAGAAGGATGATGAGAATACACCGACGAGCAAAACAAATAACGAGACAACAAAATAAGAAAACAAACCAAACGCACAGAAGACGACAGCAAAAGTCACTATCCAGCTCCACCAATTCCACGGTCAAGTCAATAAAGCTCAACAAGGAACCAAACGAACCAGCAAGAGGAATAAATAATCATTGAATCTATAATTAATTAATCAATGGTTAATATATTTCTAGTTCCATAGATTGCGTACGCCCCTCAACTACTTTGCTAATTTAATCTTTTCTTTGACGGTTCAGATTGTTTCAATTAACCAAAATCTTTTTTTTTATATATTATAAATATCATGGATATATTTGAATGTTCTACTGGCAGACAAGATAGGGTTCAAATTCCAAATTGTTCTAATGTCTCTTTCTAGTTTGGCTCTCTCTCTCTCTCTCTCTCTCTCTCTCTCTCTCTCAAACTTCTTCTATCTAATACCTCACCTATTGCTTTGGGAAACAATTAATTTTGTTTTGTTGCCTGTTCTGCTCATTTGAAAATGACCAAAATAGGTTGCTCGTCTTTTCTCTCAGATTTAGCATATGGGCCACCCGCATATATTTGAATGTTCTCTGTTAAGCATGCAAGCTGATACAATCCCACCTGTGACCTGCACTACAATGCCTAAAAACTCCACTATCAATCAAATCAAACTTTAACTAGTCATTTTTTGTGTCTACTATAGTCTTAAAGCACGCCTAATCTCCCAACACAGTCTTTGGTTTTTGTTTATATTGTAAGGGCTTTGTAGTTCAAGTGGTTAAGAACATACACTTATTCACTCGAGGTCTTAGGTTCGATAACCCTCTCTCCCAATATCGCTTATGTAAAAGAAAATCTTTGGTTTTCCATTATATGGGCCTTGTACCTCAAGTGGTTAAGAGCATTTATTTATCCACTCAAGGTCCTAGGTTCGTTTCCCCCCTCTCCCAATATCACTTATATATAAAATAAAATAAAATCTTTTATTTTCCATTACAAGTGATAACAAAATTAAAAGAAACTAATGTCTTTTACTGGCTTTCATCATACTCTTTTAATTGTCCTTTCTCCTAAATATCTTCTCACTCATGACTTATGGAATTTGATCATCAATGCTACAATGGTTATGAATGAATGGACGAAAGGTGTTCAAATTTGGCACTTCTTCCAACATTGAAAACAAAAATACTCCTAAAGCACTTTTGTTAATATCGGTACAACTGATGCATCACAGAATTACTCTTGAGTAAAATTATTATAAACTTTCATTGTGTCGTTCCTGTATGATAGAGTGAAAAAGGAAAAATGTTGAGGTATATAGGTTGGAAAAATATTAATTCATAAAAGTAAAATTTTTCAAAACTAAACTTGGTATCCATTATTCTACCTTCCTTGAATTGTGCAAGGTAGATCACCGTTGGATCATGACAAGGGGGAAAGGGCCCTACCAGCTGCAATAAATTGACTAATAAGAAGTAGAATTTGGTCTGAAAGTTTGGCCAGTCAAAAATCAAAGCATAGAGCAACTCTCCACTAAAACAAATGGATTCCATTTCGCATTCTTGTATAAGGAATCGAGTCATAAGAATCATTTGAATCGAATGCATGAGTCATAAGAATCATTTGAATTGAATACATGCACATGCTTAATTTAAGCTAACTTAAGCATCAGATACCTTTCAGTTTCTATCGCACCAGTGCTAAGGTCCTCACAAATTCTTTTTCTTGTCTTCTATATCAGTATTACCTTACCGAAAGGCGGATATGTAGTTGAAAAGTTTCTTCACTTTGAACAATAGTTGAAAAAAATTCTTCCTTTTGAAGATGGAGAAATTGTGTGGGAGAGATGACGTAAAATTTGAATAGTTTTTTTAGGTTGTTTGTTGCTAAGTAGTCGATATCTAGGCATGGGATGCAAAGAAATTGTTAATGATGATGACCAATAAAAACCTACCAATGCCCAGAAAATAATAAATTAATTTAAAAGGTTTGGTTCAATTTAGGTGGTTTTCAAATAAGTTAAATAAGACTAAACCAAACTAATTGCAATTTGGTTCAATTTGGTCCGGATTATAATTTTATACTATAAGAACCGAACCAAAGCACTCAAATTGATTTTATTTGTTTAACTGGTCCGAGTAAATTTTTTCTCACCTCTAAACTCCATATTCAGAATAATATATGATGATGTCAATATACATAATGGTGGCATATTTAATTTAATTATAGAATTTCACTTATAAATAATAATCTCTTCGCACGCTCTTTCGCGCTTGCGAGATGATTTTTTTTAATAAAAAATTTAAATTTATTTTAGAATTAAAAAAGATAATGGGTAGTTGTGTTCCATAAAAATAGGATTCATTATCTAATTTTTCTTTTAATTTTAATTTTTTAAATATGAAAAAGTGTGAATTTACTATATTATCCTCATTTAATTAATAATTTTAATTATTAATGTTTGGATTAGCTAAGAATATTTTCTGGTATTTTGAATATTTCACCATTCTCTGCCTTTTGTCTTATATATATATATAGATTATAGTTTTATTTTTCTTATACTTAAGTTATTCTTGAATCTTCAAATATCATGAAGGATAATTCACTTGATATAATTTTTTTTCCTGATCGAAAAACGGAAATTTCATTAGCTGGAAGCATTGTTATAATAAGGTCATCAACAATACAATTCATTAGCCATACAAGGCCTTCTTCTAACCAATAATAAGGACCTTGTTCGTGTAAAGCAAAACGGGTAAGTATGAAATCTTAATCTTGCAACTCCCAAAGATGATTACTCCATACCTATAACTGACCTCCTAGTAGATAAGATGGCCAAGCATGAAATCTTGTCCTTCATGGATTTACACTCTGATTATAACCAAATTTTCATAGCCAAGAAGGATGTCCACAAGACGGCTTTCATATGTCGGGGTAATCATCGAGTGTATCCCTTTAATTTTGGTAATTATCAATTTAATAACGATTTTCTTGATATTGGCCCGGATATTAAATTAACATCAAAGCCCGAGCCAGGATTTGGCCCAATATGAGGTTAAAATTAGTCATGTAAAAATCAAGCCCAAACAGGAATATAGTGATTTGTCTAATCCTAGACGTGAAACGTAGGTATCGCCTTTCCCTTTCTAATTCATACATAATTCTTTCTCCAAAATAATAAAAAACTCATACATAATTCTTATCGTCTTTTTAACCTTTGACTAAATTACAAAAGGTTAGAAAACCAAGTGATAAAGCAGAGCTTGTTCTGTTCATGAACAATAGTCCTGTTGATGTGAATTCTTTATAATTGCCATTCTCTCTCTCTCTAACTTTCTCGCACGGTCACACGCACGCATGATTAGTTTCTCTCAAGGTCGTATTGGTGGGATTCAAAGTTCAACGAAATTAAATATTCAAACGGTGGGTCAGTTTGACTGAATGAATAAATTAGGAGAGACGTGGGGGGACCATTTGCCCCCAATTATTCTTCTATATTGTTAGTTGAAATCTCACTCTTTTTCTTTCTTCTTCACTGGGCTGGCTAGGATAAGATACAGAGTGGCCTATATCATGTTAATGTTGGCTTGGCCCCCTCTTCTGTTTGTTTGCTGTTGTTCATTTCTCATGCCTCCCACTGATTGATTGCACTCAAATTTCCTACTTCTCTCCTCCTCTTTCTCTCTCATTCTCATTCTCATTCTCATGTGTTACTTTGTGAACTCCAAGCTCACAAAGTACTCTCTCCTCTGAGGCTCTTCTTGTATGAATCTGCACATTCTCTCTCTTTCTCCTCATGTCCGCACTTCTAATATCTCACATCTCAGACATTCTGCATTTTGTAATTTTGCGTCACTTGGGTTTTGCTTTCATATGAGAGAAGTTGATGAGATGACCATTCCCCACTTGTTCAGATGCCCAATTAGCCTGGACTTGTTCAAAGATCCAGTCACTCTATGCACAGGTCAAACTTATGACAGGCCAAGCATAGAAAAATGGCTGGCTGCAGGCAATCTCACATGTCCAGTCACAATGCAGAAACTTGATGATCCAGCCCTTGTGCCTAATCACACTCTTCGCCATTTCATCAATCAGTGGCTGCAAATGGGCAACCAATTTGATCCTGATTACTTGGAAACAATTGGTTCTTTAGCTTCACTCAAACACACCCTTGAATCCCATGAGGTTACCTTAAAAAGAAAGGTTCAAGCACTCGAAAAGATTCGAGCTTTGTCCCAATCAGAATCACCGTACACAAGTCATTTGTTCCTGCAGTTGGGATTCTTGCCTCTACTTCTAGAACTTGTGTTTGGAGGAGAAGAAGCCAAACACAAACAGAAACTGAAACAGGAACTCCCTCAAGAGCGCTACTATATAAAGTTTCTGGAGGATGCACTTTCCTGCACTCTAATTCTGCTACCTCACGGCAAATTGGAGTCTCTGAATATGCTCAGAGAAGAGAGCAAATTAGTATCCTTCCAAGCTTTATTTGCTCACGGCACTGCCTTGATCAGGATGAGTTTGTGCCGTCTCATAGAGGTAACATCAACATCCCCGGAGACAAAAGAACTCTGTTATATGTTTGGAAAGAACCATCAGCTCTTGCATCGGATATCGGTTCAGTTGCTTCAACAGAATTCAAATTCAGAGGCTGCAGATGCTGGAATCAAAGCCATATCAGCATTATCTTCCTTGGAAGAAAACAGAGAGATTCTGGTCGGACAAGGCGTGGTAAACGGACTCATAACATATATTAATTCAAGCACAGAAAGACGCGAAAGAAGCTTGGCACCATTGGCAATGGCCACACTTGAGAAGCTTCTAGGATTACAGAGTGCAAAAGAGGCAGTGATTAATTATAACAATAACAATAATAATAATAATAATTTGAATGGCGTTCATGGTCTTGTAAAGATGGTTTTCAGGGTTTCGGATGATCACCAAGGCAGTGAGAGTGCCGTTGGGTGTCTAATAATTCTATGCAATGACTCTTTATTGGCACGAGAAGAAGCCATCAGTGGTGGAGTGTTGACTCAGTTGCTGTTGCTGCTGCAGAGCCAGTGCAGTGGCCGCACCAAAACAAAGGCAAGAATGCTGCTCAAGCTCCTCAGAAGAACCAACTAGTCGTCTCAGTCATCAAAAGCTTCTGTGTAGGCTTAGTTTATAAAGTTTTTGAGTAATTAATTAATGTCTATACAAGTCCTATCTGGTTTCTAAGGGCTTCTCTGTATATTTGGTCTCCATGTGGAGACAGACATCAAACTATCAGTATTTGTGTAGTTCATGACTCATTGAAAATCCAGGCCAACAAATAATTGCTAAACAAGATAACTTTACAAACTTTGCTCATGTGAGTGTGACCAACTAATGCACTAACCAAAGACACAGGATCTAAGAAAACAGAATTACATCCGCTCAATTTTTTTTGAGTTCTTATCTGTGAATTACACCATGCTACTACGAATTATACTATCATATATATAAACATATCTGACTTAGAAGAGAATTAAAAACAAAGAAAAAAAAGAAACACAAGGTTTGCCGATCGAATCGCACTTTATATCAAACGCCTGCATTTTTTTCTGTCACAAATTTGTTAGTGTTCTATAAACTAAAACCTATTAGAAACGTTGTTCCAGTGGTTCCAAATATGAGAGTTGATCCCGTCATTGAGTTTTACATAAGAAACCCTTTTGGGTTACGCATCTCAAGCATGCCAAACTAAATAAAAAAGAGTAGTCGCCAAACAACCATGCGATGTTTTCCTTATAATGAATGCGGACATGAAGAAAATAAATAATCCAAAAAATTAATAAAATAAAATAAAAGATTATAAAACGTGATTTGAAAAGCCATGGTCAAACACTCAAAGGTGATTAAAGTCCACATTTTCAGTGAGGAAAGGGCACCGAAGTTATGAGATGGTGCACCTTTTGGCTCAAAAGCAAGGCGAAAGGTGAAAGCATTTGCTCCTCCATAAACAAAAGCAATGCTACATTACCAAACAGCATTCCATGCTTCAAACGCGGAGCGCCTCCAGTTTGTGCATTTCTGACTTTGACACTCAGTGAAGTCGATAACAACGTTACATTGAAAGAAGATGGAATGATGGCCACATCACAGTTTTGATTACGGGGATAAAGTTTAAATTCTGGGAATTATCATCTTCTACTTCGCTTACTTTCGTAATTTTGGTCTCAATCACTAACTCCGTCAAAATTGGAGCCAATATATGACGAGGCAGCACGTGCATGTCTTGAGTGTAGAACTTCTCAACATTTCAAGTGCCCGACTTTATAAGAAAGTGTCTCCATGTTCTCAATTGGAGAAATTATGAAATTTAGGTCTGTAAATTGGGGTTTTAGGGTTCTTAGTGAATTTGAAATGTCATTTTGTGCACGTTGTCACAATGTCGCCGCGCTATAAAAGTCGAAAATGCAATTGCAAAAGTAAGCAAACTAGAGGACTAAAATTTGCCAAAACTACATACTGGAGTGGGAAAACTGCTAAAACTAAACTGACCAAAAGTGCAATTTGGCCTAAAAGAAATGTTAAAATACACTCTCAAACAACTTCATATGATGAGTTTATACATGAACTGTACACCATCAGAATGATGATTCTTCATATCATTAGGCAGGCTTTACCTTGTTTTTTATTTTTCTTTCAATTTTTGCTATGGCATCTTTTATGCTTATGCATATGATTCAGACTGGAAAGACTCAGACTCCAAGGGAAATGAAATGTCAGGTATCTTCAATAGTAAATCCATGAATGAGTTTACCCACAGTAACTTTTAACTTTTTCACGTTTTCTTGTTAGCTTGACGAAGGCATATCTTTCACAATTGCGTTACAAATCTTTGCACTCTCTACACTAACAAAGGTGTATAACAATAATTACTGGTACATAATGAAGCGTTAAGATTATGATAAAATGGAAAAGAAATGAGAATACTAATAAAAAGGAATAAGTTGTCTTTAATCGCTGAGATAGCCATGATATTAGAACAGAATGGTAGCCAAACAAAAAGGAGAAGCATTATATAAGAAAGCTGTAATTACAATGAAAACATATCTTAGTGTAAATATTGACAATTTGCAAGTTACCAAAAGATTTCAAACATGACCATGACTGTTTGGTTCATAATAGAATTACATCAAACATAATTCTACTATACCAGTCTCTAGGAAAGTGTGATGAAGTGATACAATGAACTAACCAAACTTGGAGGCCAATGTTTTGTTTTTTTTACATATGAGAGATCTGTATAGTGAGGATCAAGAAGAGTTGCAATTGTGAACTGGTTTTCTGCGAGGAGTGGGGCATGTTTGTCCGCATACAAGGCTGCTGCTAGAGCTGCATGCACTTCTGCAGTAAACCCAAACAAAACTGATTTCACTAAGAATTGATGAGAATTTCCTTTGCTTAGCTCAGGAATGCAATATTTACTGAAGTACCTGGATATCCCTTCAAAGATATAGAAACATCCTCCATTTCTGCAATTGCTTCTTCTCTGTTGCCCACCTCGTACAAAATCAATGATCTGCCTACTCTTGCATAGTCTGAAAATGCAAAGTCATTGTATTTCTCAATCACCTGAAAAGATATACAGGCAACGTCAATGATATAAAGCCTAAGCTTTTTGGGGCAAGTCAAGCAGAAACTACAAATGTGATGCATGAAATAAGAAATAATTCAGGTCTACCGGTATTATGGTTGACCCAAAGAACCACATCATCCTACACCTGGCTTGATCAACAATTTGCAGCTAGTATGCTTGTGGGCTTTCATTAATCAATGTTTCTTGATTAAACTCAGCTTATATACGTCTCTTAACCATTGCTGGTTCTGCCCACTAACCACTAGGTGCAAAATGGTTCCTTACTGAAAGGTCTCATAGAGAACTTAAACAATGCGGCGAAAAAGAAAAACACACAGCATAATTTGGACTTTATAGAGATAAAAAAACCAAATGTCTTCCTATTGCACACTTATGTCACACCACGTGACTATACAACCATCATGATGAATGAATTCTATAACATGAGTTGGTTTCCGTTTAGTTCAATTTGGGAGGGGAAGAAAAAAGGGGATTGAAATAATTGGACAGGCAGAGAATACAAGGTGGCATTATCTAAATACTGAAACATGACATATGCACATTTCAAGACGTCAAGACAATCCATAAAGATTACAAACTAGAAGACCAGAATACGAAATAGGAAATAAAAACGGGTGAACTACATTTAAGCCATGCCTTGTGCTTGTCTAAGTTGGATCTTCTATTTATTTATTTCTTTGTTTCTTCCAAGTAGGTCCGGCTTTGCCAAGCACGTGACATGGAGCCAAAGGAAATATCAGTTCAAAATCTGAAAACTACTTTGATAAAAACGTGATGGCAGGTCGTCCTGTATCCTATCTAGCTCAGACCAAAGGGAAATAAGGCCATCCACACACCTCCACGGACATATATGAACTAATTGGATTAAGCTTTATTTGATTCTTAAATAGAATATGAACTAAGAAATCATTGTCCTATTATTGACCCAAAAAACTGCACAGAAATTACAGGAATAACACGTCTTACGTACAAATATTTGAGAAGGCACATACGGCTTGACACTTGACCTGCATCTTCCTAGCCTAACGTTAAGTGGGTCACATGACAATCTGACATTGAAACCATTGGCTTCATTCGATGGACACTGTTCCTTTATCATTGACAGTCATTTGATTTCTATATGATTGATAAAATTCTAACTATAGAATCAGGTAAATGGTACCAATGGCAGCTGCATTAAGCTAAATAATAATTGCCATTTTTAACTTCCAACAGAGAGCTTAAAAATAGCTACCCAATTATTAGTCAATGCCATGTTTCCAAAGAAACTAAATATTAGCCAAAGCCCATGTTTCGAAAGAACCCAAATTAAGCATACAAAGAATTCCGAACCCAGAATTGAGGTAAAATCTAAAGTGAGTACCTGAGTAAAACAGACAAGAGCTTGGTTAAAATCACCGAGAGCCTGCAATTCCCTCCCTTTCTCCAACAACTCCAAGGCATCAGATATTCTCCTAGAAATCGCATCACTTGCGTCTCTCTCTGCAGCGCTTATCGGGTCGAAGTTTGACAGAGCAGAAGAAGAACCGGAAGGGGTTGAATTTACATCAATACTGTTGCTGCTGATGTCACCACAACTACCTTTACTTGGAAGCAGAAAAGTAGCTAGAGGGAGCGTGAAGAGGACCAATCGCCTGCTCAGTAATGGGGTTTTGGAAAAGGGGTTTAGGGATTTTAGGTTTGGAGGTTGAGCTAATGAAGAAGAACAGGTCATGAGAAGATGGGGAATAGGTGCTTTACATGCGCCCATAATGCGATTGAGTTCGGCGCCAAGGCTTTTGCAAGCTTATATCTAAGGGTGATTTTATTCCCACCCAACAATCCTATTTTTTAACCCAACTAAGTTTACATATGAATAATTTATTTTACCCTTATACATAATTATCATAAAAGATAAATATGTTGTAAAAGTAAATAAAGAAAGCATATGAGAGGCAAGAGTAGTTCTCAATAGCTCAATGCTTAAGTGTCATATTCATCTTTAGTGCCTACTATTTATAGGCACATGGTTGTTCCTCAGATTTTGAGGGCCCTATACGAAACTTAAATTGGGGCATCACATAATCTAATATGAAAATACTATAAAAATTTGTCATAACTTAATGTTATAAACAATTTTTTTTATAACTAAAAGTCACCATCAATAAATATGTAATGACAATCAGAAATCAAATTCATAAACCCAATTTAAAGGTTTTAGACATAAAAAATTTTCACTTTTGGAAAAAGCCAAAGCTTTTTCAAAAAAGACAAAAAAACCGCTCAACTTTCACATCAAAGACATGCAAATGTATTGGATTCCTTAGGAAATCTAAAAATAAATAAGGGCATTTTTGTCCATTTTTGCTTATTTAAAAATTTTTCTCTCTCCTTTTGCTTTTTCCAAAATGTCCCAAAATTTAAATGTTTCCAGTTGATGAAGTTAAATGTTTGGTACAAGAATAAGCTCCTTGTGCCCCTATAAGGTCCCTTGCTGGCTCCAATAAGCAATCTGTGTTTAATAGAAAAAAAATTGGCAATCACAAATTAAAGAGTACTTGCACACAAATCTCATTAACAAATTAAATTATATTGCATTAAACACAAAAGCAACAACAAAAATATACCTGACTATTCAAAATTCATTCACATTGTATTTGTTGTCTTATTTGAAGAATTAAAACTATTACGAGAGCTTTTCCCCCAAAAGAAAAAAAACACAGTCAGTACGATACTAATGTTTGAAAATTGATCTTGTTGAATTTTTAGAAGAGAAATCATCAATCAAATGTTCATAATCAAGTTTTTCGAGAAGTTCACTTTCAATTGAAATCAAAGCTAGTCCTTTTAATCTTTCTTGCGACATAGTTGATCGCAAGTAAGATTAAATGGACTTACAACAAAAACAAAATACTTTGTTAAGATCCTTTGAATACACTAGCCAATCTCTGTCATGTTGCTCTCTATTTGGCAAATGACGAGTGTAAAATGTTGAAGAGAAACGTCTATGTAAATGATCTTTAAGACGGAATTTGGGATTAATATTATCCCAATTTCTTGGATCATAAATATCCAATGGAATGGATTGGCTTGGTTCTTCATTGAATAAATCAGTGACGTTCTCATTGTTATAATTTTCAATGTCTACATCTTCAATATCTTCATTGTGATCATCAATATCAGCATTTTGATTGTGATCATTCTCATTCTGCTTAGCATTACCCACACATTCATCCATATTGTTTTCAATATATTGTAATTCCTCAACATCATCTTGTTGTTGTTCATTGAAAATATTTTCATCAATTGTAGCATGTGATTCTTTAACAATGAATCTATCAAAAGCTCCTCTTTGAGATTGAGTCAATTCCTCGAATTTTCTTTTTCTAAGCCGTTTGTATATCAAGAAACGTATTTTCTAGTAGGTGGCATGTTTAGATTACAAAGAAAAATTCCAAAACCCTATAACCTGGAAGAAAACCCCAGCAAGAAATAGATAAATATTTTCTACAAACTATATTATCATATAATCAATCATCAACATGATAATAATTTAATAAAATAAGTCATGTAATATATAGAATAGATTGAAATTTAGATACATACCTGAATTTGAATTGAGATTTGAATCTGATTATTTGATTTTGAGATGTCTTTATGAATTTAGGAATTAGGGTTTTCTCTTTTTGGTGTTGAAATTCTTGAAGTTGAAAGAATAACAAAAATCGTCAAATGATTGAAAAAAGAACCAAAGATAGATTGATGAATAATGATGATTACTTACCAGAAAATGAGAGTTTAAGAGAAAGAAGAAGCCATGAAGTTTTTTTCGTTTTGTTTTGAATGAAGAAAGTACTTTTCTTGGAGGAGAAAACCTTTTCTATTTTATTTTTAAGAACCATTGTTTGGGGGATATATATACTCCTCAGGGAGAATCAAACTCTGGCACTTTTGTTAAATAGATATGCTCGCCAGCCAACTCCCCTAGATACGCTGTTGTGCAAATATCCAGATGCTATACTATATATATGATTCCTATAATATTAATATATATATATATATCATATAAAGAATTTTTTTTTCGGGGGCCCTGTGCGGTGGCGCCACTTGCACCACCCCAGGGCCGCCCCTATATAGGCATAGGAAATACATCACTATTTACCACCCTTAAGTAGTGTGTTACAAAACATAATAACCAATGATAAATATAGTATTTAGTCCATAGGTTACAACCTTATAATGATAGGTATAATGATGGGTATAATGGAGGAATTACAACGGACTTATGGTGGGCATCCATAACCTTTGAGGTTACAACACTCCCCCTTGGATGTCCACCATGCATGGAGTATGCCTCGTTAAAACCTTGCCAGTAAAACCCGTTGGGACAAAACCTAGGCGAAGGGAAAAGAGTACATATCCATGTATAATATAGAACATGTGACACTGCCTCATTAAAACCTTGCCTGGAAAAATCCAGTGGGATAAAAACCAGAACAAAGGAAAAAGAGTACACTGTGAAGGTCTCAATTATGACACGCTCCCCTGATGCTGGCAAAATATCCTTGAGTTGACGCATTCCAATATGGTTGACCATCTTTCTGAATGTTGTAGTTGGCAGTGCTTTCGTGAATAAATTTGCAAAGTTGCTGGATTGTATTTGTTGAACATCTATGTCACCATTCTTCTGAAGTTCATGCATGTAGAAATTTTTTGGGAAAATGTGCTTGGTTTTGTCACATTTGATGTATCCATTTGTGATTTGAGTGATACAAGCAACGTTATCTTCATATAGCAATGTTGGAGAATCTTTTATTGAAGACAACCCACTTGTTTCTCGAATATGTTGTATCATAGATCTCAGTCATATACATTCCCGACTTGCTTCATGCAATGCAAATATTTCAGAATGGTTTGAAGAAGTGGCGTCTAATGTTTGCTTTACGGACTGCCATGATATAGTAGCACCACCACAAGTGAACACATACCTTGTTTGTGATTTAGCTCTATGTGGATCAGAAAGATAACCAGCATCAGCATAGCCAACTATTTGGGATTTTGACCCTTTTGAATAAAATAAACCTATGTTAGTTGTTCCATGAAGATACTATAGTATATGTTTAACACCCTTCCAATGTCTCTTAGTTGGTGCATAACTATACCTTGCTAATAAGTTGACAGAAAAAGCTATATCAAGTCGTGTACAATTTGCAAGATACATTAAAGCTCCAATTGCACTAAGGTATGGTACTTCATGACCAAGTAATTCTTCGTTATCTTCTCGTGGGTGAAAAAGATCTTTCTTTACATCAAGCGATCGAACAACCATGGGGCTACTTAATGGATGGGCTTTATCCATATAAAATCGTTTTAAAACTTTTTATGTATGTGTTGATTGATGGATAAAGATTCCAGTTGGTAAATGCTCAATCTGCAGGCTAAGACAAAATTTAGTCTTCCAAAGATTTTTCATCTCAAATTCCTTCATTAAATAAGCAGCAGTCTTTGTAAGCTCTTCAGGAGTTCCAACAAGGTTCAAATCATCCACATATACTGCAATAATAGCAAATCCACTTCCAGATATTTTAATAAAAACACATGGACAAATTGGATTATTTACATATTCTTCTTGTATAAGATATTCACTAAGGCGGTTATACCACATTCTTCCAGATTGTTTTAATCCATATAAGGATTGTTGTGACTTAATTGAATACATATCACGACATTTTGGATAATTTGCTTTAGGCAATTTAAATCATTATGGGATCTTCATATAGATATCATTCTCAAGTGATCCATATAGGTATGCAGTAATTATATCCAAGACTTTCATATCAAGTCTTTCTGTGACAACCAAACTAATCAAGAAACGTAATGTGATTGCATCAATCACAGGGGAATATGTCTCCTCATAATCAATTCCAGGTCTCTGCGAGAAACCTTATGCTACAAGCCGTGCTTTGTATCTTACAATTTCATTCTTCTCGTTACGTTTCCTTACAAACACCCATTTGTATCCAACCAGTTTCACACCTTCAAGTGTTCGGACTATTGGTCCATATACTTTACAATTTTCCAAGGAATTTAATTATGTTTGGATCACATCTTTGCATTTTGGCCAATCCTCTCTATGTCGACATTCTTCAATAGTTTTTGGTTCCAGATCCCCATTATCTTTTATAATTTCTATAGCAACCACATATGCAAAGACATCATCAACAATAGTTTTTTTTCTATCCCAGCTTTCTCTTGTACTCATATAATTCGAAGAGATCTCTTCTGATGTATGTGCCTCTTCAGGGGCTATATCTTCATCAATTTTAAACTGGTTAGTTTTTGGCTCATTGAGGGTACTAATTTGTTTTGGATTTTTATCTTCTTTTGGAATAGGCACTTCTTGTGTCCTTTTCTTTTGGGGATTTTTATCTTTAGCACCAACAGGACGACCACGCTTCAAGTGTGCCTTTAATGTACTATCATATTGACCTTCAGGGATATCAATCCGTGTTGGAGTATTTACAGCCGGTATATGAGATTTTATTACTTTCTTTATGTCAGTAAAAGCATCTGGTAATTGATTTGCTATACTTTGCAAATGGATGATCCTTTGAACTTCACATTCACTTTGATTTGTATGTGGATCCAGATGAGACAATGAAGATGCATTTGATGTAATTTCATGCCATTCTTTAGGAAGCAACACCTTTTCTTCCCCTAACAGCAGGAAAATTGTCTCATCAAAATGGCAATCCGCAAAGTGTGTTGTAAACATAGCACCCGTTAGGGGTTCAAGATATCTAATTATGGATGGAGAATCAAATCCAATGTAAATTCCAAGATGTCTTTGAGGGCCCGTCTTAGTTCGCTTTGGTGGAGAAATGGTAACATATACAACACAACCAAAATTTTTTAAATGAGAAATATTAGGTTGTTGGCCCAAAACAAGTTGTAATGGAGAATATTGATGATAAGCAGTTGGTCGGATGCGAACCAAAGATGCAGCATGCAATATAGCATGTCCCCAAGCAAAAGTAGGTAATTTTGACCTTAAAAGTAAAGGCCGAGCAATCATTTGAAGGTGTTTGATAAAGGACTCTGCTAATCCATTTTGAGTATGTATATGTGCAACCGAATGTTCAACACCAATGGCAATAGACATGCAATAACCATCAAATGCTTGAGATGTAAACTCACCAGTATTATCAAGACAAATTGTCTTGATTGGATAGTCAGGAAATTGTGTCCTCAATTTGATTATTTGAGCAAGAAGCTTAGCAAATGCAATAGAATGAGTAGAAAGTAGGCAAACATGTGACCATCTTGATGAAGCGTCTATTAACACCATAAAATAACGAAATGGGCCACATGGTGGATGAATAGGTCCACATATATCCCCTTGGATTCTTTGTAAAAACGTTGGGGATTCACTAGCAACTTTCAAGGGAGATGGTTTAATAACCAATTTTCCTTGTGAGCAAGCCTGACATGGACAATCACTAGATAAAAGAATCCTTTGGTTCTTTAATGGATGACTGTGAATTTTCAATTATTCGATGCATCATTGTTGACCCTTGATGGTCAAGTCAGTCATGCCAAAGCCAAAGCATAAAAAGCTTTGGATCACTGAACTTCTAGTTCATTATGGTATTTGATTCTATTGCACTTATAGTTGTATAATACAAGCCAGATGAGAAAGTTGGAAGTTTTTCTACTACATGCTTCTGGCATGAAACAATAGAAGTAATAAGCAAATATTCTATATTCCCCTCATTTGTAGTTTCAATATGAAATCCATTAAGACGTATATCCTTAAAACTAATCGGATTTCTTCTGGATGACAGGTATAATGATGGGTATAATGGAGGAATTACAATGGACTTATGGTGGGCATCCATAACCTTTGAGGATACAACAAAATAATCTTTGAAAAATAAATGTATCTTACCACTAGACTCAATATAACAATATACGCTCCTACAACTCTAGTTAGATTTATTTCTCACACTTTTTCATTGACTATCATGTTGGTAGACTCTTGTTGTCATAACTAAACCCTAACAAGGTTTATAAGCTTATATTGATCGAAACATACCTAGTAGTTACTCACAAATGGGGAAATTGAAGTTAGGGAGTCTTCGAATGAAGTATGAGTTAATTTTGTTCGCATTTTTCAACTGTTACTTTCATGTTGGTCATTGTTTATGTTCGGTAGACTAGTATTGAATGCGATAAAAAAAAATTGGTGGTGTTTAACCGAAACAACAAAACGAGTTTGATAGTACGTGATTGAAAAATAACCTAATATTCGGTGGAATTCTTTTGTAAAATTGAAAGGAGTTTGGTTATATAGAACCGAATTTGCACCTTTTATTTGGTGGTAGCCCACCGAAATACATTCTTTCGTTGGATGAGCATACCTAATATGAGGCATATTATTTCCATATGTTATAATGTGGTTTTAATCCTTCTAAGCATGCATCAATGCCTTACATGTCTTCCTTACTCAGTTAAGTCAAGGGATACCAACCTATGTGAGATTGGCATTGGTTTTGTTGATGATGATCATTATATCCTGGTATGAATTTATTTATTTATTTAAATATTTTTTTTATGCTACTTTAATTAATGATTTCTTGTTTTGTAGGTTCATTTGTCTTCAAGTCATCCTATGCTACTGGTTTCTAGGATGTGGCATGAACAAAGTGACACATGCAATGTAACACATTTGTACTCAAGGTATGAAGGTTCGATTTAAATAACTTGCAGGAATGGAGAATGTAGCTACTACAGATACAATGGCCTTTGATATTGAAGAAAATGTACTCACTATGGATATGTTGTCCCCTGATACTGAAGTACCCACTATGGATATGGTGGCTCTTGATATTGAAGATATTATAAATTTATGACATAATGAAAGTTTATGGTTTTAGTTCTTAGTACGTTTATTAAACATGTACCGCATAAATATTAAATGAATCATTATGGTTTGGTTGAACAACACCGACAAACAATTCAAAATTTAGTAGATAGTTACTCAAATGTTCAATTAGCACTTAATATACGTGCTGACATTTCTAATGCAACCAAATACCATGAGTTCTAATTCAAACATAGAAAAACTTCTTAACACAACCAAAGTACTAGTTCCAATCTAGTAATTGCTGCCATAAGTTATTTGTGGGAGCATATATTTTCGTCTCCAATCAGGGCACGCCACGTGAAAGAGAAGATCATCTCTTAAATTAATTAATTGAACCAGTTTATCTGGCCAATTAATTAATTGAGATAAATATCTTAATTAATGGAATATTATCTTTATTTAATAAGATAATACCATTAATTTAGATATTATCATAATAAAGAGAAGATAATATCATTAATTCAGATATTATCTTCATAAAAAGAGATAATATCATTTAATTTAGATATTATCTTCAATAAAGAGAAGATAATATCATTAAATAAGATATTATCTAAGTCTGACTCGATCCCTACGAATTTGGGTAGAGAATAAGCTCAACATATTCTCTACGAAACCTTAGCCCCGAGGCTCCTATAAATAGATGACTTCATTCATCATTCAAGGTACATCTAAACTTACTCCTACCCGAGAAAAATACTCGAAGCTCTCTCTCCCTCTCCACTCTCCATATTTTCTCCACACGGCTCCGGCCGCCCAGTTCACACCATACATACAACTCTGTACCCTTTGCTTAGCTATTGTTTTCCTATAAACACTCGAACTAACTTAGGCATCGGAGGGCCTTTGGCCAACAACCCCCTGGTGTGGTCTATTTACTCAAGTCTTTTTTACAGGAAACGAGGAAGAGAGAGAAGGAAGTGTAGGGGACTTTTTCTTCCTGCAGCTATAAATGGGTCGGGCTGCCGTAAAGGGCAGACTGATGAAATTGTCCCCCTTGTCTGAGTTTGAAAATTAAGCCCCAAAAATGCTTCGAAAGGGCAGTAGAGCCTTAGGAAGTATTTTGGTTACCTTCACCAACCAAAATGATAACAACTTACAGGTAATTTATGCATGCTTACAGATAAACTTTTGAGCTTGGCATGAGAGGCATGTGGCATGGAAGCAAAATTAGCATGAGTTGAGCACCAAAAAGGAAATATGGCTTCCTAGGGAGAAAGATGAGTGTTTAAGGTGAGGAAGAAGAGGTTTTGCAAGCAGATGTGGTTGAGAAGAGGAAAAGAAAGAACTATGTTCGTCCGACAGCTTGCCAGAAGAAGAAAATGGGGAAGGAGGGTGAATTGTACACGAGGTTGCTAGGCTTTTGCAGGTAAGAGAGGAAGCTTACTCTCCAGGCGTGGGTTGTTTTTGTTAGGTAGAAAAGGCCTCATTTTATAGGCGTTGGAAACCATCACTTCCCAGGAAACCCTAATGGCTTCTACCCATTTTGGCCAAGCTTTTCCCTTCCTTTCTCATCTCCTTCCCTGACTTTCCTTATCTTGGTAACATTTCCTCTGCCTATTTGCACAAAATCAGAGATATTTTAGAGCTCCAGACCCCTTTCCCGCGGCTGTTTCAGTGGGAGATTTCCATTCCCAACCATCTTCTTCCTTTCTTTCCTCCTCTTTCCTATGGCTAGGTCTGATGGGGGAAGGAATTGGGGTATGTATGTTGGTTTGAAGAGTGCTTCTCTTCCTGGCAGCTTGCACGTCAATATCCTTTGGTTTTTCGGGTGTTTTGTGCTTGGAAATTGTTCCTTCCCATGTGCTGGAGCCTTCCAACAACTCTGCATACGTGGACACTTTGCTCCCTACGTGGCTTCTGTTTCTTTTAGCACAAGGCTGATGCTTTTGCTGCTTCTTACCTCCAATTGTGTGGGCCTTTAAATTAGCAAGTCAACCTTCCAAACAAATGGGCTATCTTCATCTAACATTGGGCTATATGGGTTAATTTTAGTGGATCATTTTGGTTGGGCTATTTTGGTTGGACTATTTTCCCATTTTGTGCTCACCCATATGTTTGGGCCTAAGAAATGGGCTTGGGTTCCGAGGCTCCCAAGCAACCCGGAACCTCCACTTCTCGGTCCATCAATGGGCCTCATGACAATTTATTACCATCCATACCACAACCCACTCAAGCAAGCCCCGGGCATTCGAGTGGCTTGGGCCCACTTAGGCTTGTAGCGTGGTTGGGCGTGTAATAATGATTTCCTGCTTGGCATGGCATGTCGCTTGGCATGACATATCGCTTGGCATGCTTTTAATTATTATGCTTGACGGGATAATTAGCATGGGTTTGCAAAGATAATACATTTTATAATCTTAATCTCGATTCCTAGCATGACGGATTATTTATTTGGCATGGCACGTGGAGTGTGACTTGTGCATGGCGGACTTTTGTGTGCTCCAAGTTGGGTTTTTTCTCAATAAGGTATTGCGCTAGGCCGAGAATTCATTTGGGCCAGGCCGTGGATTCATTTGGGCCAAGCCGTGGATTTTTTTGGGCTGCAACAGGAAGATTGAAGGTTGAAGGATCTAGAAGCGAATATTCTCCCGTGAGATTATTTGCACAAACATTTGGTGCTTTCAATGAGAGTCAAACTCAAGGAATCCGTTCCTCCTAAATTCCAATCCATCGAACCCTTCCAAACAACCATGGTTGGAAGCAAGCGCACGAGGAGCAAAACCGCTGCGATGGCTCAATCCGTGACGGCCCAAAGCTACTCCTCCCACGATCCCGCGATCGACATGGTGGCTCCACCGCCTCTTGCCGTCGTGAACCTACAGCAAACCCTAGCTGCCGCACCATAGTAGCCACCCCGTGTGACTGGAACCACTGCGCCGGCCTCTACCGTCGTCGTACCATCTCAAGGTCCCATGGCCGGATCTAGCCACCTTCATAGCATCGCCGCCGAGCATGGTGGAACCTCTTATCAAGGTGGGGTCACTACCACCGGCGACTTTGGCCCAATCTTGGAGCAACTTCAGGCATTCCCTCCATTGCCTCCACGCTCGACACACGCTCCCGCGTACACATCTAATGAAACCCTAGCCCGTGTGCAATTGGGCTCCACACATTTCTCTCCTCCCGATCCACGAAGTTAAGAAGACCTTAATCTGAGAGTTCACCAGCTAACTCAAAGAATGGACGACCAAAATAGTTTGATGAGGCAGCTCCTCAACCAAATAAACTTGGCTCAAAACCTTGGCCTTGGACAATAGGGTGAAGAAAGAAGGATGCACGAACGCGTCGATAGGCAGTTCGATGGGAACCAAGCAGGTCGAGTATGAGTAAGCAAACAAGGAGATGCACAACAACGTGATCAACTTGCCGACATATCGCAAGCATTAGCAAGCCACACTCAGAGCAGACGAAGTCTCCCATCCATATTGAATTTAAGGAACAACGTGCATGATAGGCTGGGCCCAAGATCCGACATCCACTCTTGCTTAGGTCCGTAGGGAAATGTTCATGAAAGGCTAGGCTCCCAGGGACGTCAAACTGACAACCATCGTAATGAGGATCGTGAAGAAAGGTACTCTGCTACCGCTCGCAGAGAAATATTCACGAAAAGCTAGGGCCCCAGGGAGGTCAACTTAATAACCCTCACAGTGAGGACCGTGAAGAAAGGCACTCTGCTACTCGTTCTCGAAGAACCAATTCTCGTCACCAAGTTACAGAAAATCCCTCGCAAGCGCAGTCCACCAACACGCCACATAGGCAGCGTAGCCGACCAGCCATGTGTGTGGAAGACGTTGAGAAGCTTGTGAATAACCGACTTCGAGACTTAAAGATTGGCGGAAACTTCGAAGAGGCACTACGTGTTAAGGTAGACCGAGCAAACTCCTCACCTTTCACTGCCGAAATCGAACAGGCTGCTCCCCCGAAACGATTCTCAACGCCCTCTTTTACATGCTTTAAAGGCGATTCCTATCCCAAAAGCCATCTGAAGCATTTCAAGAGCCTTATGATCCTCTACAAAACCGAAGACTCGTTAATGTGCAAGGTGTTTGCAATGACTTTGCGAGGAGCAGCTCAGGATTGGTTCCATACCCTGCCATCCGGGTCGATCAGCAGCTTCAAGGAGCTTACTTACGTCATCACTAAAGAATACACTTCTTATCAGACGATCAAGAAGAACCCTGATCATCTGTTTAACCTGCGCAATATGCCCGACGAATCCCTTCGAGATTACATCAAGAGGTTCAAAGCAGAAAAAGCCAACATCGTAGGGTGCAATGACCAAATCGCATCCTCTGCATTTAAGAAAGGTCTTCTAGCAGAACACGACTTAGACTGCGAGCTGACTATCACTCCTAGCAAGACTCTGGCAGAGGTCTTCGCAATTGCGGAATGCTTCACGCTCTGGGATGATGATCGAATCGCCGCGAAAAAGTCCACCGAGCAGGAGTAAGCAAACAAGGAGATGCACAACAACGTGATCAAATTGCCGACATATCGCAAGCATCAGCAAGCCACACTCAGAGCATACGAAGTCTCCCATCCAGATTGAATTTAAGGAACAACGTGCATGATAGGCTGGGCCCAAGATCCGACATCCACTCTCGCTTAGGTCCGTAGGGAAATGTTCATGAAAGGCTAGGCTCCCAGGGACGTCAAATTGACAACCATCGTAATGAGGATCGTGAAGAAAGGTACTCCGCTGCTGCTCGCAAAGAAATATTCACGAAAGGCTAGGCCCCAGGGAGGTCAACTTAATAACCCTCACAATGAGGACTGTGAAGAAAGGCGCTATGCTACTCGTTCCGAAGAACCAATTCTCGTCACCAAGTTACAGAAAATCCATCGCAAGCGCAGTCCACCAACACGCCGCACAGGCAGCGTAGCCGAGATGGTCGACCCTTGCAAACCAACGAGGAAGTTACTCAGTCTTCCCGAAATTGTAAAGGTCATCGACGTGACCGACTAGCCATGTTTGCGGAAGACGTTGAGAAGCTTGTGAATAACCGACTTCGAGACTTAAAGATTGGCGGAAACTTCGAAGAGGCACTGCGTGTTGAGGTAGACCGAGAAAACTCCTCACCTTTCACCGCCGAAATCGTGCAGTCTGCTCCCCCGAAAAGATTCTCAACACCCTTTTTTACATGCTTCAAAGGCGATTCCTATCCCGAAAGTCATCTAAAGCATTTCAAGAGCCTTATGATCCTCCACAAAGTCGAAGACGCGTTAATGTGCAAGGTGTTTGCAATGACTTTGCGAGGAGCAGCTCAGGATTGGTTTCATACCTTGCCATCCGGGTCGATCAGCAGCTTCAAGGTGCTTACTTACGTAATCACTAAAGAATACACTTCTTATCGGACGATCAAGAAGAACCCTGATCATCTGTTTAACCTGCCCAATATGCCCGACGAATCCCTTCAAGATTACATTAAGAGGTTCAAAGCAGAAAAAGCCAATATCGTAGGGTGCAATGACCAAATCGCATCCTCTGCATTTGAGAAAGGTCTTCCAGCAGAACACGACTTATACCGTGAGCTGACTATCACTCCCAGCCAGACTCTGGCAGAGGTCTTCGCAACTGCGGAATGCTTTGCGCTCTGGGATGATGATCGAATCGCCGTGAAAAAGTCCACCAAGCAGGAAAATCGACCGACCAAGCGGGCAGAGAAAAGAAGCGACATGCTTGGCAGCAGGGACAAAGACAAACGCAAGTCACGCCCACAAGGAGATGCCATGACAAAAGAGAACTACACCAAGTTCTCCATCCCTATTCATCAAATTTTAGCCCAAGTGAAGGACAAACCTTGGGTAGAAAGACCGCCACACTTGAAAGGAGATCTGGACAAGAGGAATACCCGGAAGTATTGTGCCTTCCATGCGATGCACGAACATAATAGAAATAATTGCTTTGCTTGGAAAGCACACCTCGTAGAACTCGTGAGAGCATGTCACTGTACGGAGTTCATCGCGAAGCAGGCCATCCAGCAGATAGAGGACCGCAATACCGCCAAGGAACCACCCCAGAAGGTCATAAGGATTAACACAATCTTAGCCGACTCCGAGGAGTCCGGACTAACCAACAAAGAAAAGAAGAGAAAGATCAAACAGGCCACCATGATCTCCCAGGTCTCTACTAGTCTCCCACTGGCAGAAGACGATCCCGTGATCGGCTTCCAGAAGAAAGATCTAATCAGTCTTGATCTACCACACAATGACGCCCTTGTCATCAGCATTCAAATCGCGTGGGCCATCATACAATTGACAGTTATCCAACAGATGGGCTTAGAGACAAAGATCAATAAATCAGCCAAGTCGCTGACTGGCTTCAATGGCGCAACAACAGTTACCGTGGGCACGATAGATCTCGACGTCTACTCCCCACCTATAATCAGCTCTCAAACGTTCATGGTTATTGATGAAGTCTCACCGTACAATGGCATTCTAGGCAGACCATGGATCGGCAAGGCCAACGCCATCACCTCCGCCATACATCAGAAGATTCGCTACCCAATCCCTGGGGGTCGTATCGGCCAGATCAATAGCGATCAAGTAATGACGAGGAAATGCTCAGCTCAAGGGCTGAAGAAAGGCAAGCAAACACAGTTCCTCCCTGTGAATCAGGCAGATCTAAAGGGAGTAGAACAAGCAGAGGAGAAAGCAGATACCGTTCCTGACGGCCGAGCAGACCAGAAGGGAAAGGGAATAACTACTCCCCAATAGCAATCAAAGAATCAGGATCAAGTCGAGGGAATCCGTCCAGAGGTCTCTCCTGAAGAAGGATGGAAGCCCGAGGAGGACGTTGAGCTAGTACCCCTTGATCCTGATAAGCCAGAGAGAAAAGCGCGGATCAGCTCGCGCCTAAGCCAGGAGAAAAAGGCAGAGCTCGCAGCCTTCCTCCATAACAACAAAGACGTATTTGCATGGTCGCCATCCGACATGCCTAACATCGATCACTAGATCATTTGCCATCGTCTACACGTCAACCCAGCTATCAAGCTTGTAGCGCAGAAGAGACGCAACTTCGCCCCCGAGCAGGTTGCCATCATTGAAGCCGAGATCGACAAGCTTCTAGCTGTCGATTTCATTGAAGAAGTCTCCTACGCAGAATGGTTGGCGAACGCTGTTCTAGTAGCAAAGAAAGAAAAAGGTTTGTGGAGAGTGTGCATCGGCTACACCGACCTCAACAAGGCATGCCCTAAAGACAACTTTCCACTGCCTAGAATTGATCAGCTCGTCGATTCAACTTCCGGCAACCAACTACTAAGCTTCATGGACGCCTACTCCGGCTACAACCAAATCACGATGCATGAAGACGACAAGGCAAAGACCTCTTTTATCATCGAAAGAGGTACATACTGCTACAAAGTCATGCCTTTTGGGCTGAAGAACGCCGGAGCAACCTACCAAAGGCTGGTGAACAAAATTTTCAAAGAGAAAATCAGCAAGACTATGGAGGTCTACGTAGACGACATGCTAGTCAAAGCTCTCGAGCTAGTAGACCACATCAAGAACCTTGCCAAGGCATTCAGCCTACTCCAAAAATACAACATGAAGTTGAACCTGAGTAAATGCACGTTTGGAGTCTCGTCCGGCCGATTCCTGGGATACTTAGTAACCTAAAGAGGAATCGAGGCACATCTAAATCAAATCAAGGCTATACTCAATATGAAGTCACCTGCCACAACAAAGGAGATAGAAAGTCTAATGGGTAGGGCGGTAGCTCTCAACCAATTCCTCTCAAGATCTACCGACAATTGCAGGCCATTTTTCAAAGCCTTGAAGAAGGGACACAAAGACAAGTGGGATGACGAGTGCGAAGTAGCTTTTCAAAACTTGAAAACCTACCTCACTTCACCTCCCTTACTGGCGTGAGAAATAACTAACGCACAAATTAAACCATATAAATCATGCAATCGTAGTACGAGTAAGTAGGGATCGTTCTATTCCGGGGATTAGGAGGGATGCTAATCAACACAAATTAAACTTATTAAACTGGAAACTAAGTTAAGGGAACAATGATTGGGGGGAATTCTGACGATTTAGACTAAAGTAAGACTGACAGCAGCAAACAACTAAGTTGTGAATGAAATATGGATTAAGGGATAGCTAGAGGATTCTTCTCCACACATGGAACATATGCACACAAATCGATCTCCAGTTACTCTTTCTATAAAGTATGAATGACAAAGCCCCAAATTAATTGTGAATGCACTAATTAACTCTCAGATTTTCCTAAGTTCATTGAATTGGACTCAGCGACGCAATCAAATTATCCTTATCAAGTTCCCTATATGAACAGCATGATAGAGATACATATCAAAGATCATTAAGTTCTATGAAAATCATAAGCCTTGACAAGACAATTGTAACTATGAAAAGCATGATACTCCTGCCAAGAATTTACTTAACACAATCATGACTAGTGACTTTTACTACTTGTGAATATAAGTTCATAACGATTAGGTGAAATTCCCTTATATTCTAGCATCAAATCCCTGCATACAAACTAAGTATGCATCCTTAATAAACATGCAAGAATAAGTCCTCAATAAAACAGAAAAGTAAATCACATTCATACTTTATGAAACCATAACTGGAAGTAATCAATTCATGTAAAACATATGTCCATGGCTTCGAATTCACCTCTAACTAAGAAGAAATTCAGTTACACATGTTCATAATAATTGAAAAGCAATATAGAATAAACATTTGAACTAATCAAGAGAAGAACTCTGAAAAACCCAATGGATGCAGCAGGTTCCGGCTCCAAGTTCTTCTTCTCCCTTTCTCCTTTCTTGCTACGGCACCAAAAAAACTCCCTTCTCCTGCGGCAACCCCTCCTTTATATATGTGGTAGATCTAGGGTAAAAGGGCCCAGCAGAAACCCACGAAATTAGGGTTTTGTTTGGAAGATTTCTTTAGGAATAATAGGGCCCAATAGAAACCCACGAAATTAGGGTTAGGTTTCCTAATCTGAAATTAATCCCCCCCTTTTACAGCTGGAATTTAGGTCGAATAGGATTAGGATAAGGTAAAATAAAATAAAATCAGTTAGGGTTTTTTTTACTTCCCAGAAGCTGATTCTTGAATTAATTTCCCCATCTTTTTAGCACATTCCTAGCCTCTTCGAACTTCAAAAACGTCCATCCATCTTGGCCCATGCATATGCTACCCATTCCAAGTCCAAAACTGCTCTAAAATGCTCCAAAATGCCCTTTCTTGCCAATCTTGCCATCTGGACCTACAATAGTACGAAAATAAGCTAAATCACTCTAATAAATGTGAATTAACTAAGTAAATGCAAAGAAATAAGATACCAAAGTCGCATAAATATGCTCCTATCACTTACTCTCAAAACCGATACCAAGAAAAAACTTGTACATCTACCTGGTAGTGTCCGACTCAGCTGTTAGCTCAGCCCTCATCCGAGAAGAGCTGGGGGCACGACATCCGGTATTCTACACTTCAAAAGCTCTCCTCGATGTAGGGACTCGCTATCCGAAAATGGAGAAGCTCATTTTTTCACTTGTCGTTTCTGTGAGAAAACTAAGGCCTTACTATAAAGCACACTGGATAATTTTCATGACATAATTTCCCTTGAGATCGATCCTCCATAGCAACGACGCTTCTCAGCGACTCATGAAATGGGCTATCGAACTCAGTCAATATGACCTCCTATACTGGCCGAAGACTGCTATAAAAGCCCAAGCTTTAGCAGATTTTGTTGTAGAGTTTACTTCGACAGCCGAAGAAGAGAAGATGGTCACGAAAAGTAAGGAAAAAGCAGACGACACCTCCCCCACCGATTCAAACCTACCTAACGACATGTGGCAGTTGCATGTAGACGGAGCATCAAATCACAAAGGAGTGGGAGCAGGAGTAGTCATAATCACCCCAGATGGGACTTTGTTGGAACAAGCTATCACACTAGGCTTTTCTGCTTCAAACAACGAGGCAGAATATGAGGCATTGCTTGCAGGATTGCGCCTAGCAAAAGAACTGTCGATCAAGAGATTGGCCATCTACTTGAACTCCTAGCTGATCACGAATCAAGCCTCAGGCGAGTACATGACCAAACATCCAACCAGTACCTCGACAAAGTCCAAGGACTTTTGAAAGAATTCCCTACTTTCACCATCCAACAAGTTCCACGGGTGGAGAACACTCATGCAGATGCATTGGCTCGCCTAGGATCAGCACTGGACACCCAGTTCAGACACTCCATCCCAGTTGAACACCTTGACCTGCCAAGCATCGAAGAAATAGAGCCAATTGACTTAATGCAGATTGATGAAGACCCCAGCTAGCAAGACCCCATCATTGACTACTTAGTGAATGGAAATCTACCAACGGATAAGTCCGAAGCTAGGAAGGTCCAACAGAAAGCCGCGAGATATTACATTCAAGGCCACAAGCTCATTCGCAGATCATACTCTGGCCCTTATCTCACTTGCATAAAATACCCTCAAACACTTGAGGTCTTCTGCAAAATTCATGACGGCGAGTGTGGCAACCGCTCTGGGGGCAGGTCGCTCGCCCAGAAGGCTCTAAACGTAGGCTATTTCTGGCCTACTATGCGCCATGACTCCACTGAATATGTCAAAAGATGTGATCGCTGCCAACGGTACAAACTAGTTCCTAATCTGCCTGCCGAAATCTACCATCCGCAGAACAGTTCGTGGCCTTTCATGCAATGGGCCATCAACTTAGTAGGCCCCATGCCAACGACACCTGCCAAGAAAGAAATGATGATCGTAACCACTGATTACTTTACTAAATGGATCGAGGCCGAAGCTCTATCCTCTACTAAATAAGCCGATGTGGAATGGTTTATTTGGAGAAATATTATATGCTGGTTTGGCTGCCCACAATCACTAGTTACCGACAATGGCGTACTATGGGTAGATGAGCTCCCTGGAGTACTATGGGCTTATCGAACCACCAAGCGAAGATCAACTGGCAAAGCCCCGTTTTCCCTCGCCTATGGAACTGAAGCGATCATTCCTCCTCATGTTACTGCCCCCTCTATAAGCATTGAAGTGGGCAGTATTGAGAAGAACTCCGAGCAGATGAGTCTTAACCCTGACTTACTTGAAGGCAAACGCGAGAAGGCCATTGTTCAAGTCGCCTCCTATCAACAGCGGTTGAAGTCTTACTACAACAAAAGAGCCAAGATCAGACAGTTTCAACGAGGCGACCTTGTGCTAAGAAAGGCCTTCATCACTACGCAAAGACAAGGGTCTAAAAAGATGAAACCCAATTGGGACGACCCTTACGTAATCAGCCGGTTCGGGGGCAGAGGAAGCTATACGCTTGATACCATAGAAGGGAAGGAGATTCTGCGACAATAGAATGCCTACCACCTCCAAAGATACTATCCATGACGCTTCCTCCTACTGGCTCAGTCCCCAACAGATGACTGAGTACTGCGCATTTCTGAAGAAGGAAAGCAACTACTGCAAATTCCAGAATGTGCCACAACAAAACAATGTTGCCCATAAGCAACATCCTTCGGGAGATGCAGGGCGACAACTAGAAGCGTCCTTCGGGAGACGCAGCCTGCAAAGAAGCGTCCTAAGGGAGACGCAGGGTGCGCCAGGAATTTCCTAAGGGAAGTATCCAGGTTCCTATCCGTTTTCTAAGGGGGGCAGGATAGCCATACAGTTGACCATGGAGCAAATCATGATCTCCAAACTCATCAGCAAGAGGCTTAAGGGGAACATCCCTTATGTTGCGCATACCGCCAATCTTCTTTCTATCTGCACCAACAAGATGCTTGACCCTGGCAGATGATGCGGGAACAACTCCTACTTGGGTCTTCTCAGCAGAAGGAAGCTTTGGCTTCTTCCTCAATGGAGAAACATTCCTCGCCTGTGAAGAAGTAGCTTGAGTTCTTGAAGACTTGACATTAGCCTTCCTTTTTTATGGGGGTTCAGCAGAGCACTCTTCTTGTTCAACAGATAGAGCATCAGGGTTCGGACCATTCTGCTTCCATCTCTTGACATCCTCAGCAGGGGGTAGACCACCGTCTTCCTCCTGATACTCACTCAACAACCAACACCATTCACGAAACTTTCGGGGGATGTTCAAAGGACGGCGGACCTTAGCCATGTCAGGCCCGAGCTCCAATTGCTGTTGATGTCGTTCACTATAAGAAGAGGACAGAAGTTAGTCTGCCACACTTCAAGAAGTTCAAATAAAAAGGAACATATCAAAAAGCCGCAAAAAGACATACCATCGCAATAGGTGATGGGAACAAGTGGGCCATCACCAACGTCGCCCTCCCACCGTCCGCTGACTTCCAACACAGCATCATGCCAAGCGTGATCTCCTTGACTAAGACTGTCAAACAGCTTGACCTTGTAGATGCGAACTTGGGCATCGTCAACCCGGTAGACATTCTAGCATGAAGAAATAGAAGAACTCCTGCACCGTCAGCTCTAGCATGAAGAAACGGCTCAAGTTTTCAAAACACATGCGGCCCGGTAGACGTTCGGAGTACATTGACTTGGAGCACACCCAAGGGAGCAGAACACCTCCTTGAAGAGCTTTGACATCGGGAATTTGAAGCCCAAGGAGAAGTAAAAGGGACGGAAAGTCATGATTTTGGCATTTGGATCATTTGCATCCACGCAAGGCACAACATCGGTCAAAGGCTTCGCCAACTTGATATGCACGTCGTCAGGAATCGCAGAAGCATAAGCAGCCTGCCACCTCTGGAATTGACCTTCATCCATAACATAGTGCAGGTTGGCCATAAACCTCTTCTTCTACACTTTGGAACCTCCCCACAAATACAAAGGCACTTGAGAGCGTGGAGCCTTGCTATTGTCTCTGGAAGACATGGTTGGTCAATGAATAACTGCAAGTTAGAATACGAAAAAAAAAGCTGGTAGAAAAAGAAAAAAAAAAGGAGGCAGCCCAGCATGAGCAGCCAGTCAGCGTTTCCAACCCAGCACGAGCAGCTCGCTAGCACGAAGCCCAGCATGCATGCGGCCTAACTCCAGCATGGCCCAGCTCCATCCCAGCAGCGCACGAGGCCCGTTGCTCCACGATAGCGCGCGCCTCATGGTCCAGCCCAGCGCATGTGGCCTGCTTGCCCAACGCGCCTGCGTGGTGCGCACGGCCCATCGCGTCTCCTGCCTCAGCTCTGGAGCCCAGCATCTCCATCCTTCTGCCTTGGGCTTGGCTCCTCCATGCTCTCCCTTCAAGCCCAGCACACGCAAGCGCAGCTCCATTCTAGATTTTTGTCCACAGACCCACGAACTTGCAACCCATGCTGGACCACCACCTTGCTGCCAAAAGTGAAAATATATATATATATATATGTATGGATATATATATTTTTACGAGCTCGACTTACTTTGGATGCACGACAATTCCTCTCTTCAACAAGCAGTGCAAATTCTCCAAGATCTTTCTCAAGCTAGAAGGTGGAGAAGTTAAGTTTGTGATGTGATAAAGAGTGAAGAAAAGCCCTGTATTTATACAGTTGGACAACCTGGATCAAGGAGGAATCACAAGCTCATTCCTACTGGGAATCCAACTCCAACAACAGTCAGAAGCCTACACTAATTGGAAATCTGATCGGCAAAGGAGTCCAACTCACAGAATAAAGCCCAAACACAATTGGAGAGCTCGGAAAAAAATAATTTCATCTCCTACATGCCACACAAGCGCCATGCAGAAGCTGGGGGGCATTTGTGGGAGCATATATTTTCGTCTCCAATCAAGGCACGCCACGTGGAAAAGAAGATTATCTATTAAATGAATTAATTGAACCAGTTTATCTGGCCAATTAATTAATTGGGATAAATATCTTAATTAATGGGATATTATCTTTATTTAATAAGATAATACCATTAATTTAGATATTATCCTAATAAAGAGAAGATAATATCATTAATTAAGATATTATCTTCATAAAAAGAGATAATATCATTTAATTTAGATATTATCTTCAATAAAGAGAAGATAATATCATTAAATAAGATATTATCTAAGTCTGATTCGATCCCTACAAATTTGGGTAGAGAATAAACTCAGCATATTCTCTACGAAACTCTAGCCCCGAGGCTCCTATAAATAGATGACTTCATTCATCATTCAAGGTACATCTAAACCTACTCCTAAACCCGAGAAAAATACCCAAAGCTCTCTCTCCCTCTCCACTCTCCATATTTTCTCCACACGGCTCTGGCCACCACACATGGCTCCAGTCGCCCGGTTTACACCATACATACAACTCTGTACCCTTTGCTTAGCTATTGTTTTCCTACAAACACTCGAACTAACTTAGGCATCGGAGGGCCTTTGGCCAACACCCCCCGGGTGTGGTCTATTTACTCCAGTCTTTTTTTACAGGAAATGAGGAAGAGAGAGAAGGAAGATCGAAGGTTGAAGGATCTAGAAGCGAATATTCTCTCGTGAGATTATTTGCACAAACATTCTTAATACAAATGAAATTATCGCTTACGACGCTGATATGTCATGGTAAATGGTATGTTTGTACCCTCCAACATACGTTGCAAGGTCTCAACTGCTTGATAAACTTGGGCAGGTTGTGTATGAAATGCATCGGCTTGCCCTAATGCCACGATCGGCCTAGTAAGGGTCAACATACTCTCATCACGCTCCTGTAATGAATACGAAATCAATGCCTTAGTAAAAATGACAAAATTGAAGAAGTGAAAATGATAACAAAATCATAGTTTTTCCTGGTAATTTGAACTCTCCATTGTAAAATGTGTCAAATGCACCTCTAAAATTGGGATTATGGACAAACGGATATCCTACGTGGAGGTACCACTCAAATACCCATGCACAATATATGATGGACGACTCACTGGTACACTACAGTTCACCTCTCCCATTCTCCCGATTCTCCCACATTCCCCATAAATTATCAATATACAAGTTGGCACCATTACCAATTCTGTTAGGGGCACTTATTTTGGGAGGAATCCTCTGCACCTGACCAAATTGTCTAAGATCTCCAGATGGTAGGGCTGTCACGACCAGATTCGAAAATAAGGAATATTCCCGAATCATGGTGTGAGTCATGTCATAGTCATAAGAATAAAATCCTACAATCATGATATGATGAGAAATAGAGCCACAAATAATACAAATTTACTTAACAACACAAAATCAGAGGCGCAGTAGATCGTAGTTAAATACACACTAAGATCTTTATCAAGCGGTTGACTACTTATAAACATTAATTACACAAATTCTAGGAGACTCTTTATCCAGGAGACTCTCCAAATTTTACCCAAATTCTAGCTAAAGTAGCTAGAAAGCTAAAATAGCTAACCACTTAAAAGGTGGTTCCTCCAGTAGGCTCTCTATTTTAGCTAACCTCGAATATTTTATTATTTCTTAAAATTTAAACATTTAGCATACCTACTTTTCCAACGGCTAGTTTTTAAAGGCTAGTTTTCTAATGGCTAGTTTTTTTTTTCTTTCCAAAATGACATATTCTCTATCTATAAATAAGAACATATCTTCACTCATTTTCCTTCATCTACAAGAAAAAAAAACAAATTCCTTCTTCATTTCTCATTATTTTATATAAACTCAATTTTCTCATTAGTTCTTAATATTATTTATGGCACGTTGTTCTATAGCAAGTCATTTTCTACATAGTATTGTCTTCGACAATGATGTCCTTGATGACCAATATGAAGATGATTTGCTTGCACGTATAGAAGCAGCGATTCTAGCCAATGAAGGACGAACATCAAGACGTCGTGGTTCTATTGAAGGTCGTGTTGTCGTTCCACGCAACATAGCTCGAGGTGGTCGAAATCTTTATGAAGACTATTTCGCTGATCCACCTGTATTTCCTGACCATTTATTTCGAAGGAGGTTCCGAATGAGTTGCAACATTGTTCTTCGACTTAAAAACTCGGTAGAAAATTACGATCCTTACTTTATTCAATGAAGGAATGCCGATGGACTTCTCGGTTTATCATCCCTTCAAAAGATTACAGCCACACTAAGGATGCTTGCTTATGGCAATGCTGCTGATAACTTGGATGAATATGTGAGTATTGGAGAAAGCACTACTTTAGAGAGTTTGAAAAGATTTGTCAAGGAAATTGTTGCAACCTTTGGTGATGAGTACTTGAGATTGCCAAATACTAATGACATCACAAGATTGCTTGCAATTAGGGATCAACGACACTTTCTTGGGATGTTAGGGAGCATTGATTGCATGCATTGGAGATGGAAAAATTGTCCATCTGCGTGGCAAGGTATGTATTCTGGTCACTTCCATGAACCAACAATTATTTTAGAAGCTGTGACTTCATATGATCTTTGGATATGGCATGCCTTTTTTGGGTTACCAGGATCCCATAATGATATTAATGTCTTAGACCAATATTCCATTTTCAATGAACTGGCTGGAGGTCATGCTCCTCCAGTCAACTATTCAATTAATGGTAACAATTATACTATGGGATATTATCTCGATGATGGTATATATCCAACGTGGTCAACATTTGTAAAAACAATCCCTGCACCACAAGGAAATAAGAAGAAATATTTTGTTGCAGCTCAAGAATCAGTTAGAAAAGATGTCGAATATGCATTTGGGGTGCTTCAATCACATTTTGCTATTGTACGAGGAGCAGCTCGTCTATGGGACCAAAACACATTGAAAGACATTATGATTGCATGCATAAGAATGCATAATATGGTTATTGAGAAGGAGCAACATGATGAGAGATATTGTCATCAAATCCATAACTTTGATAGGTGGGAAATACCAAATATAGAACCTGCACGTGAGTGTTCACTAGGACTAACGCAATTCATTCAAAGCCATATTCGCATTAGAGACAAACAAACTCATTGTAGGCTCCAAGCAGATCTTGTCGAGCACATGTGGCAACAACATGGAGGAGAATAATGTATGGAAAGTAAAATGGAAACAAACTCATTTTATTTGATGATAAATCAGGTTATCGTTCAATATGATGGCCTTGATGAGTACTTCAAGGTTGCGGATGCTTATATGGATATTATTCTTCAAAATTTATTTTGCTTCTTAGTAGGTTTTCATATTTATTAGACAAATCGAAAGTTCCAGTTGGTTGCAGCACCATTCTAGTTGACTGGTTCTTTGTTTACTTTAAATTAATCTATTTGTTGTTGTTGTTGTTGTTGTTATTGTTGTTGTTGTTGTTGTTGTTGGGGGGGGGGGGGGGGGGGGGGGGGGATGGGAAATAGAGAAATATGATATTACTTGAAAGTAATCAAGCAGTCCGGCAAAACAAAAAAAAAACTAACAGAAAACTCCAATACAACCAATTAGCAACTCATTGAACTCTTATAAACAACACTCTTTCAACCTTAGTATTTCTAAAACTGCCTGTAACAAGTAGTATATTACAGCCCTGCAAAGAACTCTTTTCTACTACTAATAACAAATCTTCTGGTATTCAATGATAGAAGCAATATTCATAAAGAGCATATACCACTACCAAAAAAAAAAAAAAAAAAAAAAAAAAAAAAAAAAAAAAAAAAATATAGGCCCAAAAAGATTAGTAATTATCCAAAAATAAAATGCACATAAAAGTACAACACAACTAATAGCTCCAGTTATTTTGACTAACCAGCAAATTTTTGTGGCTCATTCCTCCTCCCATCAGCAACTTTTGCCAAGATGTCCTTTTGAAGGCTTATAATGTATTCTGCTTGCATTGGTAGCGTGATAGTAGTATCCATTGCCATTATTCTAGAATCCTCACTTCGACTTTGAATTAGAACTTCACGCTAATAGCAAGTTGCTCTTGCTCTGCAACATACATCAATTGGAATTGCTCATCTTGTCTGTGTGCATGTTCTAGTTTTTGTTTTCTTAATTCTTGGATTCCCATTTGAAGATCTATTGCAGACTCTGCATTTCCACCCATTAAATTTTTACTCTTTCTCTGGCTTGCCAATTTCTTTGCAGCCTTTTTACCTTCTAGCCTTTCTATACATCTAGATTCTTGAGAATCTTCCCCTAAATTGATTGCACATGGAATGCAAGGAGAAGAAGATGCAGGGTTTGCATTTGGACTAGTCTTGGATTTTTTCTTTCTAGTTTCAGTAGTCCATTTAGGTTGATCTTTCAATAGATGCCAACAATGCTCATACAAAAATGTTGATCTCATGAGTTGTTGATACATTTCTTTTGCTTGTAAGATTTGCACAGTGGAAATTGGCTTTCATATGTATATATATATATGGCTTGGAAAGCTGGAAAGATCACATAAGTTTCATGCAAAACTTATTGCAAGTACAGATTAAGGAAAACCTTTGGAGAAGCTAATAAAAAGAACACCATGATTATATATATCTTAGAATAGTACATGAAGTTCAAAAACTTTGCCAACGAACCACATTCCCAAGTCAAAAATTCAACTATTGAAACACGCAAGGCTTAGAACTTCTAAATAAATGTCATATTCGGTATTAAACTAACAGACATCAAGTATCAAGTGTGCAAATATTCTCATATGCATCTACATATATATTGGCTAATGTAAGACTTTTTAGCAAGAGAAAATATTTAAAAATTAAAACAAGCAAGGGTTAGAACTTCTAAGTAAATGGTATAGGTGAGTATCGTAAGACTAAATATACATAATGACTAAATGTGACTGTAAATTATTAATTTTGGAAAGAAGATTACCCTGTCTTTTTCATTGACACCACTTTGAGACCTCCTTCAATCTTGGCCATTTATCCACATAATTTATTCACTGAGAGTTGAATTCCTGACCAACGGTGTAGAAGAGAATTGGAACTGCGATCAGAAGTAAACTTCTTCTCTGCCATCTAGTACTCCCGAATTCTATTCCAATAAGTAGAACTCCTTTGTTCGTTGCCATGCACTAGATCTAAGCCAACATTGAGCCATGCAGACACAAGAAGCATATCTTCTTCAACAACAAAATTCTTAGCTCTTTGTGGTTTCTTGGTGGTTGGTATAGTTGGAACAATCACTTGAGGCATGTCATTGTCACCTTCATTTTGGTTTGTAGGCGTGCAACCAAATGTTGAAAATGGATCATTAAGGTTTACCTGTCCGTTGAGGATGTTGGCATAATATGTATTATCTACAGAATCCATCTAACAATTTGCAGAGAAGCACATTAATTTTTTTTTCTTCACAGAAGTACAATTTGCAGATCTAGAGAAAGGTAGGCCGTAGAAAATTAATCACCTCATATTTAAACATGGAAGCGGTTGTTGAAGCAGGTTAAGGCCATTGTTTTGCTGCTTCCAGTTATGAACCTCCTCTGCTGCGACCTTCTCCTTCTCCTTGATCTATTCACAAATTGGGCATAGGAAAACAGAAACCATAAAAATAAAAATAAAAACAAGCAAAATAATTAAAGACATATGATGGCACAATTTGCAGAAATTGCAGCAAAATTTTATCCAACAATTCAAGTACTTTTGAATACTTTCCCCTAAACCCTTGTAGAAATTGTATCATATACAAACCCAAATACTTTCCCCTAAACCCAAATTGTAGAAATTTCAGAGAGAATAGAAATGGCGATGGAGACTTTGACAGAGAGAATAGAGAGAAAAAGAGAAACGATGGAGACTTTGAAGTTTTGGGTTTGAAAGAGATGGCAAGCCTTGAATTTCTCTCTCCTCCTCTCTACATGTGGCAAGAGAGGTAGTGACTCTGCTGGAGGGTAGTTTCCCCTTCTTTTTCGCTAAAATAGCTTGGGATAAGGGAGTAGCGATGCTCCTGGAGATGCTCTTAGTTGAAACCCCCTTCCTCAAACTTCGTCTTGAATTCTGCACAATCTATTAGGGTATGAGCTAGAGCACCGTCAAACCAATTAGCTAAAATGAAGAAATTACTCGTCAGAGGTTGCTGGGTTCACTCTCGTTCCTAAGATTTGAAAAATATAAAATAAATGAGGTTACAAATTCTAATTTTAAAAAAAAAAACACTTTTTCTCTTAACATAGAGAGTATGGTACCCGCTCTAAGCTACTGATATAACCATTATTTCGTACATTTTTATTATTTTTCTCTTAGATTCTTGCTATGTTCTTGAGTGAGTTTAGTCCATTTTTACTTAGTTTTGTGTTTTACTAGGTTTGAAGAGTACAGATGGAAAAGCAAGCAAAAGGAGCAATTTTAGGATTGAAATATAATGTGAAATCCTAGGAGCAAAATTTGTTGTGCAGAACAGTCAACTTGACAGAATATACTATACTTCCTCAGAGCGAACCAGATGTTGAACCTTATATTGTTGGAAAGATACGGATGTTAGCTTTCTGTAGAATTTTACGGTTCGTGATTCGGACGTGCGTGAGAGTTGTGGCCATTTTAGTACAGACAGTTTGGGCAGAATGTGTTCTGCGGGTTTTGTAAAATAATCCTTTTGAAGTCCAACCCTTGGAGTCCAATTTATGGCAATTGCATTTGGAAAGTGTCTACAAGGATGTGGAGTTATTTTCTAAAGTCTGATCCTATATCTAGTAGGATTTTGGATGCCAACTCATCAAAGACAATTGAAGCCAAACTAGGAAAGCATAGTTACCAAGTCAAAAGAGGATTTGCTCCTTATTTAAAGAAGACCAGAAAATAAGGTTCTCTTATGCTGGAATTTGAAGGAGAGTCAAAGAGCCGCTACCATCGTCAAGTTCTCAAGCATCGTCACAATCCATAAGTTTTATTTTATGTTTTCTAGTTTTTCAATTATGTTTTCTTTGAACATGAGTAACTAAATTATTCTCTAGGGTGAGGATGACGCCCGAGCATGGATAATTATGATTTTTAATGGATTCTAAGTTTCGTTTAGATGAATGTTTAATCACTATTTTAATTGTTGCTATTTGTTTAAGTTCTTTGATTGATCACCTTAGGGCTTTGCATCTAGTAAATTGGAAGATGAACTTGAGGCAAAACTCGCAATATAATTCAATTAGCTTCTTGTGATTAAGTGTGGTGAATTACATTATTACTTGATGAAGAATAATGGTTTGCTTGGTTCTCTCATTTTCTAGAATGTAATGAATCCAACTTGTTAAATTTATGCCTTAACCAGGATAAATTGCAGGATTGTGTATATGATCTTTGTCGAACTAGAAAAGAATCTTACACTTAAGGAAAACTATGGTCTGAGTGCCTGAAAAGGACTTGGATACGGGAATTATCATCTAAAGAATCGAAAGAATCTATTGAATGCATTGCAATCTAACTTGAATTTCTTGTGGTTGATTCCTAGACCTTCATCATTCTTTTTCTATCTTTAAAAGTCAAGGTTTTAATTCTTAATTGCCTTGATTAATTTCTTGTTCGTTTCATAAACTTTCACAACAACAATCTCTACAAATTTACTTGCGTATTAGTTAGATTTAATTTAGGTATTCGAATATTAGATTAATTTGGAATCATCGTGGGAACGATACTTGGACTTGTCAAATGCTATACTACATCATTCATGTGCACTTGTAAGGACAGACCAGCTACAACCCTCAAAACGACCTGAAACCTATACCATCGGACTCGGATCGAGAAATTGAGTCGGATGGACTAAAAATATGGCATCAGAGGCTGCCGAAACAGCTGCCACTCTCCGGAGCCGAGAGTGGGCTTGTTTTCCGGTTATTGTTCATCGTCTTCCCAAAAAAATTTGCTAACTTCCCTTGTTTTTCCAGACTAAAACCTAGACTTTGTGAGACATTTTGACTAACCAAAAGTTAACTAAATTGGGCAAACTTGCAATGTTTTTAAAGCTTATTTCCTCTAGTTTCTAACCCAACAAACCACACTCAAAATGGAGCTAAAACGAAGGAGAAAACTAGCTCCAAAGTTGGACCCGTGGCTGGTTTTCTGCAGAAAATAGATTTTTTTTCTTCCAAATTCTGCACAAGTGTTTGACCTAACAAAACTCAACTGAATTCGACGAAACCAATTTGTTTTTGTTCCTTTCCAAGTCTAGTTTAAAACCCAACAAATGGAGTCCTCAAACACTCAAAGTATTGGGAGAAAAAGAGAGCCAAAATGAGGCTTGCGGGCTGAAAATATCCAGAAAATGACATTTTCTAGATTTGGTTCTAAGTTGTTTTTAAACATTCTATTACCCCCAGATTGTTCCTAAGGCTTCTAAAACTCTTCTAAACTTCATACCTATCATTAGAACTCATCAAAAACTCAAAATGGAACCAAAATCATAAACATCCACACTTGAAAAATTGTTCTATCCACCTAAACCCGAAAATGGAAGTTCAAACTCTTCCAATTCAATTTCTCACTCAAGTGACTCAAATTACTCTTTAAGGGACTAAAATCACACAACCACAAAGTTAAAACCAAAAATCTGAAATTGACTCACCTTAGAGATTTTTTTTCTTCTCTTCCTCCTATTCTACCTTATCTTCCTCACCCAACTTCCATCTCCTTCATCCTACAATCTTATCTTAGCTTGAGCAATTATTACCCATAGCCTAGTAGGTGATTCATCTCTAATAGATGAACAGCTCACTCCTAATTGAGATCAAGATCAGATTTTGAAGAGAATGTATAAGGGAAGGGGGGAAGAATGAAGGGAAAAGCATGGTTTTGCTTACATGTTGCAATTTTGTTTTGTTTGTTTTTTTGGCTTACAAGGTTATTTTGGAAATTTTCACACAGGGATATTTTGGTCATTTTGGCCCAAAATTCAGAAATGATTTCCTATGTGTTCGTTGAGTCGACAACTATCGTACTGCCTAAGAATCATAATGGTCTCACCCCAATTTCTTAAACATCCTTTGAAAAATTTACAAAATGTTACGTAATGGCATTTCTTAATCCAATAGTCTCAGTCCAAAATCACTTGATAAAATACCCATAATTATTCTTCACCATAATATTGTTTTTCACTTAAATATGAAAATCCACTTCTGAATTTTTCAGGGTATTACAAGGGCTCAACAACATCACAACACTTGAGCATCCTTGAGTAGAATACAACATCTGGAAATGGGTGATGTTCCCTTTTTGTAAGGTTCCCATATAACCTGAAATATGATAATATAGCATGAACTAATGGCAAGCACAAAATACCAAAATAAATATAAAAAATTAAAAGAAGCAACTGAACAAAGTTTGATGATCATGGAAGAAAAACACACCTAATCAACAGTCAAATCGCCAGGCCACTGTCTATACATCCATTTTCAAAAATTTCATACGAATTTCACTAAGAATACTACTATATTCTCTAACACGCATCCAATTTTTAAATATAACCCATCTAATGAGCTAAAGTTTTTGCCCACCTATTAGTAGAAATTTTAAATGTGTTGCCTCAAAAGACAATATTAAGTACACACTCAAAATCAAATTTAGTTATTACGCACCAAAACACGAAAACAAATTCGATAAGCTGCAACTGAAAACCATAAACGAATTCGGTGGTTACCCACCAAATATTCCTCCTAACCATCAAACAAAAAAAAAAAAAAAAAACATACACATTTATTTAATTTAAAAAAAAAAAAAAAAAAAAAAAAAAAAAAAAAAAAAGAAATTATGAACTGGCCAATCAGAGAACAACATGTGGAGCAAGGGATCCACAAGGAGGACCCACAAAACCTGACGATCTATTTACGTCCCACAAAGTACCATCGGCAGGCGGTGAGCCTTCGGTAACCCAACCTGCAAATCCTGGCTAAGGACTGCACTTCATAGTAATTTCTCACAAGGACACATGGTGCCTTCCCAAGTAGTGCCCGCAATCCTACATCGAAATCTCACTCAAAGGTGCCCACCTCCCAAAGTCTATAAATAGGGGTTGAAGTCCCCAAAACGAGGTAATTGTGACATTCAGCTACCTAGCCATTACTCTATTCAGATCACTATTTACTTCAAACTAAGTACTAACTTAAACATTGGAGAGTCTTTGGCCAGAACTACACTGGTGCCCAAGGCACTACCGAACGTGGAATCATCTCTAAGTTGGGCCCAAAAGTGTTCAACCATTTTTGTGCATCAACAGTTTGGCTCCGTCTATGGGAATATTGTCACTAATCGATCCACAATCTTTACCTAGCCAAGATGGGTACTTCCTCTATTTCGTTATTCTTATCGTCTGACGAGTCACCATTAGGAAAACAGGGTATGGCGAGTACAGCGATGCCCCCTCGCACGCTGAATGCAGGTCCCACTACACTCCAAAAAGCTATCGAAATCGAACAAGGCTCAAATTGCGATAATACGACAGGACATGGCAAAGATGCATGAACACATTCATCCAAAGTGGATGAAACACAAAAGCAGCTAAATCAGCAACAAACCCAGAACATTCAAGCCAATTAGTCTCTCTAGAGTGTACACACACCCAATGGGCAAAGGAAGGGGAAAGGCACAATGATTGCCTAACCTGCCCTTTCCGAGCAGTTAGTCATCCCTGCTCCCATGAACAAGCCACATTTGCCCCAGAAGGTCTATTCCGATTGTTGGCATAGACTAATGGATCGACGGGAGGAAATGGGTGAGTCACTGATCAGAATTGAAGCACGACTTAATGATTCCTGAATGCGGGTGTTGGCTGATCTAGAAGGCACATGAGACTTGGATCCAAAGCACATCCCATCCAAAACCCCCGAAAGTGCTTACTATTCGACAACTCCAAGTAGAGAGGAGTCACGTTACTTCGAGGTTCGCAAGGGAAGGTAGCCACGCCAGACGGTAGGTTACCGAGGTTACTGAGAAGAAAAAGATTTGCCCAACAGAGATACAGTCGTTCCTCTCCTCCTGTAGAAGGTTAAAAAGATGGAAGATGACAAATTTCCCTCACAAGAATTGACCTGGAACAAGCTTCGGCTGAGACTGTTTACCGATCGCATTAAAAATTCCAAGCAAGATAAAGATGTCCAAACTCTACGAGTACCATTTTACACAGGAGTCAAGCTCACCTACACACATTCCAATCGGCATTAGGATGCAAGGGTCTAGGAAATGAAGGATAATGTCTCCTCTTCCCTTCTATGCTCATCGGAGGAGCACTTAACTGGTTTTACCGGTTAGAGCCAGGTACGGTAGATTCCTTTGATAAGTTCAAACATATTTGTATTAACCATTTCGTGATCCAGATTGATCGCTTTTATTCGGTTGACTATTTAATCCCTAAACCCTTACAGGAATACGATGCTCGATTCAGCCATGAATAGTCACGGTGTCCAGAGACCGATGATAGGGCAGCCTTCAACACCTTCAAAAGTGGCCTTCGGTCATCTCATTTACGATACATGGTTCACAACAATAATTGGAATACGTACGATGAATTAATGAAGAAAGCTTCCATTCATGCGAAAGAAAATACTTCAATTCAAAAATCAGGCCTTCGGCTGAGCAAGGAGATTCTGGTATTTATGATCAACAAAAGTTCTCGGCATAGAAGCCTCCATATTCTACCCTCGACAAATGTAACACTTATCACTCGGGCAATAAATGAAAGGAAGACTTTTAGCCTTGGCAAGGGGGCTACAAGAAAAATAGAGGAAAGTTTAACATGAATCATCGTCGAGGACCCCTACCAAACCATGATAAAAGGCATGAGGTTTTTACTTTGCTCAACACCACATATGAAGCCCTCCTCGTGAACGAGCAAGAGATTAATCCCAAATAAGCTAACCGAAAACCCAATAAGCGGAATAACAAGGATATAGAAAAAATTTGTTGGTATCACCAAGATAACAGCCACGATACCAAACAGTGTATCAATTTGAAGAAGATCATCGAGCGCCTTATTTGGGAAGGCAAACTAGATCAATATATCCTTGGCCTCGAACACGCACCCACTCTAATGCCCAATTGGCAGATCAACATGATTAGTACAATCAGTTGCCGCCCTACCCTTGTTGGGACATCCAATCGATCCATGAAGAGCTATGTCTGTGCTGCCTATTACCCCCAAGTGTTCGGCATTGAAAATGCACGACACAACAAGGTGCCAAAGATCCAATGGGAAGCCATCACTTTCTACGAGGAAGAAGAAGAAGAGATCATCTTCCCGCATGACGATCCCATGATCATTCGAGCCGAGGTTGCCAATTTCTACGTAGGGTGAGTCCTAGTCGATACATGCAGTTCGGTTAATGTTATTTTTGCCGATACTTTCGAAGAAATGACAAGTACATAAATTAGCAGCTCACTCATCCTCTTAGTTTTCCTAGAGACTTGGTTCAGCTGGTTGGCAATGTCAGCTTGTCCTTGGCATTAGGCACGGTGCTACGCAAGACAATGATATATGATTAATTTCTTATCGTTGACTGCCCAAAGGCATACAATGTCATAATTGGTCGAACGTCATTCCCTCACAGGCTGCTCATGAAATTCCCTACCTTCTACGGAACAGGAGCCATCATAGGAGATTAGCTTAGTGAACACACTTGCTACGCCACGACACTTAAGTCAACCACACAGAGTGCCCCCAATAAAGCACTCTCTATGACTAGTATGCCGAATGACAACCTCATTGAATGACCAGTGATCCTAGAGACGAAACGCTAACCCTGCAAGCCCACCGATTAAAGATATGGAAATGGTGGTTCTTCCCGAGAACCACCCTGATCGGCATGTCAAGATCAACACTACCCTTACTGCTGCCCTTCGAGCTGATTTCATCCAATTTCTTTGCGATCATTCTGAGGTGTTTGCCTGGTCGTACGACGACATGCCCGATATCTCTCACGTTGTCATATGCCATAAAATCGTGCCCCAAAAGGGAAGATCGTACGATGCTGAATGATACGAAGCCATGAAGACCGAAGTAGACAAACTTCGTTCCATCGGCTTTATCATCGAGGCCACCTACCCTGTGTGGTTGGCCAATTCAGTAATGGCTAGAAAGGCAAAAGGCGGATGACATATGTGTCAAGAATATATGAATCTCAACAAAGCTTGCCCAATTTTAGACAACCAAAGTTCAAGTTCAAAAGTAGTAAATTGACAGACATAAAGTCTGGATCTTGCAGATCAGAAAACACTCACCAAGAGTACCTAGTCTTTTAGATTACAAAAACAAAGTTCATTTTCTCTGAACAAAAATATCTTAAAACAAAGGAAAGAAGAAAATGGAGTAACAATTTCACAGCAATCTTTTAAAGAAACAATGAGATTGACAATGATTATGGTTCCAAAACAATACCAGACATTAAATTAACACATAAATGTTGAGAAAAATACAAAGAGCAGAGAACGAGAGAGAGAGAGATCGTAAATAATACTTCAGCCAAGAATAATCTCAACTCCTTCACAAATCACAAGTAGATAAAGAAAAATGATATCAACATATATTCCTATTAAATTACAGTAACATATCAATACCCAAACAAAACAAAAAAAAAAAAAAAAAAAAAAAAAAAAAAAGCAATACCATAGCAATACAAAAGCAATACCACTACAATACAACCGCAATAAAATCACAATACAATTGCAATAGCAAATCAACAATGCTACCTCACTATGATATAATCATAACAAGTTCTTAGAAAATCCCAATACCAAATGCAAGAATAAATCGACAAAGAACAAACACATTTGTTCTTTCAGACAAACAAAATCAATCCCAATACTTCACTTTCTACACAAAATACAGACAAAATCAATCACAATTCCAATTTCAGTAATCAAATTCAATTTAACATCAAAACTTATATATTCCCAACAATTCATTTTTTGGAGAAGCTGTTCTTGAAGAGGGCATGTAAACCCTGACTTCAAAACCCCCCAAAATTGGACCAAAATGCTCAAACAATGGCCACCTAATGCCAAGACATGCTTGTGACAATTGTATAGCCAATATATTATATATTTGAGTCTGTGTCTTTTAAGGGTAGTTAGGTCTTTTACTTATCTAGGGCATCTTTGTATGCCTATATATTGTAAGCGTACAACAACTATATAATTTAATTGTTTTGTGAATATATTGGCATTCTCTGCTTCTGCTTGAATTGTTCACATGGTATCAGAGTGATCCTCCTAGGTTGCTGATGGTTTTTTGTTCTTCCCCCTTATGCCTTCTTGATTTGTGTTGCTGTGTTTCCTTGTTGATTTGCTATTGCATTTTCTGGTGTCGTCTGCTCATGTCTTCTTGGTTTTTCATCTATTTTGGTTTCCGCTGCTTTTGGTTCTTGTCTCTTCTATATTGTTTTCCACATGGCTAGTGAAAAAGATGATTCTCTTCAAGCTATCAGTGTGAAATTGCATGGTGCTAATTATTTTTATTGGGCCTATGTTATGAAGAACTTTCTAATGGGAAAAGGAATGTGGGGTTGTCTCTGGCGATATTGTTGTCCCATATGATAAAAAAGCAGAAAAGTGTGTTGAATTGTTGAGTACGTGGCAGATGCAAAATTCTAAAATCATCACTTGGATCAATAATTCCGTGGACATCTCGATCGGTATGCATCTTGCAAAATTTGGTACATCTAAGGAAATTTGGGAACACTTAGAAAGATTGTACAACAGATCCAACTTTGCTAAACGTTATCAATTATAAAGTGATCTTCGAGCCACCAAACAAGGAGATAAAAGCATTCAAGATTTTTATAATGTTATGACTGGACTTTGGGATCAACTTGCATTGACTGAACCTTCTGGACTTAGCTCTATTGATCTTTATTGTACATACAGAGAAGAGCAGCGCCTTGTTCAATTTCTCATGGCTCTCCAAGATGAGTTTAAGCACTTTGTGGTTCTATTCTTCATCGTAATCCCCTTCCTTATGTTGATTATGTTCTCAATGAATTATTAGTTGAAGGGGTTCGCTTAACATCCCATGCTAGCACGGGTCTTCTTCCTTTGCCAAACCAAACAGTCTTCGCTGCCCAATCTCGGTCCTTTCCTTCTTCACAAAATAAGCCACGCCCTAGAGTTGCAGTTGATGAATGCGCCTTTTGCAAAGAAAAAGGTCATTGGAAATCTCAATGTCCTATACTCCTTAATAAGAAGTCCCAACCACAGCAAGTCTTCCCACCCGAACGATATCCAACAATTGCAGTTGTTTCATCACATCGCGAATCTTCCGCCAGTCCTACAGTGTCGCTTACTACAGAGCAATTTCAGAAATTTTGTTCTACCCATTAGCCTAATGCCTTGTCCATGATTTCCCATTCTTCAAGTTTGCCTTCCTCATCTTCTTCAGGTATATCCCCATCCACTCGGGTCTTTGACTCAGGCGCTACAAATCATATGACTAGTGATCTGTCATTGTTTACTTCATTGTCTTCTTTGTCTACGTCAATTTCTGTTTTGACTGCCAATGGCACTTCTATGTCATTGGCTGGTATCGGCTCTATCACAACTTCTGGCCTATGTCTATCTGATGTGTATTAAATTCCTCAACTCACCTTGAATTTGATTTCTATTAGTCAATTATGTGCTTCTGGCTATGTTGTTCAATTTTCTTCTACTTCGTGTTATGTACAGGATCCTCACTCCAAGAAGTTGATTGGGACAAGCCGTAGAGAGGGAGGATTATATGTGTTGGAGAAGCTCCAGATTCCTGCCTTGGTGGCTTTGTCTATTGATTTGTCGTCTTTTTGTTTGAGTCCTAAGTCGTCTAATTTTTACCTTTGGCATTCTCGTCTTGGTCATGTCTCTGGTTCTCATTTGAAATATTTAGTTTCTACAGGAGCTTTAGGCAATTTCAATTGTCATGACATTTCAAATTGTAGTGGGTGTAAATTTGCCAAATTTTCTGCATTAGCTTTTACTAGAAGTTCCTCTATTTCTTTAGCATCATTTGATTTAATTCACTATGATGTGTGGGGCCCAGCTCCTATTTCTAGTAAAGGGGGTGCTAGATATTATGTTTCATTTATTGTTGACTACTCTCGTTATTGTTGGATTTATCTTATGAAACACCGCTATGATTTCTTTTCTATTTTTCAAAATTTTCGCACCCTTGTTCATACATAATTTTCTAGTGTCATTAAATGTTTTCGGTGTGACTTGGGTGGTGAATATACCTCTCATGCTTTCACTGATTTGCTTGCCTCAGATGGTACCATACACCAATTCTCTTGCATTGCCACTCCTGAACAAAATGATGTTGCCGACAGAAAACATCGAAATATTGTTGAAATTGCCAGGTCTATGTTGCTTGCTGCTGATGTCCCAAAAGTTTTTTGGGACGAAGCAGTTCTTACTGCCAATCATGTGATTAATCGCATTCCCACATCTCTCACCTTTGGCATATCTCCGTTTGAAAGATTGTATGGTAACAGTCCTGATTATTTCTCATTGAAAGTGTTTGGTTGTACTTGTTTTGTTCTTCGTTCTCCTGTCAAACATACACAATTATCTACTCGCTTTGCTATGTGTGTTTTTCTTGGTTATGACGAAGGACAAAAAGGTTATCGTTGTTATGATCCTAGTGCACAAAAATTGTATGTCTCTCGTCATGTGGTTTTTCTTGAGCATATTCCTTTTTTCTCCATTCCTACTAGTTCTCCTACTTTATCGAATTCTGAGCTCATATATATCAATCCTTTTTCACCTACTAATGATGATTTCTCTTATTCTAACAATGTTAATAGTTCTCCTGTTTCTAGTACCCCTTCTAATCCTTGTGTTACTTCTCCTCCTATTACTCAAGTATATTCTCGCAGGAAACATGTCATAAGTTCTTACACTAATAATCCTTCTTCTCCTTCGGCGCTTGCTTCAACTTCTGTGGATGTGGATCCAATAGCACCTTGTTATACTTCACGCACTCATAAGCCCCCTCATCGGTTTGGTTATTCTTCTAATGATTTTAGTTAACAATGCTGTCATATTCAGAAAAGATAGTTTTGTTTGGGTTTGTTTAGGTTGTAGAAGGGATTCAAAAGACAGATGAAGTTGAGGTTTAGATTTGGGTAAAGAAGAAAATAGAGAGGAAGAAGAAGAACTGTGTTTTGAGGGCAAAGCTGTGAGTTTTGTAGGTTGTTCTTGATCTTCTTTTTCGTGAGAAGAGACGTAGTTAGCTAAATGAAGAGAGAGAGAGAGAGAGAGAGAGCGCAAAAACTGACTAAAAGTGTTATATGGCTGATAAGTGGGCAATAAATATGTATTTATAGGTGATATTTGTAAAATTTATGAGAAAATGTGGTGTTAAAATTAAAAAAAATGGTGGCATTAAGTGCTATTTTCCTTTTTTTTTTCTCTCTCTCTCCCCCTCTCTTCCTCTCTCTCTTCCTCGCTGCACAAACAGAACCCAACTCACCCTACCCCGCAAAATTACTGAGCCACCCAACTAACCACCGCGAAGGAGGGCTTCTTTCTCTATCCCCTCTGCGAATAAGGGGCCCCAGGAGAGTGAGGTTGCTGCGATGGCGGAGATGGACACTCAAAAGGAGAGAATTTGGGACTTGTTGAGTTTTGGGGGGGTTGGGATTTTGGGGATGGAGATTTGGATTGGGATTCTGGGCTTTGAAATGGGAGATGAGGAAGGGGAAGAGATGGGTACTTTGGAGGAGGCCATGATCGTGTTGGCCATGGCTATTCTGGTGCTTTCTTTCTGGTTTGTGTTTGTTCTCTGGACTTTTTGGTTTTGATAGTTTGTGGGATTTTGAGATTTTGAGATTTGAGGGGCTGAGAGTGTAAGTCTCATTCTTCATCTGTCTCTCCTCCTATTCCACGATTTCATACCCACAACCTCCTTCATTCTCCTTCTCTAGTGTGAGAGAGAAAAGAGGGAGAGATGATAGAGGGGGGGTGATGAAGGCGGGGAATGGCTAGTTATAAGAGTCCCACATTAGAAAGTTGAGAAACCTAGCAAGGGCTTATAAGGAGTTGGGCTACTCCCCCCATTGCCAATTGGTTTTGGGGTGGAACCTCAACTTCCTTCATGGTATCAGAGCCAGGTTGCCCACGTGTGAAAGCCTAACGGCCACACGTGCTCCACGTCACCCAAAAATGTGTTGTCCACGTGTTAGGCTTGAAAATTCGCTACACGTGCAGGGGCGTGTGAGAATATGAAGGTAAGAGTCCCACATTGGAAAGTTGAGAAACCTAGCAAAGGCTTATAAAGAGTTGGGCTACTCCCCCCATTTCCAATTGGTTTTGGGGTGAAACTTCAACTTCCTTCTTGGTACTTTTTTTTAAATTTAAATTTTAATCTTATTAATTTTCTTTTTAAATATATTAAATTTTTTTATCTGAAATATTTAATTTTATATTAAAGTTGACTGTTCTTAATTAATATTAAATATTTTTTAATTAATGAAACTGTCGGAGTTAGACATTGGACTTGATTTGTTAAGTGACCAAATTTGATTTGAGCCAAACCCTAGTGACCAAAAATATATAAATAACTACATGTTTAACCTTTGAAACAGTATCAAGTGTTTGATGTCACAACCCCCTTTCTGTGCAAAGCACATAATAAATCAGCTGAAATGAATTGTATTATATCAGTAATTCTTCCAGGCCTCTGCCACTGTATTAATTGTAATTGTGTTTGTACACAACAGATTAGTCCCACAGAAAGCAAAAGGAAAAAGCAGAAATCGCATAATCTATATTTTACATGTAATTTGCAGTTCATATAAAACATGAATACAATGAGAATAATTCCTTTTAGGAATAAAAAAGGAACCAATTTTCTGGTAGTTAAATATCTGAAATGCCAGAAGTTTGATACAGAGGTATCAACTTCAGCAACAGCTGCTTGTGGATGCATCTGACTGTGGCGGTTTCTCCTTAAAGATGTTGTTCTTCTTCATCCCTTTAGAACCCTCAGCTACGAGACTGGGAGTATCCAGAATCTGCATATATATGATTGCAGTTATCGTGCCGTCATTTGGTGCTCTAATTTTGTTTTGTTAGTATATTATTAAGTATTCAACCTATGTCTAAATTCAATTCTTTGAGCAAGTTTTATCAATGTTGTCTTGGCATTGTTATATGTCGCTATGCAAACAGTGATGTTTTCTTTTATTCCACAAACTTTCCCAATACACAAGTTCCATAGATTGGTGTAGACGCAATAAATGAGATAAGAACAGTTAAAAGGTTTCCAAACCTTTAAAACAAGCTCTTCAAAGCACTGCTGCACATTAACTCGAGTTTTAGCACTACATTCAATAAAGAGACATCCAGATTCCCTGGCGAAATTTATTCCCTCTTTCTTTGTCACAACCCTGTCACTCTCCTGAAAAATAAGGATGATCTGAGTCAATATCAAAATCTCAAAAGGTACCTAACAAAAATAGTGTACTGATTCAAGGCCATCTAGAATTTGGTGATTAACTTGACCGGTAATGTTTTTTGTGTTCCTTCAGTTAAATGCTAAGTGTCTAACAAGTGGACGGAGCTCTAAAGTACAAAATAGGGCATCCTTGTGGTAACATAGCAGCAGCACGAGACAGAATCTCAAAAATTGAAGGAGAAAAATCCACACTGAATTTAAAATCATAATTAGAGGTATCCTGAAAATCTTATTTAAATTCTTGCAGTACAGAATCATGTCTTGAAATTTGCATGTTCTGCAAGGGGCTTCTAAAAATTAATATTTTAATACGAGCGTACAGAAGCAATATAAGAAATGACTCCAAACCCTTCGCATCTCAGCTCTCGAATATGTAAATGCATACAGACAGAGCACATATGAATGCTTGTGGTGTAATTCCTCCAAAAATGATTAAAAACAATAAACATCTCCCGAGAAACTTAAATTGGAATAGTGAAATACCTTATCAACTTTGTTCCCAACAAGCATCTTGATGCAGTCTTGATTTGTTGAATAGAGTTCTATTTCCTTGGCCCATACATCACAAAGGTTTGTAAATGTTTCTCGCCTTGTTACGTCATAAACTGTTAGAGTTTCAAAAATCAAATGAGTACTTAACATAAAGAATTCCTGAATCAGAGGCCTAGCAAGTAACAAATAACTTATACTTTATCAGCTGACACATGATTATTTTCTCATAAGTATTTCAACAACTCATGGGAAGTCATCTGCCTGTCCTATTTCAACTCACAGGACAACAGGTGTTTCTATTCAAGAGTCCAATCTTAGATTTTAGGACAAGTAGCAAGTCAAAGAAAAGCCAGTCACTTCCTAAATAAGGTAAGGCAATACGAAAATGAAACAATGGGGATCCCTCATTCTACACTGTAATTCAAGAATGTGAACCGTCTATTTTCTATGTCTACAAACAAAGATCATCCTTGCAAAAATTTATCCAAAATGGAAAACATTATGTTCATCTACTTATTTGATCATCGTTAGATGAACTAATGATTTCCGATTTGGCAAATTTTCAAAACAATGATCTTTGAATGGAGACTTCAAAAGTAGACAGTTCAGATTATTGAAGGGGCCTGGATTTGTTTGTATCATAAAAGATTAAATTCTCATATTCTTTAGGTTTAGCAGCTAGTCGTATTTGCACTACGACTGATGTTGTTCTGATTGATTATCCAACAGAAGAAGGCTATAAAAAGAGAGCTTCCATGAGAGTCCATTCGAAATAATGTCAGAAATGAGAAGTCCATTACAAATGCAAGCAAAGGAAAACTCATTGACAAATCATATGGTGGTTTCACTTATTCTACCAACCATTTGGTGATAGGAGTGCACATAGTAATTTCAGCTTTATTTCTAAACTAAAACTAAAACTAAAACTAAAGGGACAATGTTGGATAAAACAAGCTCTGGACATTTTTCAGCACAATCTCCAAATTGATAGGTGGCTTTTGCAGATAAGTAAGCTCACATTCTCATCGTCAACCCTGAGTAGCGAGAGACATTGCTGTGCTTGACACAAGAAGGTGATAATAACAGGAATTCTCATAGTGGTTATGAAGGGCAACCTTATTTAATGCTCTTCTGACTAAGCAAAAGGAATTCAAAGGGGAAGATTGGCGACAGAGCAATATTAATCAAACACCTAGTCCATAACTATAGACAACAACAGTACTCTTCGCCTACTGAGCCTCATCCAAATATGTACAAAGTAGTATTGGTAAGTGATACAAATGTCGACTTACATCAATCTGTTAACCTATTCTATTGGAGGATTAGTTGATAATGTACAAGGTAATATGCTACCCTAAAATGTCTGTCAAAATCTAACGGGCCAACCATGGTTATGTCATTAGAAGGTGCACTATTATGGTATATTTCATTATATATGGGAACTATGTGTTTAAGCTTGGGCCTACAGTCTCTCATGAAACTCAAGAGGACAACTGGTACTGTCCTTCTTAAACGCATTGAAGAAGATGATTCTATTCTCGTCCACTAACAAACTGGAGCAGGTCAAGTTCCTTTCAGAGAGGTGAAATTACACAATAGCTACTATTGCTTGGTGAAAAAGTTATATCCTCTTTTGAAGTGCAAGAATAATCCATGGTAGTGTAATGAAAGGTCCATGGAAGTGTCAGTAAATAAAAATAAATAACTAAACCAACCAGTCAAAGGGTCAACCTAAGAGTTAATGTCAAATATTATATAGAATCAATTTATGCATAGAAACACTAAATGTCATTAAGTTTTTTTATTTCTCTAATTTCTTGAACATTAAGCAACTCTGAAACTTTCTTTTTCCCCAAATCTTTTCTCGCAAAAACTATCACCTGATTCTCACTTCACACCCTGAAGTGTACTTTGCCTCGGTTAGCAACAATAAAAAAAAAAAAAAAAAAAACAAAAAATACACTTTGCCATTTTGTCAACTTTTTCTAAAAAAAAAAACCATTAAGCCTTTTTTGACGTGGCATGAGTGGGCCCTTTTTTTCCTTGCACAAAAGTGAAGTTTTCATCATGTGGACCAAAGAATAATAAAATTTTCTTCTAAACTTCTCTCATCTTTTAACAATATTAAAAGAAATTGAAAAAAAAAAAAAAAAATTAAAAAAAAAAAAAAAAAAAAAAAAAAAAAAAAAAAAAAAAAACTGTGTGGTGCAATATTTTCAATATTATTTTTTGGTCTGCATGGGGCCAACTTGGGTTCACATGAACTAAAAATGGGCCCACTCCTGCCACGTCAAGAGGCCTAATGGATTCTTTTGATAGAGAGTTGAAAAAACTGGGAAAGTGAGACACAAAGATGAATTTTACTGAGGTAAAGTAAGTTCAAAGATTTGGGGCGGCATGAACATAATTAAGCCATATTATAATCAAAGTTCGTGGTTTTGTTCTGTAGTTTACAAGCACATTAATTGTAAATCCCATACACCTCGAACAATTCCGACTTACTTTGAGCACACATAAATACCCACAGAAGTTCATAACGGCAAGAAGAATAACACTTAACATTTAAAATGTGATTCTTAAGCCAAAAAATATGGTACATGTCAGGCTTCTCCCACGTCTATAGAACCAAAACACACTGATTTAATCATAAATTCCAAATAAGTGAATGCCCTTTGTTTTTTAACATGCTATCAAATTCATCATGGGGTAGCTACTACAATTCCTCTTCCAAAAGTTTTTTTATAATTCAATATTTCAAAGGACCAATCCTCTAAAAATATAAATAAAGAGCAAAACTAAAGAGAAAAGGCAGCATCATATTCACAACTTTGCAAGAAGTCATTACCTGCAATTTCACTTGTAAAATAATATAAAACATATGTTTGTAACGCTTACCCATAATGATTCCTTGTGCACCTCTGTAATATGAACTTGTCAACGTTCGAAATCTCTCTTGACCAGCTGAGTTTATAAACATTTAGAACCTGTTAGAAATGGCAGTCCAAGCCCTCCTCTTTACAAAAAGAGAAAATTGGTGAAGGATAGCTTACCTATAAAATAAACAGTAAAAAATAAAACAATTTACAAGAAAAATGAATTCCTAGCAAAAGAAGCAGTGAACAATATCCAAGGTCATGAATAGCTTATCCGTACAATGATGACAAGATGATCTCATGGAATAAGACAATGTCAAGAAGCATACAAGCCAAAAGCCAAACATAGATTTGTACAAGAATGTTTAAAGGCAAATCATAGCATTGGCATGACTGCAGAAATTTCTCAAACTTCAATTCAGCAGAGCTGAATCGGAATCCTACCACTCATATTAAATGTTAGCGCAGAAGAAGTCTTCTGATTCATTCCCAACTGGAAATAATTGGAAACACATGTAGTTGCACATGAGCACTTAAACAATTTGAGTTCAGAGGAAAACCACTATAAACAAAAAACATAACAAAAATTCAAAGCCGGGGAAAAAACAGAAACTTGAATGCACTTTCGTTTGGTTAAAACACTCCAAGCAACAAGAGGAAATGATTAACAGGCAATCACAAATAATAACAAAAATCCTTCAGAAAATATATTTTGTATTTAATTCAATCCTTTTTGTTTCCATTAACGATCCCACATTTCTGGAATTTATCATACAATTTTGGGTAATCAAAACTTCCAAAATGACCTCATCACATAAGAGCAAGCACTAAAAACTGTAAAATCTAAAAAATGTCAGAAATTTGAAGATGAGCGGTGATTTGGGATTACCTGTATCCCAAATTGCAAGCTTGAGCTTTTTGCCTCCAAGAGTAACATATTTCACCTTAAAATCAACACCTACACCCACCAAAAAATGAAAAAAAATAAAATTGGGAAAGCATACAATTTCAATTTCAAGAATGTGAAAGAGAATATGAAGAAATTGAAAGGGGAGAGAGAGAGAGAGAGGAGATGCAAACCGATGGTAGGAGAAAGATCTTCGAAGGAATCGGAAGTGAAGCTGAGGAGGAGACTGCTCTTACCAACCCCAGAGTCCCCAATCATCAACAGCTTGAACAAGTAATCGAACTCCGCTTGATTCGAACCCCATTCCATTTCTCAAAATCAATTTCACATCCAAGATTTCAAATTTCAACGCAACGCCAAGATCTATCCAACAACAAACTCTTGCAACGCAACCAAGGACACAACCGTAATTCCAACACTGCCACCGAGTTTGCTCATAACTCGGAAACTTTCCTTCCCTCTCTCAATACTCGATACTACCAAATGCCTTTTTTATTTTTCCTTTTTTATTTTTATTTTTTTTTAAAAATTTTCATTTTACTGCCCTCAGTTTCCTCCATATTTCCATCATCGTGTTAGTTTTTATATTTTATATTTTCGGCTTTTATTTTAGAACAATGTTACTCTTATCACATTTTCATACCATCTTACATGGCAAATGAGGTGTACATTCATATCAATAAATCATAAAAGAAAAGAAAATGTTAAATTAATTTTAATTAATGTGGTTGTCCACCTCATCTGCCACATGATGTGGTATGTGAATGTGATATACAAATGTGGTAAGAGTAGCATTACTCTTCATTTTAACATATAAATAATCGAAATCTTCAAGATTGTGGTCCTACAGTTAGAAATCTTCAGTATTTTAGGAATTGACCTACATGCTCATTAAACACAAACTTTAGTTCAAAAAATACTCACCTTACAATAGGGATGACAGCAGGCCGGTTCGGGGGCTGAATATGGCAATAGGCTAGCATCCCTATCCCCGCCTCCACCCCATACTCGGTAAGAATTTTGAGGGAATCTTCATCCCCTTTCCCATCCCTATCAGTGTCGGGGGGCTATCTCTCAAACCTGCTTATGAATCCCCAAATTTTGTTATCATATGAAAAATGAAGTTTCTTAAATCTAAATTAATTAGGGCTAGTTCTCCTCATGCATGTATCTCTCAAGGAAATATAATGAGGCCATCATATATGGACTTTAGAAGCAAACCAACATCACAACCACACATCTCTGACAAGGAGTATTTGATGGTGATGGGTAGAGGGGCAAAATAGGAAAAAAAACAACAAAAACAGCCAGCATGAATTTTCCCATATTGGAGAGACCAACTTCGTTTACTTTTAATAGGTTTTTAGCCTTGCTTTTCATTTGTGAATTTGTACATATTTGCTTTTTATTCAACTTGTATAAACATTATTAACTGCAGTAAACTCCTCAACCTATAGGGTCATTTACGAGTTCATACCTAATTTTGGGGACATTTACGAGTCCATACTCAACGTCACAGAAAACCTATAAATTGCCCCCTCCGTTAGCGAGTCCGTCAGGAAATCTGTTATCTGCCTACGTGGCGTCTAGCCTTCTGTAATTCAGGAAATCTATTAAGGGCATTTTCGGCATCTCATGTCCTTGGGTTTTGTGCCCAAAACAGCACGTGGCCTTATGTAATTCAAAACAAAAACAAAAACAAAAAACCCCCGAATCATGTTCCAGAAACTCGTCGTCCATAACCCCCTTCACCGAAATCGATTTCCCCCCTAAAATTGAAACCGATTGCACAAATTGAAACCTAATCCCCATTTCGCATCGATCGAAAGTACAAAGAAGTCTAGGTTGCTGTAATTCGAGATGTCGTGGGGTATTCGTCCTCGTGGTTGTTATGCTCCTCGTTACTGTAAGGTGAAGGCAGTTTTAACTTTTCTTGTTTTTTGGTTTCCTCATAAAGGGTTAGATGCGTGCGGTTTGATTTTGTCTAAACCTTTCAGTTGCTTTGAAGTGTGCTTGATAGTGATATTTGTGGTCCATGGTCCATTCTGTCGTTGTGTTGTTGGAAAAGCATAAAAGGTCTATTTCTGCCGTTGTGTTGTTAGAAAAGAATAAAAAAAAAGCACTTTTTTTTTCAAAACAAATTGCTTTCGATTCCAGATAGTACTTAGTGGTCCAAAACCTCTGCATTTATTTATGTCCTTGTTTAGTCACCCTATATATTGAACAATTGTGTGTTGATAGGTTTGACTGTTATGTGGCTTTGTAGGTGAAGATGATAAGTTTACTATTCGAATGAACCATGGGGGTTCTTTATGTGACAACCTGTATGTAAATGGGACTCTGGATTTCATTGATTTTTGCAATAAGGACCAAATGTCTATGTTTGAAATTGGTTTGATGGTTAAGAAGTTAGGGTATGATGGTATAGTGTTATATCACTATGAGCTTCCTAACTCTTCTTCTATAGAGAAGCTTAAGTCTCATGAAGATGTTCTGAAAATGTGTGAATGTGTGCCAGGAGTAAGGGAGATAGATATGTTTTTGACATAGTTGGCTGATGACCCTTATACCTTTTTAAACAAACACAAACATATCGAGCTGCAAAGGGTGGAAGGTTCTGGGGTACAAAAACAAAGGTCAGTGGTGATTGAGGATATAGGATGTGCTGATTCTATTCCTCTTGTTCCTTATAAGACAAAGAGCAATGTTGAGTAGCCAACTAAATATCTTGAGCCACATAAGGTGAAGATAGTGGAGCAAGTACCAGTGGAGGATGTTGGGGATTTTTCAGAACCTGAGGCACCAAAGAATGCAAAGGGTAAAACAGTGGCTAAGGCACCAAAGAAGGGAAAGGGAAAGGGTAAAATAGTGGCCGAGGCACCAAAGAAGGGATAGGGTAAACCAGTGGCTGAGGCACCAAAGAAGGGAAAGGCTGCAAGGTCTTCAAAGGATAAGGACGTGGCTGAACTTGAGCCATCAAAGAGTGTAAGGGCTACAAGGTCTTCAAAGGGTAAAGAAGTGGCTGAACCTGAGGCACCAAAGAGGGCAATGGCTACAAGGTCTTCAAAGGGTAAAGGTGTGGCAATGGCAAGTGCAACAGATAGGGAAGATAGTGATGCATCCTTATCAAATGCATCTAGTTTTGTTGACAGTAAGTATGGGGGGATAACATTGAAGAGATAGCTAAGGAAACCATATTTTTGCAACAGTGGATTACAGACCATGCCCCAGTTGAAGATACTTTTCAGCCTCTTGAAGATGAAGAGATAAATGAGGGTGAAGGTGGTGCTGTTAATGAAGGTAGTGTTGTTAATGAGGGTGAAGGTCCAAGTGGGGACCAACCTTTACATGCTGGTCCAAGTGAGGACCACCCATCACATGTTGGTCCAAGTGGGGACCACCCTTCATAGTCTGGTCAAAATGAAGACCAACCTTCACAAACTGGTCAAAATAGGGAGCAACCTTCTTGGACTATGGATTTTCACCATACGGATCTTCAAGACACCAGATTAGAATAGGGGGATCAAGCAGTGGAGGTTGAGTTAAGAAGTGTTCATTCAGATGAACATGAGGAAGCAGTTGCAACGGGGAAAAAATTCAAACACTATAACCATGAAACAGACAAACAAAACCCTGTATTTGATACTGGAATGATATTCAGTGACTGCAAGGTTTTCAGAGAAGCTATTCGTGAATATTGCTTGTTGAGTGGGAAATAGGTCACTTTCACCAGTAATGAAAAGTATAAGCTGAAGGCAGTTTGTAAAGCAGTGAGTTGTCCATGGCAGATTTATGTGGCTTGGAAAAACCCTACAAGTCGAAGCTTGGTGGTGAAATACTATAATCTCAATCATAATTGTGTCAGAGTATTTGAAAACACACAAGCCTCAAGTAAATGGTTGAGAGATAAGTTCCTGCCTAGGATTCAGTCAAATCCCAAGATGCCTCCAAAGTCTATAGTGAATGCAGCCTCTTCTGAGTTTAAAGTAGGTATATCTAGGATGAAAGCTTACAGGGCAAAGGTAGAGGTGCTTCGAATCATTGAAGGATCAGTTGCTGAGCAATATGCCATGCTCTAGGATTATTGCCATGAGCTAGAACACAAAAACCCTAGCTCCACAACAAAGATGCAGTGTGAGTTTGTTGATGGTAAAACTGTTTTCAAGCGTTTGTACATTTGTTTAGAACCATTAAAGAGAGGGTTTAAGATGAACTGTAGGCCTTTTATTGGGTTAGATGCTTGCCATTTAAAAGGGGTTTATGGTGGACAGTTGCTTACAGCAGTTGGGATCGATCCCAATAACAAGATTTGGGTGCTAGCATATGCTGTGGTTGAGATGGGAACAAGGGAGTCATGGACATGGTTCATAGATCTGTTGGCCAAGGATGTGGACATTGTTAATTCCCATGGATGGGCCTTTATATCTAACAAGCAAAAAGGACTACCTGGTGCATTTGAAGACATTGTGCCTAATGCCGAGACAAGATTCTGTGTGAGGCACCTTTGGGATAACTTCAACAAAACGTATAAAGGTAAAGTATTGAGGGATCAGTTATGGACATGTGCTAAAGCTACCAATGTGCCTTGCTTTAACTATCAAATGGAAGTAATGAAGACCTTGGATAGCAATGCATGGGAGTGGCTTGCTGAGAAGCCACCAACATAATGGACTAAGTCTCATTTCAAAACACATATTAAGTGTGATATGCTGCAAAATAACTTGTGTGAAAGCTTCAACAATAGTATCAAGACAGCAAGGGACAGGCCAATTATCACAATGCTAGAGATGATCAGGTGCTTGTTAATGAGAAGGATCCAGTGGAGGAGGGATAAGATGACCAGTTGGCCTCATCAAATATGCAGTGGTCTAGTGGTCCTAAATAACAAGTGGATGCAGGAAGAAGTGACCAATATGTGGTGGATTTGGATAATCACACTTGTTCTTGCAGAAAGTGGGACTTGTCAGGCATTCCTTGTGCTCATGGAATTGCTGCCATACATTACAAAGGAGGTAAAGCTGTGGAGGATTATGTGCATTCATACTATAGCAAGGACAGTTACATGGCCTTTATAACAATCTCATTATGCCAATTAATGGATCACAGTTATGGGAGAAGACAAACCAGACAGCAATAAAGCCACCAGCCTACACTAGACAACCTAGAAAACCTAGAAAGGTGAGGATAAAAGGAGCTGAAGAGAGAATAGATAAGACTAGGAAAAAATGGTTGGGAAGACAAGGAATGCAAATGCGGTGTAGTATTTGTGACTCAACTGGCCATAACAAAACCCCTCACCATCGGAATCTACCTCAAAAGGAAAAACCCCTATCAATGGGTAAAGGAAGACCAAGAAAAATATCTAACCAAGACCCTGCAGTTGCTGCTGTGAGTGCCTATTTTTATTGCTAGGCTATTGATGAAATGTTCTGTTGTTTCTTCCTTAAAATGGAAAAGCTATTTTATTGTTTTATTGTTTGAAGCTGAAAGTGTTTTTTATCTGTAGGATGAAGCAAAAGCAGCTGCAAGAGTTAGGAGAAAGCTTGCATATGCAAGGGCAAAGGTTGCTGCTGCTGCAAAGAAGGCTGCACTAAATGCTTCCCAGCCAAACTGGAATAGGATTGAGAGCATCCAAGCGACAGAGAACATAGGCTCTTAGTTCTTAGTTTATGCAAATTCCATTTTATTTTAAACTAGTACAACTTCTGGTTTTGTGATGTGGCCTGATAAGTTTACTTTTGGTAGCTGTTTTATTGTATTCCAGATTAGGTGCTCATGTTCATTTTGTAAATTTGAGCTGCAAGGGTTGGAAAAGTATGTATGTATTTTGAACTCAAAATATAATGGAATTTGCCTTCAAGCAGTTGTTCAATTGGAAATTGCCTAACAATTGTGCATACATAAACAGTCTGCATTTCCAAATTTCCTAACAATTTTCGGTTTTCCTCTTCTTCCTTACGTAATCGTTTCAATAGTCCAAATATCATAATCTTGAACCTTTTGCATACTTGTGGATCATACCATTCAAAGAATGCACATCCTCTTCTTACCCCATAATCGGCACAGCCCCAAAATCTTCTCCCAGGGTTGTTGTCAGTCCATGATGTTGTCAGACGACATTGATTGCCGCAATGACAAATGGGTTGGCCCACTTCGCATCTTCGATTTGCAGACATCATCGACCTCGTCGACATCGTCGTCTTTGTCTTCTTTGAATTGGAACCTGGGCATCCACTTCTGTCGATTTGGGACTTAGGTCTGAATGGGGGCTTAGATATGGAACTCAATTTGGGGTTTTCTGTTTTTCTTTTTTGAATTAGAGTAAACCACGTGTTGTTTTGGGTGCCAAACCCAGGGACCTGAGATGCCGAAAATGCCCTTAAAAATAGTATAGCTAGATGCCACGTAGGCAGATAACAGATTTCCTGACAGACTCGCTAACGGAGGGGGTAATTTGTAGGTTTTCTGTGACGTTGAGTATGGATTCGTAGGTTGGGGGGGTTTACTATAGTTTACCCTTCTTGAAATTATAAAAAGTCAGTTTGTCCGTTGTAGTATAAAAACCATTCATGTTTTCATCCAGACGCAAGTTGAAGCATACACACTTTGGTGCTCTCTTCCACCAGAATAAACTTTCTTTGAAACATCTCTCTCTCTCTCTCTCTCTCTCTCTAGAATTCCCTATTAGTTCCGAAGTCTCCAAGTCTTAAGTAAGAACCAAGATAATAAGTAAGCTTCCTTTGTCTATATATATATATATATTTTTTTTCAATTTTCACACACAGACTTCTAGTTCAAAATAGGGGAACACTATTATAGTTGTATTATTACCATGTTAAACTGAAGATCATACTTCGTTTGACCACTCTGTTATAGTTAGGTGCATACCGTAGTAATTGATAGGAGTCAATCAGGGGACTCTGAGTTCAGGGAACCTTTGAGTTCTTCTCTTTTGACCAAAGTTGGGTTGGTTGATATTTCAGAGTTCCATTTTCAACACTACTACAAAAATAGAAATAGACGACAGGAAACCACCGTAGTCTAGAAGGATTTCCAACCATCGTGAAATTGACCGCCATCTTTTGTACAAAAAACAACGACGATTAATACCTGATGTCGTTAAGGCATTCAACGTCCAGATTTGTTACGAACCGACGTGTAATTACTATATAATTAGCCTAAAATCAAATCTTCGACAACATTAGACGACGGTTTTATGAAAACTGAGACATCTAAAGAGTGTTACATGTCAAGATCAAAAGAAGAACTGTCGTACAGATAATTATCCACGTCCCTAAATGAAGGAATAAAGATTTGGATAAGCTAGAAACCGTCATGGTTAATTTATACTATGTTAAACAAACAAAGACACTGACGTCTAAAACATAAACGACGACGTGCACACAAACCAACCGACGTTTAAAGAGTATTACATGTCATTTGTCTCTCAATAACCACCATAACATGCCATAACCACGTCCCGCACCTGGCATCACCGACGCTTATTTTATTATCCACGTTGCGGAATATGAAAAGACCGACGTTTTAAGCTTATTCCACATTTGTTTCTTGCGAGAATAGTCGTTTAAATTGTACAAAGAAGCCCCTTTGACAGAGTTAGACGTCACTTTTTATGAATAACTAACGTCTAAAAGATTTAAAATGACATAATATTACTCAATACCAACATACAAAACTGTTCCCATGTCGGTTTTTGTCAAAGGATGACATTATAAATAATATTGAAGGCGTGGATAGGAAAAAAACCGACATGGATTATATATCCAACGTCCGTGGCATTAAAATAAAGGACGTGGTTAATTATTTCACTACGTCAAGAGACCCCAACTGCTTAATGTTGTAATTGCTTACCACGTCAGTTTTGATTACATGATGACGTGATTGTCCTTCAAAAGTCTCTTGTTTAACCTTCCTTGACGTATGTATGCTTGGAGACGTCAGTTGTTTTAGACTAGCCGACGTGCAGAACATCTGTCACGACAGTTAATGGAACTGAACGGCCTTTATTTCACTCTTTAGACGACGGTTTATTTGAAGCTGTGTTTATCAAACTGACTTGATTTCTGTTTCAGATGTCTGTTTTTTGTTTTGTTTTACGGTCTTTTGACTTTTTAAAACTCGACATTGTTGTCATTTTAGGCTTCTGTGTTTCCAATTTTTTTACTGGACAGTCGTACTTTACAGCTTTAACCCAGTTTTTTTAATTTTTGATTTGTCGTGCCCAAAGCCTACATAATGAAAATGTGATCATAATTAAAATGATGTATAGAGTTATTAATTAATGTCACACAATTAACTGAATAACTAATGTCATACATTACAACAATCAATCAATCCACATATCTTCACACCCATCTCTAATATTTTCATTCCCAAACTCACCCACTAGATCATCAAATGTGCCAACATTTGGTATCCCTCTAGTAAATGGCTCACACTCAATTTTAGTATCACCTAGCACATCATCACCAATAACATTATTATATTCTCTATTAGGCATTGATAACACTACCGACCAACCACGATGCATTGGGTCGTCAACATAAAATCCTTGTTTGACTTGAGAAGCCATAACAAATTGGTCACAATTTCTTAAATAACACCAGAAAAACTCATATTGGAGACAATAGGGTTTTTATCCTTGGCACTAGTAACTTGCATAGTATGTGCAAGTAAATAAACTCCACTATTTTGGACAGTTCGCACATCATCTTGTGCCTTGGTGTTAAATTTAACACCATTAATAAGATAGCTCCTATATGATGGCACTGCCATGCTTGGACCAGCTGCTAGCCACCTCAAATTTTCTGATACGCCATTATGCTCTTCCCCATTAAGTTCACTTTGAACCTACAAATTAATCATATATATCTTAATTCAATCTAACATATAGAATGGAAGAAAATTAAAAGTTGAATATGCATGTCATTCAATAACATATATATACCTTAAAGTGGAGCCATTGAATGAAAGTGTTATTTTGCTTATCTTGTAGCCACTTTGTTCTCTTTCTAAATTTTGGATAAGTGGTCTTGATGTGGATCATATGTTCTCTACATTGACACGAAAAAATCAAGCATTACGGTCCCTTGTATATAAGATAAAATAAGGAATAATAAAATTTAAAATGGCTCCATATGAAAAATAAAACTCATACGTACTCGATATAAGGTAGGACTTCCTTTGTATTCTCCAAGACATATAAATGTGCTTGGTTCAACAAGTCCCGATCAACTAAGCTTACTATGCAACCTGATAATAGCTTCGAAACTCCCATCTTCTGGCTTGAAGGCACTCCAACTGTACTAACATCAGATAAATGCTCGGTGCAAAACTCTACAGCTTCTTCAGCTATATACCACTCAACAATGCAACCTTCCGGAGGAGTACGGTTCTGAACATACTTTTTTAGCACTTTCATATACATTTCAAATAGATACATCCATCTAAAATATACTAGGCCACATAGACGAACTTCTCTGACAAGATGTACTACTAGATGAACCATGATATCAAAGAATGAAGGGGGAAAGTACTTCTCAAGCAAAATACAAAGTAACTGCTACATCTTCTTCCAACTTGTCTAGCTTGGAAACATCTACCGTCTTTGCACATATAGCATTGAAGAAGAAGCACAATCAAGTTATTGCATACCTTGTAGGCTTCTCCAAAACAGAACGAATTACCACAAGGAGCAATTGTTGCATCAAGGTATGACAATCATGAGATTTAAGTCCAAGAAGTCTTGAATCTTTTAAAGATACAAGATTTTTTATATTTGAACAATAACCTTCAGGGACCTTCATACCATAGAAAGAATTGCAAACCACTCTCTTCTCTGCTCTTGACAAATTCCAAGGCCTTGGAGGCAAGCAAGTACATCTTTGTCCATACTCGGGTTGCAAATGAGTTTTGACTCCCCATGTTCAATAAATCTAAACGAGCAACAATCCTATCTTTATTTTTTCCAGGGATCTCCAGCAATGTACCAATGATACTATCGCAAACATTCTTCTCAATATGCATAACATCTAGGACATGCCTCACATGAAGATATTTCCAACACTCGAGACCAAAGAATTTGATTTCTTCTTCCAACAAACTCTGTCACCATCATTCTCACCAACACTTCCCCCATTTTTCGAGCTCCATATGTAATTAATATCTTCAACCATGTGCAACACTTCTTCTCGGTTTAATGGCTCGGGAGGCGTGTCATATTCAGATTTCCCATTAAAAGTTGCACACTGCCTCCGATATGGATGATTCATTGGTAACCATTTTCTATGCCAATGTAACAAATTTTGTGGCCAGTTTTCAATCTGTGACTAGGTGTATCATCGCTGCATATTGGACAAGCTTTATATCCTTTAACGACACAACCAGATAAGTTCCCATAGGCAGGAAAATCATTAACTATCCACAGTAATACACATCTGAGTGTAAAGTATTCTCTTATATGTGCATCATACACTCCTCTAATCCCATCCCACAAAGATTTTAAATCATCAATAAAAGGCTCTAAGTAGACATCTATATCATTTTCGGCCTGTTTAGGACCGGAAATCAATAAGGTCAACATCATGAACTTCCATTTCATGCATAGCCATGGAGGAGATTATATGTAACTAAGATAACTGGCCAAAAACTGTATTTGCTACTTAAAGAACTGTGGGGATTGAATCCATCATATGAGAGAGCCAATCTCAAGTTTCTCGGCTCTTTACCAACTCGGGTCATTTATCATCAACAAGTTTCCAAGACGGAGAATCCGCTGGATGAGACTAATGACCGTCAACTGATTTTCTAGCAGCATGACAAGTCAAACTCTTAGCTGTCTTATGTGATTGAAATATCCTTTTAAACCTTGGAATTGGAGGAAAATACCACACCACCTTCGCTAGCACACCCGCTTTCAAGATTGAATCTTTGCCTTCCTTCCACCATGAGATACCACAAGTAGGACAATTAGTTGAATCTTTATAATCCTTCCTATACAAGATGCAGTCATTGGGACATGCGTGGATTTTCTCATAACTCATCCCCAAAGTGGACAATGTCTTTTTTGCCTCGTACATAGAGGAAGATAGTGTATTTCCTTATGGAAGCAAATCTCCTTGAAGTATCAATAATTATGTAACTTATATAACTTCACCAAAGTCGACAACATTGTGTACTTATTGCTACCAGGGTTGATCTTCATCTCCAATCACATTAGCAAACTCATAAGGATCAAATCCAATATTGCCTAAATCATTATCATCCATCCCTACTTCTTCATAAATAAAACTGAACCTACTTTTCTCATCTTCTTCCACATTTCTACTAGCATTAGTAGTCCATTCCCAAGGTTCTCCGTGCCATGTCCAAATCTAATAGTTGTGGTCAATTCCATTAAAGTATAAGTGGTCCCTTATAATTCCAACTCCAAACAATCGAATATTTCCACATTTAACACATGGACCACGAATATGAGTTGTATTTCCAAGATTTTCTATAGCAAAATTCAAAAATCCTTCCACACCTAACTCATATGCGATCATCTATCCGCATGCATCCATGACTTATCCATTGTTGGTGTCTTTTTCGTCTGAAGGCTCATTCAGCTTTGTTGATTCTTGGTTCGCCATAGAGTGATGAATGAAGACTTCGTTGCCCCTTTGTCTGAGTTAGCAAGAACTAGGCCCAAAGTATCCCGAGGGAGAAGCAAGTCCCGGGGGAGTACTTTGTTCTTCTTTCAGCGGTTGTGTGTTTCGTGTTGACGTTCCCAGCAGCTCGACGAATAGTTGAAGATGACTTGTTGATGTTGATATGAGCTTGGCATGAGAGCTTGGAGTGTGGGAGCTAAAGACCACAAGTTTAGCAAATGAGAATGCATGTGCTTGGCTTGGTGTTGGATGTGTTTGAGTTTGATGTTGATAATTTGTTGTTTGTGGCTATGGCTATAAGGATTTAAGAGTTTCGAGAGGAGGATGGAAGGAAAAGCTTGAGGTTTGAAGGCTATGGTGTTTAATGCTTGGAAGGAAGGAAAAGCTTGGAGCTAGGTGATGCTTTATGGGAGTTGATGGCTGCTGGGATGCTTGCAGCAGCCGAGTGAGTGAGTGTTGGCTGAAGAAAAATTAGAAGCTACTGGAATGCTTGCAGTAGCTGAAGAAAGGTGAGTTTTCATGGTTGTTGAGAAGCTTGCAACAACCAAGATGGGTTTCTTTTGGCTGAGAAATGCCTCATAATTTATAGAAGGTGAAGGCTCTCCTTTATTTCCAATAGGTAAAAAGACGTGCTGGAACCAGCCTATTTTCAATGGTTAAAATGAAGCATTGGGGCATGCTATTTTCCAGCAGGTAAAGCTAGGCATTGGAAAATGACTATTTCCTATGGGTAAAAGGAAGTGTTGGAAGTAGCTTGTTTCTAGTGGGTAATAGGAAGTACTGGAAAAGGCTTGTTTCCAACGGGTAAAGCTAGGCATTTGGAAAATGACTATTTCCTATGGATAAAAAGAAGTGCTTGAAAAAATATCTCATTTACTCACCCAAATTGGAGAACTCTAAGTAACGGGCTTGGACTTTGGTGCTCCCAAGTAGCTAGCCCAAAGTCTCCATTATCCAAGAGCTTCCATGGGCCTTGTGGACCTCCGTAACCTTCCACACCACAATCCCTCATGCAAGCCCCGTAAACGACATGACTTGGGTTCATGTGAGCTTGGTAGGTGATTGGCATAAGAAAAATGTATTATTGATTTGGCATGGCATGTACACTATTTATATATTTATTTAATAAATTAACTCCCAAAATACAGCTTGAATTAACGCATGACTAACATTATATGTTATATTGGGCTTTGAATGTTTTTGGGCCTCAACATCCATCTCACACACTATAAAATCATACATATAATAAAGTGAAAAGACCAGCAATGAAACACTACTACATTGATAGAGAAGAGAACAAAGTGAGAAAAAAAATTCCACAAGAATCAGACGACGGTTTTTACAAAATAATCATCGCGTAACATAGATTAAGATGATAGCATGTCTATTTACCGTCGTCTTTAAGCAAACTAAACAAGATATTTGTATTCTTTTTGAAGAACAAGGTTTGGGTTCTGGTTGCCTAATGACGACGGCAGTAGTAAATAAAAAACCAACGTATAATAAAAATTTAGACGACGGTTGGCAACCAACTGTTGTCGTGGTTTACAAAAAACCGAAGCCTAATTCTTCCATCCCCATTCCTTTTCAAAGAACCCCTAACAGAATGCAAACATCAAAATATAAAAGAACCCATATATAGCTCCCAATCAAGAACCCATAGCTCCCAAAACATATATTAAGAAACCAAAGCTGAGAGAATATACAAACTAACAGAATATTTAAAGAGATATGAGAGAATATACAAACGAAGAGAATATTGAGAGAGAGCTGAGAGAATATACAAACTAAGAGAATATTGAGAGAGAGCTGAGAGAATATACAAACTAAGAGAATATTGAGAGAGAGTTGAGAGAATATACTTACATGGTTATTGAGAGAGAGCTGAGAGAAAATAACAAATGCTTGAGAGAGCTCAAAGAATATACCCAATGCTATGAGAGAGAGCGAAAACTTTAAGACAAATTTACGTTGAAGAGAGAGAAGGAAATACTTTAGGGTTAAAGGGAAATTCTGAAAATTTTAGATCCCGATCAAAAATTTCAAAGGACTGAGTTTATTAAAGACGACGATAAATACAACCCAGTCGTCGTTTAATTTCATATTTACGACTACGGTTATGGTACACCGACGCCGTTGTAAAGCATTTTGACGTTGCTCATACAAAAACTGACGTCTAAAATATTAAATAATTAGATTTGGTGTGTGTTTCCTGGGATTCGAACGCTCGTAATTGACCAAAAAGAGTGAGAGAAAACCGGTGTCGTTTCAATAAAACATAAACCCTAAATTTTACAATAATTATAAAAAAAGAAAATACACAAGTATGAGAAAAATGAATCGAAAATTGCTACGGACTCCTTACAACAATGCCTTCTATATTAGTAGGCTAAAATCCATATTAAATAATTTTGAATTTCATGACCACCAATGGATCACATAAACCTTAGGGTTATGTTATGGAAAGTATAATGACTATTGTGCTTTGTCTCTAAATCTTTTTGACTTTTGTTATCACTTCTAATTTTGAAATCTAAAATTAAAATTTTCAGGCATGTAGGGGGTAGATATTGTCTCAATGAGTGCATAGAATTTGTCGGTTTATTTTTTGGATTTTTTTTAAAAATATATTATGAATATTAGTAATTAAATACAATTAAAAATATTTTTAAAATTATATTTTTTAAAGATTTAGGGGAGATAAAATCTTTCAATGAGTGCATGGCAGTTGTTAGTTTGTTTTATGGAATTTGTTTTGAAATTATTATGAATATTAGGAATAAAATATAAAAGTCATACAAAAATTAAATGACAAATGTACATAATCGACGTTGCATCCATTTACAACGACGTTAAATAACACATCACGTCGTCCTAGAACATATTAGACATCGCAATGTACTCACCGCCGTGGTTAGTAAGTTACAACGTCCTCTTTTTCTGAATAACCGACATGGGTAGAATTTACACCATTGATTATTATGTTGATGACGACGTTGTTTAGATATACAACGTCACATTTTAACTTGTGACGGACATTGTATGTCTTTAACATGTCTTGTCTGTTGTACTAATGGACGTACTATATCTATACAATTTTTTTCGTAGATTTCAGTTTTATATATTAATCGTCGTGTTTAGCAACCTTACATGTCGTTTTTGAGAAATGCTGTCGATGTTTTCTTTCCCGCTATAATAAGATGGCGGTTGTTTATAGATAAGAGACGTGTAAATAAGAATGAGACGTCGATTTTTGGAAATTAATTTAAATTTTTATGAGTTATTGTCATTTTATTTCATTTAACGACATAAATATTTTATACAAACAAAAAAAAAAAAAAAAAACGAAAAAAAATATATTCATTTGATTTTTTTGATGATTGTTCAATTAATTACCAAAAATATATTTATATACATCATCAATAAATTAAAATAAACCTAAACATTGTTAAAATAAATTATACCACTTGTTGTTCTGTAATTGCTTGTTCACGAATTCTGCCCATTCCAGCCTGACTTCGTCAATATGTTCTTGTACATACTCAACTGGTTCATTTTTCTTGTCAAACTGCAAATAAAGAACAAAAACCGATGTGTTATAAATATTCAAACGACGGTTTTGAAAGAAAAAGTCGTGGTATTAAAATAAAGAAATTATATCTTAAATTTTACCTTCTTCTCAAATGCTAGGCCTGGATCATGAATTATATCTCTCAAGAAACGCATCACGTAATAGCCACACTCTATATTTGTTGGTTGTCTAGGAGTGCCTTGTAGATTTTTCCATATGAGTGATTTACGTGATGATTGTTTGCCTGTGTGAGAGATTGAACTGTTTCAAGAAAACAAAAAGTGTTAATCACAAAACTAAAAATCAGCATAAAAATATTAACCGTCGTGATAAATAAGTGAAGACGGCGGTTTTGTAAAACAAATGACGTCGTATTTTATTTCAAATGTCGGTAAATAAGAACTGTCGTTGTATATCATTCTAACGTCAGTGACGACAAAAAACGACGTATAACCAAACTTGTTTTTAAATGAAATTTGAACATAAAAAATTAAAACGTCCTAAAATCAAAAACACAAACGATGTGGTATTTCAATTAAGACGACGGTTTACAAAAAATACTGATGTTGTAAATGATTTCAAACGTCGGTTATAATATACCGTCATTGTGTTTTCACTACAACGTCGGTATTTGAAAAAGCCATCGTATCATTCAAATGTAGAAGTAAAAAATCTTAGATTTTCATCAATAAACTTACGTATTCACTATATTTCTCATGTCCTCGTCAACAGAGCGGTTTGGCAATGAATCCATGTAATAGACACTCTCCTTAGTTGGTCTTACAATTATTAACACCCAATGACCCCTACACATAATGATCCATATAGATTAAATATACTAAAAAAAATATATTACAAGGGACCAAGTATAGAAGGGGACTAGCCCTGGATTATAAGGCACCAAGTAAAATTGATCCCCATCTGCGTTTTTCAGGCGGTCTGAGATATGTTTTGAATGGTGAGATAATGTTCCAGATTGAGAGCTGACTTGTCCAGGGTCCACGAGGCCAACATGGTTTACCATATTTGCCATTTTTAAATAGTCAAATAGTACCTAATTAAATATATGAAATTCAATTAAATGAGATTTTAATTCAAAAGAAAGGACATGTAAAAAAAAACAAAATTGGATTTCTAGAATTACCTCATGTATAGTGCAATCATTGTGGATCCAATCTCAACCATGAAAGTAAACTGTAAAATGTCTTCACACAAGAGCCAAGTATCATGCTCAGTGCCAAATACTTCCTCTGGCATGTGAATTCTAATGGTCTCGTTAGCAGGCTTCAATGTGGTCTCGACATATTGGCATAGGGCTAATAGAGGAGCTGGCATGTCAAGCTTTGAGAGATCCTGTAACAAGAAATAAATAAAGAAATAAAAGTTAGTTTGTACATGAAGTAAAATAAACGACTCCAACAAATCAACAAAACAAACGTGGTATGTAATATCAACAACGGTTTCTAAAACATATTGACGAGGTAAACGTTATAGATGACGGTAAATACATAACAGTCGTGGTGTAAATGTTATAATGTCGCTACACAATAGAAAGGTCATCTAGGTTAAAATAGACGATGGGTTGTAAAATAAAACCCGATGTCTATTTAAAATTTAAAAATCAGAAAAAATCACATGTCAGAGATTTTACCGTTTCATCTTGCCGGTTTTCAGCAGCATCAACATCATTCATGGGATTGTCTTCCTTCAAAATAAGGGCTCTCATATTAGAGCAACTTGCTTTGTCAGACATTGGATTTTTTGGGCTTTTCTCTTGAGGAATTGGAGGAACTGGAGTAATTGGTGTAGTTGGAGTTTTACCAAGAAAGTTGGGATCAAAGTTGGGAATTAGTTGATTGAATTGTTTCAAAAAAATTTCCCTCTCTGCTCTGATTGCCTCCAAAACACTTTCCTTTGCCCTGGGCTCTATCTTTTTGGTTTCCTCTCTTAGTGCCTCCATAACACTATCCTTCAATTTGTCAGCAAATTTTATGCTGTCTCGGCAAATTGAAGAATTGAGTTGGGGAAACCCCAGCTCCAACACCTCTGACTCTCCCACCATGCTCAGGGGTTCCCAAAGCCAAGGTCAAAACGTCGTTGCTGCTAGAGACAGTCATAGTGCCCTCGGAGACTTGTTTTTTCAAATCATCCTAAAAGTGAGAGAGAGAATGTTAGTCAGTGAATAGATAGTAAAACTGATTAAATTAATAAATTAATAAAAGTATTACCCGTCGTGGTAAAGAGGTTAAGACGACGATTTATTTAAAAAACAGACTCATAAAATCATTTAATACGTTGGCCCAAAACTACCGTCGTTTTGTATACATTAAAATGTCGGTTCATAAAAAAACCATCGTTTATTTGACATCAGAGATAAAAACACTTAACCAAAATATTCATTGATCCATCGTGTGTGCGTGTGAATATGAAGAAAATTCAAAATTTAATTTAAAAAACCTAACACAAAAATACAAAACCGTCGTTGTAATTCAATACAGACGTCGGTTTCATAAAAATACTGACGTTATATCTTTTTCGAAAGCCAGTAAATAAAAACTGCCATGGGATGTCATGTCTAACGACGGTTACTAAAAAGATGGACGTCTGAATGAAAAATAAAACCTCTGTTTTACAAGTTTAGAACAGAGTCAGTGAGACTTACAATTAATTTTGCCTTCTCTGCAACCTTTAGATCATGAATGTTTCCCTGTTTATCTTCTCTTGCCTTCTTCCATAGTAGAGATCGATCGATTTCTTCATCAGGCATGGTTTCTTCCAATTGATCCTCCAAACCAACGAACCCTTTTCAAGACAACCTATGGTTGTACTCGCATTTCTCCCTTCTCTGTGATTGCTCAGAATGCACAACCTCAAAATCTGGGAATAACCTTGAAGCTACAAAGGCATCCCATTGCGATTTCTCTATGAAGTTATAAAGCTGAGGGGGCTCTTTTAACTTCTCCTTCTCATTTGCGAATGGAAGGATAAACTGCCTAGTTAAGGTAGACTTAAAATCCTTCCATTTTTTGGTGGTAGAAAACAGCACCATCTTCTTGCCCTCTTCCCTAACAACATAAGCCATTTGAACAACTTCCCAAATCTGCTCCTTCAGGTCCTTGTGCAATTAAGTCTATTTCTTGTCCGCAAGAGGGACTCTGGTGCGTACCAAAACACCAATGTAACTCTGCATCTCAATAGTAGACTTGTCATGTGGTCTGCCACTTTTATTGCACTCAACCATAGGTTTAATTTTCTGGATTTTCCTCTTCACAACACAGCTCATTGTGTTGATACCGCGAGTCGATTTTGTCACTTCATCAAATGTTGCAGAGCTTGGGTCATTCTCGGAGGATGAAGTAAATCTCATCTTCTTTGCGGGATTGCTTGGAACAGATTTGGCTTCACCCATTTGTGCCTTTGAAACTGCAATGTCCTTGCCTTGACCTTTTGACGCTTGAGCCTCCTTACTTTGAGATTTCGAAACCAGGTTTAGAGAGAAATACAAACTGCAAGAAAAACAACGACGGTTAGGTAAAAGCCAGACGTAAAATGAAAGTTCAAAGACGAAAAAAAAAAAAAAACAAAAAAAAACATGCTAATCTATAGAAACGTGTATGTGCAAATACGTCGTGGTCGTCAACTTAAAATGACGGAAATTAAATAAAAACCATCGTAGTATTATAAGTTCATAAATAAATAAAAACCGCCTAGTTTTCTCTCTCCCATGTTCGTTTCAAATCAGATGATAGTTTTTCCCTTTTCAAATGTCGTATTTATTAACACACCACGTCAGTTATTATGAACAACAGTCGCGGTGTGTCAATAAAAATGTCAAATACAAGAAAAACCCGCCATCCTCACATGACCTGTGAGTGGGAACAGTGAAAGATTTGGCATTTTCAAACTTGAGTCTTGTTTCAAACATCAGTGGTACTCGTTCTTTACAAATAAAAAATAAAAAAATTAAAATGGTAAGGAAACGAAAAAAAAAATTGAAGTGAGAAAATATCTTTGGCTTGCAAAGAAAGTTTTCTTTTGAATCAAATTTTGGAGACGAAGATGAGGAAGAATGTAAAAGAGAGGGAAACTTGCACTTTTCGGAAAGTCTCTAGGATATCCTTTGAAACTTGCTCCTTCTTTGAATTCAAAAACCTACAAGGAAAAGGAACTTGTGAAGTAATCGAATAATTCACAAGAGAACTTATCTTAAAGTTGTCACTTGGAACCGTAAACTTGGGAGAGGGGGCAACCACTGTTTTGGTTGAATTTCTCTCCTCATTGTCATCCTTTTCCACCTCTTTTCCACTTCGAAGAGTAATCGCATTTATGGTTTCATGGCCTCCATTAGGATTTGGAAGTACTTGGCTTGGAAGCTTTCCTGGCTCTCTTTGACTCAAGGAGGCTGCAATTTGTCCAACTTGGTTTTCAAGGCTCTTGATTGCTGTAGACATTTGTGCATGTGTTTGCCTTGTTTCCTGAATAAAAACTTGAGTGCTTAATGCCAAAGAATTAATTAACTCTTCTAAAGACTTACCTTGCCCATGAGGTGGTGGTGCATTTTGTTGAGGAACAAACTGATTTTGTTGAACCAAGGCTGTTTGCACATTTTGGTTGTTCTTCCATCCAAAGTTAGGGTGTTGCCGCTATCCCGGATTATAGGTGTTAGAAAATGGATCGTTTTTGGCTTTTGTTGCTGCATATAGTGTGCTTGAGCCATCTCTTCTCCATCACCATACAAACTTGGACAAGACTCCGTAGGATGTCCGGGATTAGCACACACGACACACACTTGTGCTTGAGGGATTAACTGCTTAACAAGGTTAGTCAAATTAGCTATTTGAGGACCAATATCACTAGCACTTACCTCATAAATGCCTGCTTTCTTTGGGGGAGCTCTCCGGTAATTAAATTGTTGAGAGTTTGCTGCAATGTTCTCAAACATCTCCTTAGCTTGAGTAGCACTCTTGTTCATCAAGCCTCCTCCACTAGTAGCATCAACCATCATCCTCTCCGAATCAAGTAATCCCTCATAAAAGTATTGCATAAGTAGCCAATCTTCAATTTGGTGATGAGGGCAAGAAGCTAGGAGTCTCTGAAACCAATCCCAATACTCATGAAATGATTCTCCATCTAGTTGCTGCACTCCCATGATCTCCTTCCCAATATGGTTTGTCTTTTGAGCTGGAAAGAACTTTGCAAGGAACTTGGAAGCCAATGTTGTCCATGTGGTGATAGATGCACTAGGCAAAAAATAGAGCCACTCCTTGGCTCGTTCCTTGAGTGAGAATGGAAACAAACGCAATCTGATTGCCTCATCACTAATCCCTCCATTGTGCATCATCGCGCACACGGCAAAGAAATCCTTGATATGTATGTGAGGATCATCCCCAGCCTTGCCATAGAATTGTGGCAAAAGGTGAATGGTGCCACTCTTGATCTCAAAGGTGGTTGTAGTGGCTGGGTATGCAATGCAAGACGGCTGGTCCAATGCTTTAGGAACAGTGAAATTCTTCAAAGGTCGGGTGAGTTGTTGAGTACCAACTCGTCTCCCATCTTGATTGGAAGTGTATCTTGCTTAATTTTATCTCGACAGAGATAGCAAAGTGTGTTCTCTAGTTCAGGGTCGTATGGTATAAGCTCGTGACTCTGCAAACGACGACCCAGCATATACCTGAAATTGTAAACAAAACTCAATTAGATTGACAATCCTCGGCAACGGTGCCAAAAACTTGTTGGTAATTTTTATCAACAATATTAAAACCTTGCAAGTGCACAAATCAAATGATAATATAGTAAGCAAGCAAGGGTCAGTCCCACAGAGATTGTGATCTAAAGAGATGTTTATCAATGTCACGCAACGAATATTAAAACACAAGGACTTCCACACACACACCAACACCAAGGGGTGGTTTTGATTTGATTTTGTGAATAAAACAAAACAAGGAAAAGAAAACAAAACAGAATTTAAATTAGAGTTTAAGAGAAATTTGTTTAAAATCAGTCAAGAACAATAGCTAGGACTCACTATCCACCTCCAAACAATCAATCAATCCATAAACAACAATAGATAATCAATTTCTAGCAAGCATATGATGACGACACTCACAACAAGATCATGGCATTTGACTCGAGTTGTATGATTCTCTCTTAAGTGTATGTAGAGTGTATGGCATTTACATCAATACGTGTATTCTTAGTTGAAATCTAGTATGACATTTACTCAAATTAACAATCAAGAATCCATTAAGATCAAAGAGAATATGAGTGTCACAAAAACCCTAAAACATGGCATTTGTTATTAGGAATTCAAGAATCGATTTCTCATAACTAGTTCTTAACCCAATTATTTGTTACAAACAAGAACACATTCAATATGGCAATTGACCTATGTTCTACAACAATTTAATTCCAATACATGCTTCCAAGTTAGCTACTCAAAGAAACAAAATATCAGAATTCACATAACATAGAGAAACCGAAATCATCACGCTTGTAGAAACTGAAAATCCATTCAAACTTGTTTATAAAATTGAAATCATGTTTAGGGCTTCAAGATTAAGCCCTAACTAACAAGAAATTAGTTACTCATGTTCTTGGATGAACTCAAAAATAAATACATAAGAACTGAAACTTAAAAGAAGAAAGGAAAAGAAAGAACTCGTTGGCAGCTTTCTCCTCTTGTGCGGTTGATCTCTTTGGACGTGAATCCTTTTTATGGGGCCTTGGCTGGCCTTTTATATCACTTATATCAGAGTTCGAAACCCTAAATTGACTGACAAGTCGTCCAAGAAGTCTTGGTAAACAAGGAATCCAAATAGGAAAGTAAAAATCACAATTCCTAACTCCATAGGGAAATACAGCTCAGCCCAATTTTCACACGATTTGGGGATCTTCGGCCTTGTAGAAAAATCATTAAGAATATATTTTAGAAAGATAAATGTCTTATCTTTCCAACCATATATAGCACGTAACTTGGAAAATTCGGGAAGGCTTCCGTTTCTTCACATTCATGTAACATATACGAAACTGTCACGTCTGCACATGGGCTAACTTTACTTGTAATACTGTACCAATTGGCTCGGTATAAAATTATAGAAAAATCACCGATTGAACTTCAAGATGTTAGCTTTCATCTCCAATTGGCCTTGCGCTAAAATTCCTCTGAAAAGTTGATTTTTCCTTAAAAACCTTCTAAGAGCGCAGAAAAGCTGAAAATCAGAAAAGTAAAGTAATAAGCCCTTTTTAAATCTAATTCTCCTACAAAACCTAAGTAAAAAGAGTACATAAATGAGTATATTTATGGACTCGTCATCAACATTTAAAATATTATCTTTCTCTCACATTAGTGGTCCGATTATGATGAGGAACAGAGTTCCCTCTGGTAAGATTTCGTATCTCTTGGGATCTCAGAAAAATCTGATTCTATCGGCGGTTTTCTATATAAACCGTCGTGGTTATATTCAATTCTTGTCATTATGTTGATCTATCATCATAGGATACCAAAATCCAAGAAATAAATAGTACAAAAAAAATTAATATTAAGACGACGGTTTAGATATAAGGTTAGACGTATAAAGTGAATAAATACGACGGTAATTTTAACTTCACCACGTGGTAAATTTTATTATACGGCATTAATTGAACAAACCAATGTGGTTAGAGTTATAGATACCGTCGTAGTACGCTACAAAAAATGAGTCGATAAATTTATCTTTATTGTCGTTGTACATTTATTTAATACGGTGGTATTTTGTAATATTCCAACATGGATTTTTTTTGAAATTATACGGCAACTTGGTCGTGTTTATTACGGAGTAAAAACGGCGGTTGTTGTTGTACACCGTCGTCTTTACTTTCTATGTCGGTGGATTCATACCTTCGGCCGATGTTTTTGGGCTTAGAGTTTACCTCTGAGGAAAACATTTTCAATAAGATGACGCTTTTTTAATTTGGTGCGTCATTTTTTAAAACACCCATTGGAATCTCCATTTTTAAGGTGTTTAAGTTAATCAAACACCATCGTCTTTTCAAACACAACGACGGTTTTTCGTTAAACCGTCGTTTTTTTTCTGGTCGTCTTTTCCACTTTTTGTAGTAGTGCAAGTTCAATGTTCAAGGCTTGACATCTAATTGTTATAATGGTCATCTCACTATTTAACAAGGCCTGGTTGCGAATTTGGTATCAGAGCCAAGTTTGGCGTACTAATAATAAGAATATAGTAGTAAAGTACCTTGAGGACAGAAGTCGCCTACACAATTGGTAGAAAACACAATTTCATCACCTTTCAGTTATCTCTTAATTATTTGTTAATTACTTTTAGCCTAAATATTGTCTGTTAATTATTTGCATGTTTGACCTTGGTGGACACCCCTTAGAATTAGAGGAAGACTAGAACTGTAACATCCCGCCCAAAAAGTTAATTTATTTTCTTATTTTCTAAAGCAAAGGATGACTTTACCCTTAGGGTTTCTTAGTGGTTTAGGGTTAACGTTTTGCTTGGGGTTGGTTTGGAAAATTTATCGATTCCATTGCGTAGTGCTCTAGCTCACGAGTTCGTTGACAAGTGGTGGGCCCAAATTGAAGTTGAAATGAAGACGTTTTGATCTTCGGAAGTGCAGTGGCACAATCATAAATTTTGTGAAGTTGGAATTTAAAACCCAGCTGGAAAATCAGATTTTGGCATCTCTCTCTCTCTCTCTCTCTCTCTCTCTCGCAAAAGTTCCCTCTCTCTCTCACACATGAATAGTGGCAGCGCCACTTCCAGTCATTTTTCTGTCATTGTCTGGCCACCGTTGGTGGCTCAACCTTCAAGAAACTTGTTCCCCTCTTCCTCCTCTACAAAACCCATCCAAGATCCATCCTTGAAACCCAGTAGATAGTTGAGAATTTGGATCCAAAGAATCGATCCAAAACTATCGCATCGCCGGAAATTGTAGCGATTACGCCTACTGTTTCCAGTCACCACCGACCGCCATTTTTGCCCCAAAACACTCATGTCCTTCTCCTCTACCTTTCCCCTCCAAAACTCGACCTGTAACCTTGTTGGATTGCTTGAATCGAATCAGGGGAATTCCTAGGTCTCCGGTGAGAAAAACTGATCGTTCAAGGCCATTAATGACCAAATTTTTCTTCAACATAGGTATAAAACTTACTCCTCTTGTTGGGCTTGATCATTTGGTATAAGGCTTGACCTGTGGTTTCGAGTTTTCTGGTTGCTGAAAATTTCCTCAAGCCACCATACACTGCTAGCGAAGTGTGGCGGCACATGGGCCACCCAGTAGCGGCCCACTTTGCCCTACACGTTGTCCCATGCACGGCGGTATGTTCGGATTCATGAGACTTCGTCTTTTAACTAACGATCAGGATTTCACCTATTACGTACCGTTTGTTCAGGAACTACTCGACGGATCCTTTAAGGTTTCACATACTTAGGGTTCCGGGAAAGCTAGAATTCACTTTTAAGCCCGGTTTGGAACTATTGTTTTATTGATGGTTGTATCCTTTCGAATAGGTTCATGGACGCCACATACCGCTTCGGACTCACCTAATCAAGGTTGAGCGCACTTGGACCCATAGTGAGTGGTTATTTTTTTTGTAAATGGTTTTCATGCTATGATGATTTTATTAAATGATTTACTTATGGTTTTTACTTTCCAAGCATATTTTTTATGATTTATTATTCTGTTTTGGTTTGAAATGATTTTAAATGTTTATGCATGTTGTTAAATGATGTTAGCTTGGAAAGTTGAGAATGGTTTGAGAACTGGATTTGAGAAAGGATTGGGAAATGGTTTTATGACATGTTCGGGAAAGGATTTCAAACCCACCATAAGTACTCTAGTTGTTGCCTTCGGAAATATTGTTGCCTTTCGGAATATTGGTTGCCTTTGGATGTTATGATGTCTACGGACATCCCAGTTGCCTTCGAAAATTTAAAATGTCTTCGGATGATTTGGTTGCCTCAGACGAGTCTATGCGCTTATGACATTGCCCCATGAGTCTTGAGGACGCTCGAACCATGTGGTGCTAGGATTTGCATCTGAGGCTGACCTTGTGTCCCCTGATCCTGCTAGGATTTGCATCTCGGGCTGACCTCGTGTCCCTTGATTTTGCTAGGATGTGCCACACATGTGGAGTGGATAGTTCCACATGTGTAGTAGTTTGAACTGACGGATTACTATTGGAATTGACGGATTATATTAGGTATACTTAGGTGGAAAGTATTTTCAGTTTTGAGATATTTTATATTGAATTTGATGATTTATTTCGGGTTGATTAAATTTTAGTTTTAATATTTATATATACATGAGTTATGTATTTATGGAATCTCATCTTCCTATACGAATATATATATATACACACACATTGGAAGTTTGAATGGTTTTCAAAATATTTTTTAAATGATGGGGTTAGTATGTTCGTATTATGTTTAATAACATTTATTTTTGTCCACTCACATTTTTACTGTTGTGCGCCCTCAGGCAGTCGATGAGTACCGGGCCACCAACTGAGAGCATCTATTCTTCTGCTACTTTTCCAATTGTCCTTGTGTAGGATTTCCTCTTATTGTTGTAGTTTCTCTTGTTGTAAACTTAACTTGACTAGATATGCTCTGATATAGCCCTGAATTGTTATAAGGCCTGTGGCCATTCAAATTACTTGCGTCATTTTGTGGACTTGTCTTGTGCATGTTGAATGTTGAATTTTAAATTGTGCTTCTATAGGTGGTGTTGTTGGGCTGAGCCTTTTTTAAGGGAGACTCTAACAGTTTTCTAGTATGAAGGTGGTTTTATTTGCCTTTGGTTTTGTTTTAAGAAGGGTAAGTTGGTAATTTGGGCCCGACATCTGCCAGGTGTTGGATAGGCACAAGGTTCGTCCCGAATTCCGAAGGGGAACTTGGGGCGGGTCCTGTCAAGAACAATTCAAAAGGCAGAAAGCTAAATATAAAATAGAATTATGGAATTTAGAAGAAGCATTACAGAAGCATGAAATAGCCAATAATCGAGAAAGAAAAGTAGAAATTTATAATAGGCTTAATTATTGTTTCACCCCTTGGAGCGGGGGCTCTTCACCATATGAAACTGAAATTTTCTCACTTAATCTCCAGAATCTCTAAAAATTGCTCAAATTTTCTCACTTTACTACCTCCCTCTATTTCTGTCCACAAAACCGTTAAATGTGGAGACTTGGAAGGGACATTTTAATAATTTTAGCTATTAAAAATTTTAAAATCCAAATTAAATTAAAAAAAACATATTTTAATTTTTTTAGACTTTTAAATCTGAAAACATTTGTCAAGGATTCAATCAAAGCCCCCACCACCATCATAGCCAAACTAGCCACATCCTCCACCATCATAGCCAAACTAGCCATATCCTCCACCATAAAACCCATCACCTAGTTAGACCGCTACCGCTGCCGCTGCCACTGTTAGAACCACCATTAAACCTCATTGTCATATCCACCAAGTTAAACCCCATCCACACCAGCAACACCACAACTCACACAAAATCCAAGTACCACCACCCAATCGGACCAACCAACAACCCCACCCATACCAAATCAGACTACCGCCATCTAATCAAACCCACCAACAACCTTACCCATACCTAATCAATCCACCACCATCAAACCCAACCAACCTATCTGCCAGAGGCGGCCCATGGGGTGTGCGAGGTGTGCAACCGCACAAGGCTCCCAACATTTAGGGGCCTCCAAATGTTTCCAAGTCAACCCATTAAATTAACTAAAACATGAAAATAAAAATTAAATATTAAATATCACCCCACAACACCACATGCAAGGCACCAAAACCAAAACCAAAATTGAATTGAATATTAATTATCAACAAATTCTAATTTAATTCATTTTCCTCTTCCCAACTCTCGCACTGCAACTCTTCTTTTTATTTATTTATTATGGTTTGAAACCTGTGTTTTCCTCTTCCCAACTCTCAAGCTGCAAAACCATTCTAATATTATTTTCTCTTTCAGTAAGTCTTTCTCACTCTCCTCCATCAAAATAAAGTCATTTCTCTTTAGTACCAGTGTACCACCCTCTTTCATCAAATTTTGGATTGTAAAAACCCAAGCTTTAGCCCTTTCCCCAAAATCACAGTTCTTTTCTCCCTCCCTTATTCACATGAGAATTCACCAAGCATTGAAATTGAAAAATCAATTTATCAGCTTTGTGATTTGGAAGGGTGACTAAAGAAATTTTTCTGGGAAGCTCTTTCCGAATGTGTTCTTCCCGTGTCAGAAATTTTTGTTTCTATATGGATTTTTTTTTCTACTTGTATATATAGGGCCTCGACATCCATATTTGCACAAGGCCTCTAAAATCAATGGACCGGCTTTGATATCTGCCAATCTAACCACCATCGTCCATCAACCAGTGAATTCAGAGGGGGATGGGCGAATCCAAGAGGGAAACAGAGAACGAGAGAGAGAGGAGCCAGAGAGTTCGGGAAGATGGGAGCATGAGGTTGTGTTGTCATGATACTAGGGTTCGAATGTGACATGGGGCTGGTGTGGCTAGGTTCAATGTTCTATGCGTGCAAGGGAGAGAGAGAGAGAGAGAGAGAGAGAGAGAGAGAGAGAGAGGACATAGAAAATAGGGAAGTGGGATAGCCAGGGGGAAAGGGAGTGGGTGGCGGGGCTGTGCTGGGTGCTTTGGGAATGAGGTGACCGAAAAGGGAAGAGAAGGAAGATGGAGGTTGGTGAGTTGATGGGAAGGAAGAAAGGGAAGAGGGGGTCCCTAAAAAAAAAGGTTTTTATTTTAATATTTATTTTGGATTTAAAGTTTTTAATAGCTAAATTTACTAAAACACTCATGTCACGTAAGCACATTTAACAGTTTTGTGGATGAAAGTGAACGGAACTCATAAAGTGAGAAAATTTCATCAATTTTTGGAGATTATGGGTGTTAAGTGAGAAATTTTCAGTTTCAGAGGGTAAAATAAGACCAAGCGCTTGTTCTAGGGGTGAAATAGTAATTAAGCCTCTATAATAATATAGGAAGAATACATTACCATATAGAAATTATTACAGAGTGAGAAGAAGCGTTCCAGAACTATCTAGCCACACTAAAAGAAAGGTAGGTATATATAAAATTATGTGAATCCTCCTCCATGCCCTTGTAGATCAGAAATATATTTACCATGTTTATATTGTCCATATCACCCTACTAAAAGTGGTATTAAAAGATATTTGGAAGACGTGAAAAACATATTAGATATCTAAAAGGTAGACTTAATGACATCGGGTATTAACGGTTTGTTAAAACAAATGACGTCGTATTTTAGTTTAAATGTTGAAAACTAAGAACCGTCGTTGTGTATCATTCTAACGTCGGTGACGACGAAAAATGACGTATAACCAAAGTTGTTTTTAAATTTTAAAGTTGAACAGAAAAAATTAAAACGTCCTAAAATGAACAACACAAACGACGTGGTATTTCAATGAAGACAACGGTTTCAAGAAAATAATGACGTTGTAAATGATTTCAAACGTCGGTTATAATATACCGTCGTTGTGTTTTCACTACAACGTCGGTATTTGAAAAAGCCGTCGTATCATTCAAATGCATAAATAAAAAATCTTAGTTTTTCATTAATATACTTATGTATTCACTATATTTCTCATGTCCTCGTCAATAGAGCGGTTTGGCAATGAATCCATGTAATAGACAGTCTCTTTAGCTGGTCTCACAATTATTAACACCCAAAGACCCCTACACAAAATGATCCATAAATATTAAATATACTACGAAAAAAAATATTACTAGGGACCAAGTATAGAATGGGACTAACCTTGGATTATAAGGCACCACGTAAAATTGATCCCCATCTGCGTTTTTCAGGAGTTTTGAGAGATGTTTTGAACGGTGAGATAATGTTCCAGATTGAGAGCTGACTTGTCCAGGGTCCACGAGGCCAACAAGGTTTACCATATTGCCATTTTTAAATAGTCAAATAAGTACCTAATTAAATATATGAAATTCAATTAAATGATATTTTAATTTAAAAGAAAGGAAATGTAAAAAAAACAAAATTGGATTTCTAGAATTACCTCATGTATAATGCAATCACTGTGGATCCAATCTCAACCATGGAAGCAAACTGTAAAATGTCTTCACTCGAGAGCCAGGTATCATGATCAGTACCAAACCTTTCCTTTGGCATATGAATTCTAATGGTCTCGTTAGAAGGCTTCAACTTGGTCTCGACATATTGGCATAGGGCTAACAGAGGAGCTGGCATGTCAAGCTTTGAGAGATCCTGTAACAAGAAATAAATAAAGAAATAAAAGTTAGTTTGTACATGAAGTAAAATAAACGACTCCAACAAATCAACAAATCGACGTGGTATATAATATCAACGATGTTTCTAGAACATACTGACGGGGTAAAGGTTATAGACGACTGTAAATACATAACAGTTGTTGTGTAAATGTTATAACATCGCTACACAATAGAAAGGTCGTCTAGGTTAAAATAGAAGATGGGTTGTAAAATAAAACCCGACGTCTATTTAAAATTTAAAATCAGAAAAAATCAAATGTCAGAGATTTTACTGTTTCATCTTGACAGTTTTCAGGAGCATCAACATTAGCATCATTCGGGGGATTGACTTCATCCAATTGAAGGACTCTCACAATAGAGCAGCTTGCTTTGTTAGACGTTGGATTTTTTGGGCTTTGCTCTTGAGGAATTTGAGGAATTGGAGTAATTGGTGTAGTTGGAGTTTTACCGAGCAAGTTGGGATCAAAGTTGGGAATTAGTTGACTGAATTGTTTCAACAAAATTTCCCACTCTGCTCTGACTGCCTCCATAACACTTTCCTTTGCCCTGGCCTCCATCTTTTTGGTTTCCTCTCTCATTGCTTCCATAACACTTTCCTTCAATTTGTCAGCAAATTTTACTCTCTGCTGTCTCGGCAAATTGAAGAATTGAGTTGGGGAAACCCCAGCTCCAACACCTCTTACTCTCCCACCATGCTCAGGGGTTCCTAAAGCCAAGGTCAAAACATCGTTGCTGCTAGAGACAGTCAAAGTGTCCTCGGAGACTTGTTTTTTCAAATCATCCTAAAAGTGAGAGAGAGAATGTTAGTGAGTGAACAGATAGTAAAACTGATTAAATAAATAAATAAATAAAAATATTAACCGACGTGGTAAAGTGATTAAGACGACAGTTTATTTTAAAAAATAGTCGCAGAAAATCATTTAATACGTCGGCCCAAAACTACCGTTGTGTTGTATACGTTAAAACATCGGTCCATGAAAAAAACCGTCATTTATTTGACATCAGAGATAAAAAAAAACTTAACCAAAATATTCATTGATCCAAATATAGTGTACAAACCAATTGTAGAGAAATAGAGAGGGAGAGAGAGTGTGTGTGCGTGTGAATATGAAGAAAGTTCAAAATGTAATTTAAAAAACCTAACACAAACACAAAACTGTCGTTGTAATTCAATACAGACATCGGTTTTATAAAAAAAACTGATGTTATATATTTTTTAAAAGGTGGTAAATAAAAACTGTCGTGGGGTTTCATGTCTAACGATGGTTACTAAAAAGATCGACGTCTGAATGAAAAATAAAACCTCTGTTTTACAAGTTTAGAACAGAGTCAGTGAGACTTACGATTAATTTTGCCTTCTCTACAACCTTTGGATCAGGGATGTTTCCCTGTTTATCTTCTTTTGCCTTCTTCCATAGTAGAGATCGATTGATTTCTTCATCTGGCATGGTTTCTTCCAATTCTTCTTCCAAACCAACGTACCCTTTTCGAGATAACCTATGGTTGTACTCACATTTCTCCCTTCTTTGTGACTGCTCAGAATGCACAGCCTCAAAATCTGGGGATAACCTTGAAGCTATGAAAGCATCCCATTGCGATTTCTCTATGAAGTTATAAAGCTGAGGGGGCTCTTTTAACTTCTCCTTCTCATTTGCGAATGGAAGGATAAACTACCTAGTTAAGGTAGACTTAAAATCCTTCCATTTTTTGGCAGCAGACAACAACACCATCTTCTTGCCCCCTTCCCCAACAACATAAGCCATTTTAACAGCTTCCCAAATATGCTCCTTCAGGTCCTTGGGCAATTGAGTCCATTTCTTGTCCACAAGAGGGACTCTGGTGCGTGCCAAAACACCAATGTAACTCTGCGTCTCAATTGCAGCCTTGCCATGTGGTTTGCCACTTTTATTGTACTCAACCACATGCTTAATCTTCTGGATTTTCCTCTTCACAACATGACTCATTGTGTTGATATTGTGAGTCGATTTCATCACTTCATCAAATGTGGTAGAGCTTGGGTCTTTCTCGGAGGATGAAGTAAATCTCATCTTCTTTGTGGGATTGCTTGGAACAGATTTGGATTCACCCATTTGTGCCTTTGAAACTGCAATGTCCTTGCCTTGACCTTTTGAAGCTTGAGCCTCCTTACTTTGAGATTTCGAAACCATGTTTACAGAGAAGTACAAACTGCAAGAAAAACAGCGATGGTTAGGTAAAATACAGACGTAAAATGAAAGTTCAGACGACGGCAGACAAGTAGAACCGTCGTGCTAATCTATAGAAACGTGGATGTGCTAATACGATGCGGTCATTAACTTAAAACGACGGTAATTAAATACAACCGTCGTCGTATTATAAGTTCATAAATAAAAAGACCTCCTGTTTTCTCTCTCCCACATTCGTTTCAAATCAGACAACGAATTTATTAACACACCACGTCGGTTATTATGAACAGCCGTGCTATTGAAATTGCACGAATTTAATTACCGTCGTGGTGTATCAACAAAAACGTTAAATTCAAGAAAAACCCGTCGTCCTCACATGCGTGAGTGGGAACAGTGAAATATTTGGCCTTTTCAAACCCGAGTCTTGTTTCAAACATCATTGCGACTCGTTCTTTAAAAAAAAACTTCAAATGATAGGGAAAGTGAAGAAAAAAAAAACCGAGTGAGAAAATACCTTTGGCTTGCAAAGAAAGTTTTCTTCGGAATCAAATTTTGGAGACGAAGACGAGGAAGAACGTAAAAGAGAGGGAAACTGAGAATCAGAAACACAGCTTTTCGGAAATGAGAGGGAAACTGGGAGAAAACTGAAAATTTTAGAGAGAACGTAAAAGTTTAGGTCAGGTGACCAAAACGTTTATATAGTGACCCAAAGATAAATACAACGACGGTAGTCATAAAAACCGCCCTAGTATGTACTTACCATGGCATTAAAATAACATCAACCGATGTGGTTAGTAAAAAAGCCTTTTGACCTTTTGTATTCCGAAAACGACGTGGTTAGTTGGGAGCTAGACGTCAAAAGTTTACTTTTAAAGAAGTATTATAATACGTTACCACATCGGTTTTTTATAAGTAACCGACGTTGTTTGTCTAAACCTCGTTGACTTCAGTTTAATGACCGACGTTGTTTGTTATTTAATACCTATTCTGCGTTTCAAGAACCGATGTAGATTACTGTGTTAAACGTCGTTAGGTGTATTATAACCGACGTGTATATGAATTTTTTTATTTCTATAAATTGAGGTTTTTTCACGAGTTCTTTCATTTTCAGTTTTCAATTAGGGTTCCAACATCTTCTTGCCCTTGGCTCGGTCTCACCTCTTTGGAGGCAATTGTTTGGATGTTGATGTGTGTGTGTGTTTGTGTATCTGAAAGGCATAAACACACACACATCATCAACTTCCAAAAAATTGTCTATCTGAATGCAAATCTGTGGTTGCCGTTGTCAAATTTTAGAGGCAATTGTTTGGATGTTGATGTGTGTGTGCGTTTATGTATCTGAAAGACACAAACACATACACACATCATCAACTTCCAAAAAATTGTCTATCTGAATGCAAATTTGTGGTTGACGTCATCAAATTTTAGAGGCAAATTTTTGGATGTTGATGTGTGTGTGCCTTTGTGTATCTCAAAGACACAAAGATACACACATCGTCAACGTCTAAAATATTGTCTTTCTCTCACATTGGTGGTCCGATTATGATGAGGAACAAAGTTCCATTTGGTAAGATTTCGTAACTCTTGGGATCTCAGAAAAATTTGATTCTGTCGGCGGTTTTCTATATAAACCATTGTGGTTATTCTCAATTCTTGTCATTAAGTTGATCAACCTACGTAGGAAACCAAAATCCTATAAATAAATTGGAAAAAAAAACTATTATGATGGCGATCTAGATATAAGGTGAGACGTATAAAGTGAATAAATATGACGGTAATTTTAACTTCACGCGTATCTCTTGGGATCTCAGAAAAATCTGATTCTGTCGGCAGTTTTCTATATAAACCGCCGTGGTTATTCTCAATTCTTGTCACCGTCGTAGGATACCAAAATAAATAGTAAAAAAATAATATTATTAAGACGACGGTTTAGATGTAAAGGTAGACGTATAAAGTGAATAAATACGACGGTAAATTTAACTTCACAACATGGTAAATTTTATTATACGGCGTTAATTTAACAAAACAACATGGTTAGAGTTAAAGATACCGTCGTAGTACGCTACAAGAAATAAGTCGATAACTTTATCTTTACTGTCGTTGTACATTTATTTAATACGACGGTTTTTTGTAATATACCGCCGTGGATTCTTTTGAAATTATACGGCGCCGGATACGAAAACTTGGTCGTGTTTATTACGAAGTAAAAACGACGGCTGTTTCTTTACACCATCGTCTTTACTTTCTACGTCGGTGGATTCATACATTCTGTCGTTGTTTGTGTGCTCAGAGTTTACTCTGAGGAAAATGTTTTTCAATAAGACATTGCTTTTTTAATTTGGCGTGTCATTTTTTAGAAACACCCTTTGGAATCTCCATTTTTAGGTGTTTAAGTTAATCATAGACGGCGGTTTTGTAAAACCGTCGTCTTTTCAAACACAACGACTGTTTTCCATTGAACCGTCGTTTTTTTCTAGTCGTCTTTTTCACTTTTTGTAGTAGTGTCGTTAATAATGTCTACGTTTACTAGTTTGTCGGTCATTGTACCTGGTCTAGACTTTTCTAGATGGGGGCATAGAAACTCAACCATATTGTTCACAAAAATCTCCTAGTTCATATTTGGTTGAATTTCTTTCTAACTGAATTTGTTTACCTATTTTCATATCAACACACATTTTCATTCCTACTTGGTTAATTGTACTAATAATGTCACCGTAGGTTAGACAATCAAAATCTATATGGCCTTGGTCATTGCTTAAGACTGTTCGTATTTTATGGGCAAACAAATTGGGGAGACCATTACTGAATTTTTCTTTCCAAAAAGGTTGATTACTATCATATCTAAGCATGACTCTAGAAATGAAGACATCTTTATACCATTTGAAATCACTTAATTTAGGACATCGAAGGTTACTAAGTTGATCATGAATTTTGGTTGTAGTGTTACTGGGTGTTCCTATGAAATGTTCAATTATTGTGTATAACAAAGTATTGACTCCGTCTTCTATGCATGTACCTAAACGTTCATAAAAAATAGGGAGTCCTTCTTCATTTAGTTTGACTGCATGTGTGATTTGTTGTTTTGACTCTTCAGTTAAATGTTTATCCCACCAAGAACGTAAGGTTCCGATGAATCCTATTTCTAAAAGGGGGACGATTTCTGAGTGTCTGAAATTATGATTAGTTATGTAACTGTTGGCTACCATTGACATAGGTTGGAGTTTATTCAAGATTTCTTGTTCTGAATGACCGTCGATATTCCATTCATATAATTTATCAAAAGAGACTGAGAATTGACTTTGCGAATTTCTTTCTTCAAACTGGATGTCAGGAGGAGTTGGTTTGGGATACCAACTTTTTGTTAGACTAGTAGGATTGACTTTGTTTCTTAATCTATTGAGTTTTAAATTATTATCTATTTCTAGATTTTTAAAGGCATTTTCAATTTTTGATATATAACTAGAGGTTGTTTCAATACTGGTGGACTCTATGACCTTGAGACCAGAAGGTTAGTCCAAATACAATAGCTCCCAACACCTAGTCAATCCCTTAGACATACGCCTGCTAGACATTCCTTTGCAACCTCCTCCTCTACTCTGGAAAGAGACCTAGAGTTAGAAAAAAAACATTAATTGATTTGAAACTCTGTGTCTAGTGAGGATGAGACCACAGTAACAAGCTTAGTTGATTATAGTTCCTCAGATTCCCAATTCTCGGAATGGGTTGTACTTTTGAAGCTTGAAAGTGACCATTTCTTCTTGTAAATTTCTTGACTAGGGATTTTGGGGATATTCCAATCTTTGTAGTCAATTTCATTATTGGTTTCATATTCTATTTGCTCTTCATTTACTATTTATGAGAGTTTACTAATACTGGCTCTAGAACTGCTACTGTTACAAGAGTTTGTTCTAAAAAGGCAACTCATTTGGACAAAGGTTACTAGTTTTCTAACAGAGGGTAAGAAGAAAGGCTAACTATCCTCTAACAGGTACAATGTTATTATATATATATATATATATATATAATAATCATTTTAATATGTTCTTTATTTTTTTTATTCCGTCCTAACGTTATTGCCCCTCCCTTGAAAACTTCATGGATTTGTCACTACTGGTACTCTTTCCAACGCCGGGGTTTTTTTTTCTCTAAGAAGGTTTTAATGAGGCCGCCGTTAATGTGCTAGTTCTTACCATGTAATGTTTCTTTCGGTTTAGAGAAATACCATCTTTTGTTAACAAAAACAAAAAGGTAAGCATTTTATGTCATTTTGAAATAGGTGCTGATTTGATTTAATCATAAGTTTCACTGGTGCATTTAGTAGGCTATCATTCAATACTTTTGATCATAGAACTTCTTTGGTTGATATTATCTATGTTAACTTTACATTATCTTAAATATCTAAGAAGGTTTATATTTAACAATAACGTTGGAGTGGGGACTTAACAGGTTAATAATCTAATCACTATATATATTATTAAAAATAAGAGATTATTAAGGCATCATCTATTCAATAAGAGATTATCCAAGTGCATTAATTAACTCTTTAATTCATATGTTTACATCTTAGCAGATTGATGTGATTAGTGCGGCTCATAACACAAAGACAATTTTAGGCTCATCAAGTGCTAAGGAATGTCAAGCTTCCAAGTGACAAGTTCTCCATAGTTTGAGACCTACACTTATTGGAGATTGGATTATTTGGTTCATTTCCATATGTTTATCTGTTTTTAGTATCATTTGCCTATATAATTGAACATGTTATAACATTTTTGTAGTTCTGAATATTTATTTATATCTATTAATTTTATTTTAGTCGATGTGAAATCTCAGTTTGTTGCTTTATATAATTATCTAGCAATTAAATTTTTTTTTTCACTCATACTATCGTTGACCGCTAAAAACCATCAAGAAACAGCTCTTAAGTTAAAAAAAAATTGTGTTCATACTTAAAAAGTGTTAAGAGAATGTTTCTTGACGGGTTTGTAATGTTTTATAACTGTCATGAAATATTAACTATTGACAGATAATAAGAATGTTGTTTTTTGAGCGTCAGGAAAGGGGGGAAACTTTTATTGACACTGATATTCTTGAAGCTTTTTGAGCCGTCAGAAATGACTAATGTGACGCTTTTGAAGTGTCAACAAATGTTGTTTTTCTTGTAGTGAATGCTTATGGTTTCTCAAGCGTTATCGTTTCAAACTGCTTCTTTGCCAAACATTGCTTAGAAGACCAAAACTGCAATTTATTAGAATTATATGGGCGTAAGAAAGGAAAACAAGCACACCCAAAAGTTTTTAAAAAGGAATTATTAGAGGCTTCGTGAAATAAGATTTCATAAGGTGATTTATGATGAAGTAACTTAAAAGGGAGAATATTAAGTAGATAGACATCAGTATGCATAGCCTTAGCCAAATGTGAAGGGGGCATAGATGCGTAGGCCAAAAGAGTAAGCCCAGTAACGACAATGTGACAGTGCTTGCATTCAGCTAAGCCATTTTGCTCAAGGTGTTGGGGACAAGAGAGACAGTGATGAATGCTATGATGAGATTAAAAAAAAATCCTTAAATAAATGACTAGTGTATTCCCCACCCCCATCAGATTGAAAAACCTTAATTTTACTAGAGAATATATTATCGACCAACGCCTTGAATTTAACAAAATGAGAGAAAACTTCAGATTTTAACTTCACTGGGTAAATCCAAGAATAACAGGAAAAATCATCAATAAAGAGAACATAATAAGAAAAACCATTAATTGATTTATTTGAAGAACTCCACAAATCGGAGTGAATAAGTTCAAACAGTGTAGTAGAAATAGAAAAAGATGGACTAAGGGTAACTTAACACTTTTTGACAGGACCCACCCCAAATTCTTCGGAATTTGTGACGGTCCCACTTACTAATTTCAAACATCCTCTTCCCCTAAACAAAGGAAAAGAGGGCCGAGACTTCTACCAAAATTTCAGCAGAGTCTCCCATGAAAAACAGACTTCACCAAATTTTTCAACCTATCAAAAACAGAGTTTAAGATTCCCAAACTTCAGCGTGCACAGTCTACTCTCCAGGCACAATCAGAAGTGTTTGTAAAGACTTAATCCACAATCATTCATCAATCTAAAACAGGTTTCAGCCCCGTCACAACCACAACCATATTTTAACCACATCACTTTAGTAAAAACTGGAATATAAACAGGCATTTAATCTTGTCTAAGTTCCAATTGGGCTCCAGATCACTGACAAATTCAAAACCAAACTTAACAAATCTAGTAAATAGGATTTGATCCCAATGACCAAATTAAAGTCCAAAAATATATTTATCTTGCGGTTGTACCTAGGTAAGATCTCAGGCTACCTACGTACCCTTACTGAGGGATCAAGCCACACATAGTTCAATAGTCATGAACTAGATAACATACAATTATTTCAGTACTACCAACAAGTTAATTTTATAATCATATTTTCACTTTAAATAAAATCACATATGCTAAGCATAATTCTTTTGAACATTACTCTTTTTCCAAATATAGTATAATAATCCTTTGCCCTCTACCCGTTACTTTACTACGCATCGGAGAGTCCAATACAAAATGTAGTAAAGTAATAGTAACCAAAATGTCTGGATCCTTTACCACACGCCGGAATAATACAATGTCACGTGTGGTAAACTAACCAGTATCCAAGTGAGCACACACGCCAAAAAATCCAACGCCACGTGTTGTAATACACTGAAAAATTCAAGGTGGATTTTCATATTTTAGTGAAAAATAATATTATGATGGAGAATGATAAGGGTATTTTCTCAAGTGATTTTGGATTGAGATCATTAAATTAAGTGTGTTTAATTTGAAGTTGGACAAACATGACCAAAATACCCTTAGGTGTGGATAATTACCAAAATATCCTTGTAGGCCAAAAAAAAAGAAAAAAGAAAAAAAGAAGAAGCCAACGTGTAAGCCAAGCTTTTTCTCTTCCCTCCATTCTTCCCCCTTTCCCTCTTTCTTTAAAAAAAAATCTGATTTTGGGGGATGAGTCGTTCATCTATTGGGGGGGTGAGTCACCTAGTCTAAGTGGTGAGTCACTAGCCTAAGGAATCTTTTTTTTTCCTTGATGAAGCTAAGAACTAGGGGAGGTGAGTTGCTGCAGGAGGGAGAAGATAATGGGAGAGAGAGAGAGAGAGAGGAGAGAGAGAGAGAGAGAGAGAGAGAGAAGAAGAAGAAGAAAACTAAGAACAAGGAGAAAAAGAATAGGAGGAAGAGAAGAAAAAATTCTATAAGGTGAGTCAATTTCGAGTTTGTGATTTTTAACTTGGTGTTTGTGTGTTTCTAGTTCCTTAAAGAGTATGTTGAGTCATTTGTGAGATGGGAAAATTGATTTGGAAGAGTTTGAACCTTTATTTTAGAGTTGGGTGCATAGAGTAATTTTTCAAGTATGGGTGTTGTTGATTTTGGTTCCATTTTGAGTTTTTGATGAGTTTTATTGATATTTATGAAGTTTAGAAGTGTTTTAGAAGCCTTAGTAACAACTTGGAAGTGATAGAATGGTTGAAAATGACTTAGAACCAAATCTGAAATTTGCATATTTCTGAAAAATTGCAGTCCGTAAGCCTCCCTTTGGCTCTCTTTTTCTTCCAATCCTTTGAGTTTTTAAGGGATAAATTTGTTGGGGTTTAAACTAGACTTGGCAAGGAACAAAAAAAAATTGATTTCATCGAATTTGGTTGAGTTTGATGGTCAAACACAGGTGCAAAGTTTGGAAAAAAATCAGTTTTCTGCAGAAAAACCATTCGCGAGCCCAACTTTGGAGCTCGTTTTCTCCTTCGTTTTAGCTCCGTTTTGAGTGTGGTTTATTGGGTTAGAAACTAGAGAGAATAAGCTTCAAATCCACTACAAGTTTTCCCAGTTTCGTTACCTTTAGGTTGGTCAAAATGTGTCAACGTCTGAGTTTTTAATCTGGAAAAACAGGGGAAGTTGCAGGATTTTTGGAGAAGATGATGAACAGTAACCGGAAACAAGCCACACCCTGTTCCAGCAGCCTTCGACGCCATATTTTTAGTCCATTCGACTTGATTTCTCGATCCAAGTCCATGGTATATGTTTTGAGTCAATTTGAGGTGGTGCAAAGTATGGATTGTTGTGGGGCTCGCGAGACCCAAATAGTAACTTTTGGATAACGGGTGTAGTGGCCTTGTTTTGGTGTTGACAGGGCATAGGACTGAGTTTTAGACTATTTTGGATGAGATTTGGCCACTTTGGACCCCAGGTTGGTCCTAGGGGCATTTTCGTCATTTTCATGCAAAATCTTAGAAATGCTAAGGGTTGAGGTTGGACTTAGGTGAAATAAAGTGAAGACTGCTCAATAATAATTTGAATTTGAATTTGTTTAGGAATTGGATAATAATGGTAGATTCGACAACTTCGAGAATTTCCGAAGGGTAAATTTGGTACTTTAGCTAGCTGGATATGTGGTAGGGTTTCCTAATTCCTGATGATTGGGCTATATCATTTTTAATCTTGATGCTTATATATAATACTATACATATGAATATTATTATTGCTTTGCTTGGTGAATATAATTATTGATGTTTCTCCATGGATATTATTTTTGACGTTGGATGAATATTATTATTCATGTGATGAAGCTTGAAATATTATTGTTATTATTTGTATTATTATTCCACACAGATGAATTATGTTTGCTCTGCATTACATATGCATCATAAAGGCAATGGTGTTTGAGGTGTGTGTGTGTCGTTTGAGGTATATTTGAGAAAAAAAACAAGTAAAATATATTCAAGTGACGGGAGCAGGGCTTGAATATGATGAGGTGATGGGAACATGGCCTCTAATGAAAAGTGAAAGTTGAGAAATTCGAGGTGATGGGAGCAGGGCCTCTAACGAAAAGTGAAAGTTGAGAAATTTGTAAACAAAAGAAAACTAGGTGAAGGGACGGACGGGTGCTAATTCATATTTTAGGGTATTCAGAGCCACAATGGTAAATCACATGGTATGGGACATGCAGGCTTATTGCCCTAATATATGAATTAGTGGGATTAGAGGGGAGTGAGTTCATGGCATTACTGCATATGCAAATTTCTTTATCTGGTATGGTTGCAAAATTTCTATATCTTGTGTTATTTGATTCCTGACACTTTGATTAACTGTGATAGTTGACCTTGAAGAGTTTGACGGTACTCTACTGGGCATTAGAATGCTCATACCCTAATAGATTGTGCAGGATTCAAGGCGAATTTTGAGGGAGTGGGTTTCAACCAAGCTACTAGGCTTTTGTTGTTGATTTATGTAATTAAAATTTGTAAATAGTCAACTGTTTGATAAAGATCTTAGTGTGTATTTAACTACGAGCTACTGTGACTCTGATTCTGTGTTGTTAAGTAAAATTGTATTTATTTGTGGCTCTTTTTCTCATCATATCATGGTTGTAAGATTTTATTCTTATGACTATGGTATGACTCACACCCTAATTTAGGAATATTCCTTATTTTTGAATCGAGGCGTGACACGTGTGGCCCAACCAAACCATGTCCTACGTGCGCAGACTGCTTTATTAAACACCAAAAAATTCAACGGCACGTGTGGGTAAAGTAACCAATATCAAATGTGTACAGGTTCTTTACCACACGCTGAAAAATCCAACGACATGTGTGGGTAAAGTAACAAATATCAAATATGTCCGGGTTCTTTACGACACGCAAGACTGCTTTATTAAACACCAAAAAATTCAACGGCACGTGTGGGTAAAGTAACCAATATCAAATGTGTACAGGTTCTTTACCACACGCTGAAAAATCCAACGACATGTGTGGGTAAAGTAACGAATATCAAATATGTCCGGGTTCTTTACGACACGCAGACTGCTTTATTAAACACCAAAAAATTCAACGGCACGTGTGGGTAAAGTAACCAATATCAAATGTGTACAGGTTCTTTACCACACGCTGAAAAATCCAACGACATGTGTGGGTAAAGTAACGAATATCAAATATGTCCGGGTTCTTTACGACACGCAAGAAAATCCAACGACATGTGTGGGTAAAGTAATGAATATCAAATGCGTCTGAGTTCTTTACCACACGCAGGAAAATCCAACGCCATGTGTGGGTACAGTAACCAGGGGAGGGTACTTAGCATGGTGCAATTACATACATAACAATCAACAAAGTACCCAACTCTCATCAACCACTTGCCTAGTTATTTATTCATAAAGTAAATGACAACTTCTCAAAACATATAAACCATATCCAAAATAATCATAAACTTAAAATATCAAAATAACTGTAAATGCCATAATTCAACCATATATAAACTCCATAGTCCAAAATAATCCAATTTTAAATGCATGGTAATCTAATATTTGAAAATAGTGCTTAATCTAAACAAAGTCCACTCACTTTGTAATAATCCTATCCGAAATTAAGTTCTCAATTACACATTATGCAAATTTAACACATTCCAATAATATCATAGTTAAAACAATAACATTCCGTATATCGAATTCAAACTTAACATATATCAGCATAGATTGAAATCCAAATATGCATACTCTAATAATAATAATAATAACATTAATAATAATAATAATAATAATAATAATAATAATAATAGCGATAGTAACCCTTGTAAATCCCAGATCACATTCTAAAACTCGAGACTAGCCCAAGCATCCTCCCACACGCCGGCAACCCATCGTACATGTAGGCAACATTTGTAACAATTCAAGGAAGGTACATATCCTAATGCAAAATTCCAATTTCCAAAACAAATCATTTCCGTCTAACATAAATATATATAATAAAATAACACCCATACTTCCTTTTTGAAAACCAAAATAAAACCATAATTAAGAAAAACACCTAAACTAAATAAGCCCATTCAATTTTATTAGTATTCAAAATACTATTCATATACTTGGGAAATATACAATCTCTGAAAATCCAGTAAGACAAGATAATAACATCCAAAACACCATATCATATACAAAGTCGCCATAATCCTTTATAAATAATATTAATAGCACTAATAATAATAAGCATTCCCGAAATTCCCATAATTACATATCCCATCCTAAAAATTCACTAGTTTGAATTACATCACTGTCGCCCGGGTTGGCCAATTGAAGGAGTTTTTTGTACTTCTTTAGTTGAGTGCGAGGCATGCCACCACCAAGCCACGAATTAGGCTTGAATGGAATGTGAGTAGATGATGCATCCGAAATCTGGCTTTAATCAAACGATTGTTCAATCGAGCAAGAAACCTCCTCACAGCCTAGATTCTTGTACCTCAGAGTCAAGGCTTTATGTGAGCAACCAAATGATGTGGAGTGGGTAGAGAATGAAGATTGAAGGTGAAATGAAATGAAACGAAGAATAGGTGCGTAAAGTAAAAGGTGCTTGAATTTAAATATAATTGAGAGATAAGTGCGGAAAGTAAAGTGCCTAAAATAAAGAATGTTTAGACGAGTGCGTATAGTAAAGTGCTTAAAATAAAGAATGTAAAGACGAGTGTGTAATGTAAATTGCATAAATTAAATGTGAGTACGTAAAGTAAAGGGCGGAAAGTAAACTAGATTATGAAGAACAATAAAGATAACATGAATTGAAGTTACTGTAATTAAATAAAGTTAAAAAACAAGAACAAGAATGTAAAGGCATAATTGATAGGGGCTTTGGTGCTTCTCAATTTGGCCAGTCGTCAATTGGCCTTCAAATAAATCATAATTGCTTCAAAATGTCTTCAATCCCTTGTCTCATGCACGTGATTTAATGTGAATAATAATATTTTGTTTGATTTTCCTTCCATCTTGAGCTCTCCCACAATAATTTCGGTTGACCATCAAGTTGGCATAATTTCTTCTATATTTGAATTGTAACATATGAGAAAATCCTCCTACAGATTATCTCTCTCCTTACTTAAGCCTTGGCTGATTTTATGTATTCGGCCACTTTTAGTCATTCAACCGTATCTATACTTTCGGCCGCACATTGTCTCTCGACCACTTTTGTGCTCTTGGCCAAATTGATGTATTCCACCACATGTAGATATTCTGCCATATGTACATATTCTGCCACATTTATGATTTGGGGCTTCTATCCTACCTTATTGATTAGGCCCATTGAAATATAGCTTGGGCTCACTATTAGTTTAATTGTTGGATCTTGGGCTTGACTCAGTCAAATTTCAACCAGACCCAAACAATCATCCATAACTTTCAACATCCGTTCTCAAATCAATTCCACATACGTATAATATACCATTCAGCAAACCAGAATTCATAACCCTTATTATTCACTTTCCAATACAACCTTTTAAAACCCGCATCAATATCCAATGTATCCCTAACCCAAACACATAGACATATATTTGAGTGTAAACATATAATCGACATTTAATTAGATCCATACTGACACCAAAGCCTCTATCAAGCCATAAGTGAATTATAATAACAGTCATTAAAATAAAATGATAATAGTAATAATAATAATAATAACAATGTATAAACGGAAAGTCTCATGTCACATGGTAAAGGCCGAAACTGAATCGATAGCTCGCTTTTATAACCTCATGAACCAAAATACCCATTATCAAATAAACCAATTTCCCACCAATATCGCTACTACAACCGATATCACAAAATCAAAACAAATCCAAATTTTCAACAATATGCCATAATCACCATTCAAATCCCACGTATTTGTCATTGGCAAACAACTCCAAGAGTACTACCCGGTAGTGTAAGGCCACAATTAAAACCTACACTCAAACCCATAATTCCTAGAAACTTAACATGTATACACAACCTTGGAAAGGTCCTAAAGTCATTCTAGTACCTTTACAAAGGATGAGACGGTCTCAAAAGAACTATGGTAAACAGTTGGTCAAACTTCTCGTTTTTGGTCAACCGAGCCGACGGGGCCCATGACCTCATACTTCTGATCCGAGCATTCTTGAAGGTCCCACAAAGTATACACAACAAGTCCTGAGAGTTTGGTCTTGAGCGCGCAATCGGACATAATAACTTTGTCTTACATTAGAATTAATAATTCAAAGTAACCGGACTTCGATTTTCAATCCGCAAGTTCCTACACGCTCCTAGAGGTACAAAGAACAACATATTTGAAGTGGGAACCAATTCGACGGTTCGAACCCATCGTACCCGGGTATCGCCAACATATTTGAAGTGGGAACCAATCTGACGGTTCGAACCTATCGTACCCGAGTATCACCTATTACGTGTAAAATCCGTTTGACTGTCTAATGATAACCAATTTCGAATACGAGCATACCGTCGTGCTTGGGACAACATGGGGAACATTTTAAAACAAAACATGCCACCCTACCATAACCCACGCCTCACCACAAGCATCGGGAGCGCATGGGCATCTTGAGAAAATTTAAGTGACTAGAAAATTCTCAACATATCCGACAATACCTATACCTACGTGATTGGGACAACTAGGGGAGCAACTTTTATTCTTGGACCACAGCCAAAAAGTGGCTGGAGCTTGCCAGAAAATCAAGCCAAAAATCTATCAAAACTTAGGTTTTTGATTGAGCTTCAAACCTGGATCGACAAATTCTATTGCCGGAGTCGTCGAAAATGACATCTGAAAATTCAAGGGAAAACCAGCATGTTTTCAAGCTACCGCCTGCGTAGGAGACGGTGGTTGCATCAGAGAAGGGGTGGAACAGGAAGAGGGGGTAGAGCCAATTCTAATTGAGGTAGTTTCATGGTCGGAGGTAGTTGTACGACGGAGATATCGTCGGTCAAAGAATTGGTTGTCACTCACATACATTGGAGGGAGAGAGAGAGAGAGAGAGAGAGAGAAGTTGCGCTAGGTTTAAAAAAAATATGACTTTGAAATATTTATGGTTGTGTCACTACACTTTCGTTGACCGTAACTTCTTTGTTAAAATGCCGATTTGAGCTCATTACATGTCTACGAACTCGTATCGACGCACCCTTCACAATGGTACCACTCAAATGCCAAATACCCGTACGGGTCGAAAAGTGACTATCGTGACCTTACTCAAAGGGAAAAATTGTAATTTCACAATTAAATAATTTAAATAGATTAAATAAATGGTTAAAATTGGGTCGAGATGTTACACTTTTACCCAATGGACATGACTCACACAAAAAAGGTACTAGACAGAGAGCCAGAAAACGACAATTTATTGCGAGAAAAAAAAATTGTAAAGTAGATGAAGCAGGATGACCAAGACGAGAGTGCCACAT